GGCGGAGGAATCAAGAAGGTGACGTTCCCGCTGGATTCGTGGAGGAGCAGGTGGCCAACATCGAGCATGGCCAAACGTCCGACGCGGTTGCCGGAGGAAACGGTGGAGCAGAGATCTTGGTTGCAACTGCGCCTGGTGGAGATCTTGGTGAAGCCGTGAGGGCCCTTCGTCAGATGATGGAGGAGAACCGCAAGATGGTGGCTGACACCCATCAAGCCACGGAGGAGAACCGCCGAATGCTGATGGAGAACCACCGCATGTTGGAAGAGACTCGGGAAAATACTCATCAGGTAAATTCTCAGATAGACTGTCTCAATTCTCGCCTAGATAGACGTTTCAGTCAATTGCTTGGAGTAGTCAACAAAAATGCAAATGAGGTGGATCAACTTCGACAGTCTTTAAGTAGAGCAGTAGGCCAGTCAAGAGCTTTGCCATTAGATGGCACAGGCCTAACGCCTACTAATAGTGTTCTTTCTCCCGTTGGTGGTCGGAATGGCCAACCACGGCAAGAGAACTTGCCGCCTCAAACGGCAAGCCAACCACCTCCACGTCGAGTAGGTGATGTCGAGATTCCTGCTACAACTCAAGTGGGGGAATCGTCACAGGCACGCGTGGGAGTTGAAGTGGTACCCCCGCGTGGTGAGAACCTCGCCACCATGTTCAACACTCGAGTTGAGCAGCCACCCGTGCAAGTGGGTGCTCGTCCCTCTATCCCGGAGGCAAGACCCTACGTGGCTCCCGTGAATTTGGGGGTAGGAGGAGGCCTAGGTGGTAACATGGATCAAATCCCACCTCGAGGCTACCCAACTCCAACGCCACCCCATTTCAATGGGCATGGCATGGACCCCATTGGTTTTGCACCGTATGGGGGGCAACAAGGGGGGCATGAGGCCAACACTCTTAGAGATCAGGTGGCTCAACTCCTCACGGAGCAGTTTGGCATGGGAGTGAGACCTGCTATGCCACCTGTATACCGTAAGCCGTACCCAGAATGGGTAGATAGGCTTTACCCATTTCCAAGGGGATTCAGAGTTCCCGAGTTTGCCACATTCACAGGAACTGGAGATCAGTCCACTGTAGAGCACGTTGGACGTTTCACTGTCCAATGTGGCGATGTAGGAGATTTCGTCAAGTTAAGACTGTTTGGAAACTCGTTGACAGGACCGGCTTTTGCTTGGTACGTCAACTTGCCGTCTAACTCCATCCAGACTTGGCAACAGATGGAACAAGTCTTCCACGCTCAGTTTTACAGATCTGAGCCCGAGGTGTCCATGGCTGACTTGGCACGTATGCGCCAGCAGCCAGGGGAGTCGGTCGAGCATTTTTTGACTAACTTCAAGAATGCTCGTAACCGTTGCTTTGTCAACTTGACGGAGAGGGAGTTCGTCAAGCTGGCGCAAGGGGGTTTGAGTTTTGAACTAAGGAAGAAATTCCAAGATAGGGAGTTCTCTGATTTATTTCAACTCATGTCTTGTGCTGTGAGGTATGAGTCTCTTCTACATGAGGAAGAGAATCGTAGGAGTGCATCAAGGGGATCATACTTCCCAAACTTAGACTATACCATCAATCATATTGGCCACGAGGCCAATGAGGTTGAGGTAGACTTGGCTGAGATAACTCCAGGGAAGCCATACATATGTGCTTCTTTGTCTAAAGTTGAAGAGGGACCACAAGGGGGAAGACCTAATCGTGCTCCCATTCAGCCAAGGAAGTATTCCTTTGACGTCTCCAAGGCAGACTTGATTTTTGACCAACTCTATAAGGATGGTCAAGTCAAGTTGACAGGGGGGCATGTCTTTCCCTCACCCGAGAAATTAAAAGGAAAAAAGTATTGTAAGTGGCATAATAGCATGTCACATGCCACTGATGCTTGTGTGGTGTTCTGTAATGTCTTGCAGGATGCCATTGAAAAGGGACGTATCAAGTTCCCTGAAGCAAAGAAGGATGCCATGTTGGTGGACACTGATCCGTTCCCCAAGGTGCTTGGCATCAACATGGTCAACCCAGACTTCTCCAAAGTCGAGTTACCACGCTTCAAGCTGGTGTTGGATACAACACCGCCTCAAAGGAGACCCAACGTGGTTTTCGACCAAGGAAGCTCGTCATGTACCAAGCAGGCCAGCCTGGCCGCAATGATGACTAATGAAGTTGAGAATTTGTGTGCTCATTGCAAGAAGAGTTTTAAGGTTGACGAAGAGAAGTCGAGATGTCCATCTAGGGGGAAGGTGGTTTCCAAGAAGCCACATCAACCCAAAGCCTCACATGTTTGTGATAAATATGATAATATGGCTAAGTCTGGACAAGAAAGCATGCCACCAACCACAAACAGTGGACATGGGGGCAAGTCCAACAAGGAAAGACGTGGAAAAGGCAGAAAGAGTTGTCACAGTCTCGCAAATTTTGCTAAGTCTGGACAAGGGAGCATTTCACCCACCATGAAGAATGAAGTAGACAACATCTCCAAGAAGACAAAAGAAGTCAAACCCTCACATGTATTTTGTAAGCATGAAATTATGGACAAGGGAGGATTGGGGGGCAAGTCCATGTCAATGAATAGTAAGTACTCGTCACTAACCACAAAGAGTGTACATGGGGGCATGTATAAGAAGTCACCATACACACCAGCCAAACATGGTTGCACGAAGAATCAATGGTGGTTGAGTGCTAAGTGTAGGGGCCAACAAGGTTTATATATTGAAAGACGAAGACAAGGAAGCTACACGAGTGATTGTCAACTTGTCAAACGTAGACCTGGTCCCCAACATCGTGAGGAGATTAAGCATTTATCAAGTGGGAGGAAATCAAGGCAGAAGAATAATCATGATAGCCTTGACATGTCAAGTAAGGTGGCCCAAGCAAAGAAGCATGAGGCCTCATGCAAGGCCACCAAAACTAGACAGGCTCACTATGTACCACCCATTAGTAAGCTAGAAAATTCAAAGTTAATGTATGAAGATTCATCTCACATGGAGGAAAAGAGTCATGTGGTCTATGGATGGCATGTCTGGTTTGATCCATGGACTTGGCAATGGGTGTACACCTTTGGTACATTGATTGTTACCAAAGGCTATGGAGAGCAGTGACATTTGTCACTTCTTGCCATATAAAATAAATAAATTTATATAATGTACTTATTATATATTAGTTATAAAAAAAAATATTGTAGCCAACCATGGCTAAAAGAAAAGATAGAAGGAAAATCTTGAGTCGGAGTTGTTAGACTTCGACATGAAGATCTTGCCACCAAGTTATTGTGATGGCTTGACACGACGAGCCATACATCAGGCCATGCCATGCCATGTTATCTTGTCCCGAGTAGCCACGACTGGGGGCATGATGGCTTGAAAGTGGTAGTCGAGGAGTGGTGACCATAATGTCTCTACCAACATAAAAATGAACATTATTTTTTCTAAGACAAAAAAGTAGACGGCTTGACTTGTCGCGAGGGAACTGTCTAGCCTTGTGACGAGGTGGGATGAGTCAATCTATGCCAAAATAGGTGCGAAGAATTCTAAGTTATTCTCTCAACCATGTGGCCAAGTACGAGATGTCAATGAGGATGTAGGTGATAAAGTGAAGTTGGTGTCTCGTTGAATGCATTAGGCGGCTTGACCATTAAAAGCAAAAATTTGGCTAAGGCATGAGGCAAGTTTTGACGTCGAGTACCATCCTACCACGTTGGCTTGACGTGAAAGTCAAGTTTTTGGCTAAGGATGAACTAGGTGTGTTGAGTAGACACTAGCCAGCTTGTTACTTTCGCTAGCATGGTGGTGTTCAACTACTTAGTCCATAAGCCTTATGCACTAAGTAGTTGGGGGGCATTTGTTTACACCATAAAATTTGTCTTGTACCACATTGGTGAGTTACAAGATAATTAATGAGTTTATAAGGTCACACCCATTATAACAATTAATGTTGTTTCAGTTGGGCCTTATGGATATTGATTTTAGGCCCAAGCTACTAAGTCTAAAGAGAGGCCATGCCGCCTCAACGAAGAGGCCATGCCGCCCCATGACCAAGGCCTAATGACTAAAAAATAAACTAAGTCTGGAAGAGGTACATGCCACTTCAAGGAGAAGCACGTGCCACTTCACGAGAAGGGGCATGGACGCAAGAAAAGATAGTAAGTATGAGAGGGCCATGTTGTGTCACGAGAAGGCCATGGACATGAGTAAGAAGTCCATGGCCGCGAGACAAGAATGTCATGGACATGAGTAAGAAGTCCATGGCCGTAAGACAAGAAGGCCATGGACATGAGTAAGAAGTCCATGGCCGTAAGACAAGAAGGCCATGGAAATGAGTAAGAAGTCCATGGCCGCGAGTAAGAAGTCCATGGCCGTAAGACAAGAAGGCCATGGACATGAGTAAGAAGTCCATGGCCGCGAAGCAAGAAGACCACGACCCCCTTTGTGAGACACCACATGCTCATCAAAAGACTAGCATGACACGAGATTCAGAACAAGACTAGGCGAGGCAAGCTACACTCCAAGACCCACAACGGTTACAAGAGAGGCCCCTAGGCGGTTGAAGGAGTAACCACCACTCCGAGGAAACAGGGAGCGGTTCTTTGTAGCAGTTATCCAACAAGCGGTTTTCTATGACGGTTACCTCCTCGGGGCTATAAATAAGAGGAGGGGTCGATAGAGACAAGGGTTCCAAAACCAACACTCTGACACACATGTCAAGTTTATTCTTTACCTTTTCTCTATCATGTAGCCATAGATGTAGTTCGTAGTTTGGAGCTCTCGCCGAACCTCCATAGGAGTAGAAGTAATTTAATTCAGGTCTCGTTCCCAAAAACCATCAATCAAACACCCTCGTTCGAACTTTGTTTGAAGAGGTTTGAGCCGTGTCTTAGAAATCGTTGTCCATAGAAGTCAAAGGTGCAATCCATCTCAATTCAACACAAGAAGTTTTCTCGTCGGAAAACACTGCCGGAGAAGGTGAGGAGCTCGCCGCGGGGATGCAAGCTCGTGTACGTGGCCCGGAACCCCAAGGACATGCTGGTGTCGCTGTGGCATTTCCTCAACGGGAACTTGAAAGCGGAGGACCAGTTCCCGCTGGAGAGAGCGGTGGAGACCTTCTGCAGCGGGGTTATGCCTTTCGGGCCTTTCTACGAGCACGTGGTGGGATACTGGGAGGAGAGCAAGAGGCGGCCCAGGGAGGTGTTGTTTCTCAAGTACGAGGACCTGTGCAGGAACCCCCAAGAGCAGGTGAGGAAGCTGGCTTTGTTTCTTGGCAGGGAAAAAGGGATCGATGTGGAGAAGGTACTGTGGCGGAGCAGTTTGAACAGGCTCAAGGAGCTGGAGGTTAACAAGAATGATGTCTGTGCTGTTGCCCCGCACATTCCGAATTCCATCTTTTTCAGGACGGGAACTGTCGGAGATTGGAAGAACTGCTTGACTCCAGACATGGCTCAACGTATCGATAGCCTCGCTCGAGTTAAGCTACAGGGGACTGGACTTTCTTTTGATGACGAGTAGTTGTTTTGTATGTGCTACGAAAGGGTGTAGCTTTGGCGACCATTTTCATTATTTCGTTATGTAGCAGAAGGTTTCACCATTTGGACGTTTGTTCGTGTGGGAGTAAGCGGCACCTTCGATGTGTATGAAGGATATCTAATGGGTATAAAATCATAAGTTTCTTTGTCTTAATCACCATTTGTTTAAGTACTTTAGCTCATAGTATTTGTCGAACTCTTAGTAGTGAGCCCGAAGGTTTATCATATGTTCGACCGTAGGGAGAAGGGCGAAGGTTTAGAATATATGAGCCCGTAGGGCAAAGGAACGAAGTTGTTCGACTGAAAGGAGAGGGAGGGAATATGTGAGCCCGAAAGTTTAGAATATGTTCGATCGAAGGAACGAAGTAGTGAGCCCGAAGGTTAAGACGGCTTGTTTTGAAGGTTACTTTACTCGGAATCTAAGGATCGGAGAAAGATTGGCAATCTTACCCGTGGGCATCCATGAGAGGACCTATCTTGGTAGATTGGGAAAAAGTAGACAAACATCTCTTTCCAAAAATTTCCATTCCCCTAGGCTTTTGCCATATCGAGCTTTGCAGAAGAAGAAAAAAACCCATCTTTTCTTTTCTTTGTTTCTGTTCTTCATAGACTTAAAGCATTCGAAGACAATAATAAAATTATCCTTAATATACCTTCCATATACAAAAGCACTAAATTATTCAGAAATAATCTCATCAAGAAAAATCTTGAGCCTGTTGGTTGCCCGCTGTGTACTGTCTGAGCCCGAAGGTTTGGGCGGTCCTATTTGATTCAGTGCTTGGAAAACTTCTACCGCTCGAAATGGCTCAAGCAGGGTGGCATTCGTTTCTTCCGAAAATGATTTAACCTTAGTAAAAAAAATAATAATTATATGAATGTGTTACGAGATCGAGCCATCGTAGCATTTCATTAATTACTGGGCTTGCGTATCTTTCTTATTAGTTCGTATTTGGATATTATTAGGTCTTATTTATTATTGTCTTAATTAATGTTTTCCTTGTTCAAGTTGGTTTAGGTTATTGTTAGTCGTGTCCTTAGAGGAGTATGAGTTATATTCTAGATAGGAAAAGGTAGAGGCTTCTATGCCTATAAATATGTACTTGTTTCGTTCGTTTAATGTAATGAGAAGATTGGAACCCAATTTACGTTTGTTTGCTTTGATTATTTCTTTCGTTCAGTTTAGTAGTTTGTTAGTTATTTTGGGGTTGTTCTCGCCATTAAGGAGATCCTCTACTCGAGAGCGTCGAGAAGCGTATCCAAAAGTCCGGAGAAGTAAAGATCCAGTACGTAGAATTCCGCCCCTACGGCGCATCTACGTAACAGTTGGTATCAGAGCCCGGTTCTCCGGCACCACAAATCCATGACGATTGAAGGTATTCGAGCAAGAAAATTGGTTGCTACGTGGAACCGATATGTGGAGAGGTTTTGCGCTGATCGCATCGACTCCATGAGGTTGCCAACTACCGAGTTGGAGAGCGTTACTTCTCCACCAATCGTTGCCGCCACCGCCGAGCTAAATTTAGCTCCGAATTCAACACCGTCCGCCAATGTCCTCATCGTATCAACTAGGGCTGGCCATTTGGACCGGGACCGGATAAAAAACCGGAAACTGGACCGTATAACCCGGACCGAGATCGGACCGGGACCGGATAGTAAACAATCCAATCCAATCTTTGAGTTTAGATTTGAGGTAAAAAACCGGATAAAGACCGGATAAGAGAGCTTAACACCCAAAACTTAAGGGTAATTTGCATAAACGGTCACAAACCTTTGCACTTAGTACAAAACTTAACCAACTCCTCACCCTTTTAGGCCTTAGGCCACTCAAATTCCCACAATCTCAATATAAAATCAAGACCGAATTAGGACCGGACCGGGTTAAGACCGGACCGGATCAAGACCGGACTGTATCCAATCCAATCTTTGGTCCTTATATTTTCAAAAAAACCGGACTGGACCGGATCAATTTGGGCCAATTTAACCGGACCGGACCGTATAGCCACCCCTAGTATCAACAAAGGCCACAACGGAAGAAGCACTACAAGATCTCCGTCAACATCAACGAACGGTGGTGGGAATCTTTGATGACTCTTATCGCCAAGGAAACCGGGACACGGAGGAGTCGGTGGAGGTCCAAGGTTCGCTCGTTGGTCATCTTCAAGGCGAGGGTCACGGCTTACAGGATGTGCCCGAGACGCCGCAACGTGGACAAGCTCGGCTTCAAGTTGAGTTGGAGAAGTTGGAGAGCGAACTCAGTTCCCTCGCGGAAGAGATGGCGACGGTAACAGGTTCGCAGGCCGCTGTTGATCCCAGCGTGACGGGAGAGTTGCTGCGGTCAACGACGAGCAAGGTGGAGCCCGAGTCGCAAGCTGCAGCGAATGGAGGTTGTGGCGGGGATCAATTTCCACCGGCAAAGAACCCGATCATGTCACCTATGAAGTGGCCAATTGTGGTGGCATCTGCAGCCGTCAAGACAAGCGCCGAAGAGGAGTCTCACCAAGAAGCGGAGTGCGGTGGGGATAAGCCGGGAGGAATCGCCGTCGGGCACAGCTGGGGAGGTTTGGCGAGCGAACATGACGATGACAGGTCGTTGGCGGCTGTGGTAGGGCAGGAATCACGAAGAGCCGGTCCCACTACTGGGCCGCCAAATGTCGCCCGTGGGTCAGAGCTCCGGCCTGCTTCTGTTTCGAAGGACAGGCGGATTCAATTGGTCCTTAGGCCGAGGATGGGCGTAGTAACCGTAGCCTTGTTGTTCGGGGCTCGACCGGCAAAGCAGGGGAATTGTGAAGTCGCTACGGGAACGTCCAAAGTTGGGGGAGTAGGAAAGGCGGCCGATGGTAAAATTCCACGCAGGAGGAGTGAGAGTTCCGAAGCAGAAGACGTCACGATTCCCACTCCATGTACATGTGCGAATGATGATGCTCTTTCACGCAGGAGGATGGATTGTATTAAAAGGGTTGAGTGGTACGCTAATTACATGAAAGAACAGGGAAGGAATATGCGTGGTTCGGTAGGGGAAGCATTGGGATTGCATGAGAATCACATTAACATGGAGAAGTCCTTGGGTCATACATTCATACGTGGCTTTGGTGGAGGATTGCATGGAAGGAATGGTTTGGAGGAAGGAAATTGGTGGATTCCCTTGCGCGGGGAGTTGCATATGACGTGGGGGAGTGAGGTTATGCAAGTTACTGGAGATCACATCACTCATGGTGGAGGGTTGGAACGAGTTGGGATTGGTGGATTCGTTCAAGTCCCGGAACGTAGTTGGAAGCGTCGTAAACGAGATCGATTTCGATGGGCATCCGCTCTCCTTGCTGTCATCAATACGTGGGAACGTTTCTTCTACATCGATCCCGGTTGAAGCAAGTATGATCATTCTGCCAACCTTGAGGGCAAGGTCACGCTTAAGGGGGGAGGGATGTTACGAGATCGAGCCATCGTAGCATTTCATTAATTACTGGGCTTGCGTATCTTTCTTATTAGTTCGTATTTGGATATTATTAGGTCTTATTTATTATTGTCTTAATTAATGTTTTCCTTGTTCAAGTTGGTTTAGGTTATTGTTAGTCGTGTCCTTAGAGGAGTATGAGTTATATTCTAGATAGGAAAAGGTAGAGGCTTCTATGCCTATAAATATGTACTTGTTTCGTTCGTTTAATGTAATGAGAAGATTGGAACCCAATTTACGTTTGTTTGCTTTGATTATTTCTTTCGTTCAGTTTAGTAGTTTGTTAGTTATTTTGGGGTTGTTCTCGCCATTAAGGAGATCCTCTACTCGAGAGCGTCGAGAAGCGTATCCAAAAGTCCGGAGAAGTAAAGATCCAGTACGTAGAATTCCGCCCCTACGGCGCATCTACGTAACAGAATGAAATTAAAAAATCACACATCATACGTTACCATGATGCGACTGTTACACTTGCAGAGAAGAGAGCGAGAAAAATGTGAAACTAAACGACATGGCTCTTTGTCACACTATCCTCCACCTCCACAAACCATAAACGTACAACAACATGTTCTCTATATTTACCACAAGAGTTGCGCAGCCAGTAAGTAGAACATCTCTTTAATTGTCTCTTCAAATAAAGCCAACAATGGAGAACCAGCAGCAACTTCCGACGGAGTTGTATTGGGGTACTCCTCACGAGGTTTGCCAGATAGAAGGATTCTGGTACATGGCTGGGTTTATGGAAGCCATGGCCGCCTTCAGGTCAGAATTCGAGCCGAGGAAGGACGACATTCTCTTGACGTCTTTCACGAAAACAGGAACAACCTGGCTCAAAGCTCTCTGCTACAACATCCTCGACGAAGACGAAAACGACATTCTGGCGAAGGAGAACCCCCACGACGTGGTCCCCACGCTCGACAGTACTTTCCTCCAAGACCGAGTCCAGCATCTGCTGCTGAATTCCCCTACGGGGCGCAGCAGATTGCTCCACACCCATCTCCCCTGCAGTTACCTACCGGAGAAGGTGAGGAGCTCGCCGGGGTACTGCAAGCTCGTGTACGTGGCGCGGAACCCCAAGGACACGCTGGTGTCGCTGTGGCATTTCCTCAACAAGAACCTGAAAGCCGACCCCTTCCCGCTGGAGAGAGCGGTGGAGACCTTCTGCAGGGGGGTTATGCCTTTCGGGCCTTTCTACGAGCACGTGGTGGGATACTGGGAAGAGAGCAAGAAGCAGCCGGATGAGGTGTTGTTTCTCAAGTACGAGGACCTGTGCAGAAACCCAAGAGAGCAAGTGAGGATGCTTTCCATGTTTCTCGGTCGGGAAGCGAATATAGATGTTGAGAAGGTACTGTGGCGGAGTAGTCTGAACAGACTTAAGGAGTTGAAGGTCAACAAGGATGACGATATTAAGGAAGGACAACATGTTCACCACTCCGCCTTTTTTAGGACGGGAACAGTTGGGGATTGGAAGAACTACTTGACTCCCGACATGGTTCAACGTATTGATAAGCTCACACAGGTTAAGCTGCAGGGGACTGGGCTTTCTTTTGATGACCAGTAGTTCTGTATAAAGTTTTATTTAGTTTGATGTCATAAACCAACTGGTCCTAAATAACTCTAGTTATTGGGAGAGGTCCATGTATGAATTTGTATAAGTTGTTTGAGTTCAAGCATGTAACGGGTGAATTTCCTCTACACTAGTAATAGCTAGAATGGTAGAAGTACTATTCATAACTCTATGGATTGTATATTAACCACACAAGAGCTTTATCATATGATATATGTAATTTATGATTGCATTTACCATCGCAGGTAGTGCTTGTAAGTTGTAACCACTGTAAAATACGGTGGCTAATTCCAAACCAGGTCCGTCCTAAGACCACCCACTGTGTGGGTTGGTAAAATGAGAAAAGTGGGAAATGTTCCCGCAGTGTAGCTGGGAAAGGGAAAAAATGGAAAAAGTGGGAAATATGGGTGGGAATACCCATCACTAGCGGACAAATGGTGGGAAAGGAAGGAGGGAGGGGCCCACTGACGTGCCCGCATATAATTTACTTATTAATTTTTTATTTTATTTTTTTGTTCTAAGTTATTTGTTTTAATGACTTTCTTTTATTGTGAGGTGTTTTGATTGGTTTTATCTACAACGTACAGAATCAATGACTTAATATTTAATTAGTGATGAAAAACAATTATGTCCAAATTAAAAAAAATTATATCAAAATTTTCGTATTAATTAATTATCACTAACTAAGTAAAAATAATGATCATTATATAAAAATAAAGTGACAAACTCAACTATAGATTGATTTAAAAAAAAACGTACTAAACCAATTATCTACTTTTTCCACCCCACATTGTGACCACCAAAACCTCTTTCTCTCTCCATTTTTCCTATTTTCTCACCTTTCCCTCCCACCCACATTGTGAATGGTCTAACCAGTTCTGGTCGGTCTAAACAATTATTGCCCACGAATGCAACCGGTGGTTAATAGTACTAAACAACTAGGGTAGACTTCACGAATTGAATGATTTAAAAATCGCCATTACTTTAAACCACCGTATTCAAAAATCGTAGTTAATATACCACCGTTTTGACTTTTAGCCACGCCCAAGTTATCCACTGTTTGTTCATCGTGGGTAATAGTATTAAACACCCTTTTTACTATTAAGCACCGTTTTTTCAACCTTGATTAAAGTGAGAGCAGAGAGAGGGAGGGCTGTAAATCCCTAGAGAAAGTGGAGTGGATCCCTTTGCCACTCAACCCAACAATGAAAAAAAGTAAAAGGAAAGGAAGAACGCTAAAGTAGACGGGTGCGGTGGTCGGGTGGCCTAATAGAGATGGGTAAACGGTTGCTGTTTTCTGGTTAAATCGAAATCACACCGAATAAGTGCAGTTAGTGGCTAGCTGCAAACCGTTTAAAGGGGATATTATTTGGTCGCAATTAGCAGAATTGATCATTTTGCGATTTGTTGGACTAACCGCAAACAACACCGAATAGCAAACTAACCGTACAACTAACGTCATATTACATCAACTATAGAATATTTGGCCTGACAAAAAAAAAAACAAACAACGTACGATAATAGTTTTGTGAGCTTTTTAAATCATTCAATTCATAATATAATTTTGTATTTAAAAAAACTTGGTAAATTAAATATATGTAGAAATTATCAAGAATATCCATCTATATGTATCAAACAATTATTCATAATTTAGCTAGACATTGACTTTTGAATGGTGTTCTTTGTCAAAACCGTTTAGTATCAATAACTCGAGCTGTTGTGAAAGATTTAATAACGAACCTTATACTATTTAGTATTTACTAACACTTACTAATGGAAACCAATTTTGACGTGCTTAAAGTTTTCGCAAATTTGAATTTCATGTGCTTAATAAATGGAGTCACCAAAATTCGAACACATGTACTAACTTACTAATTTACTCAATAGTAACCACCCATCACACTCCTTGATTGAAATATAACTACTTTTACAAATTAGTTTTGATTTGGTGGAAATTTGTTGTAGATATTAAATAAGTACCTCTTTAATTTTAGGCAGACCATATGCACCATTGTCATTTGTACATAATTTGTTATAAATGCATTGAATATACCATTACACAACTTACAAAGCATGCATTAAATATTTAAAAAGTGAACTGAATCATTCTAATTTAAACATATGTATTTTTCATATCCGATTCACTATTATACATAATTTATCATTTTCCCTTCCAAACCACGGTAAAATCTAACTTTTTCCCTCCGCCCGTGTTACGATGGGCCCAACCAGCACAAACCCTCTTTCAGCATGAATCCAATCCTCTCTGCTTTCCCATCTTGGAGTCGACAACATATCCACCAAATCCATTTTTTTCAAGTGGGTCTAATCTACATCCTCCAAACAATATAAAGAGGTTCCACTTGAACACCACCTCAGTTCATCTTTTCCTAGCTTCTGCGCATAGTAAGGGGGGATTTATTGGTCATTTAATAGTTTAAAACACTTTAATTATTAATTAAAAGCAAATCCGAACTCCAACCAAAAAAAATGACATCCCTTTTTAATTGAGAGATTCTTTGGTCATATCGTGGACTTAAAACACTCAACTTATTAATTAAAAACAAATCCGGACTCCAACTTAAAAATATATATATATATATATATTCCTTAATTACCGAAAAAACATATATCCTTTTAATTAACATGTTATGTTTTTTTATAATGAATTAACATGTTATGTTATATATGAGCTTATTTACGATACTTCAAAGTATTGGTGCATATACCATTTGAATTTGCGTCATAATGTTAAAAGTATAAATTTAGTTTGTATTATTGTGTAATTTGTACATATATGTATATGTGCAAATAGATCCATAACATAAAATGTACACTTTCAAATTGTATCGTAAATGAATTTGTATGAAAATATTTAGGTACAATATAACATCAATTGAAACAACCAATGGTATGAAATATTTTAAAAGTCCTCTATATATATTTGTTAAAACTGTTATTAGTAGCGGTGTTTTATTGTATCCATTTAGGCAATTTAGCTTATTGTTAGTTTATTAACATATAAGGTGTATAATTCAAGGTGCATAACCACTCCTTTATTAGTTTTTGATAAATCATAATTTATTTTTTCTAATTCAAATTATAAATTTTTAACTAAAAAAATGTTATTGTAGCATCATATAGCATCATGTATAGCATCATTCATGAACTTCTAGGGCTTCTACCCTATTTCAAAACTCATTACTTAGGTTTTTCTTTTTTTGTTCATTCTTATAATTCAAATTATTATATAATTCATCAGAAGAGAATTTTTCTATCATATCTTCTATAATGGTACTCGATCTATGCATCGATTCCTAATCATATCCCCCATCAATTTTTTGTAGATTGTCATGAAAGTGTCTCACCTTGATGACTGAACTTTGACTAAGATCCCAATCTTTTCAAATCAACTTAGAATAATCATGATACTCCCCTCTTGATTCATGATTTACAAATTGGGAAATCAAATCTGCAAAGATATAAGAAAAATTACAACATATCTATTGGAGAATAGTCAACCCATAAAGGTTATTCATTAGATATGACAATTTTGCCTATATCCATGAGTATTTTACTACCTAACCCAGTTGGTTTGGGTATGAAATTCAAATAGATGGTAAATTGGTAGAGTTTGATGGGTTTGTAGCAAGGACTGAAATACCGTACCAGAGGTTGTATCAGAAAAGTCACTGGTAGGGTATTTTATGCTAAAACCGTGGTTCAACTGCTTCATACTGTTAAATACAGCCTATCGATTTTTCTGATCGAACCGCCAGCACGGTATTTCAATCCTTGGATTGTAGTCATGCTCCTTTATTTGGATTGGGTTGGGTTGGATTTTAAATCCATGGATTTAGATTTATACCCATTTGTAAATTACAGTTTGGAACAATAATTTAATAGGTCTTTAGATTTAATACCTAAAATTATTTTTTTGCATATAAGTCCTCAAAATATTGAAGAAAAATTATATGTTAGTACCTAAAATTTTTATGTCTTACATTTTAGTACCTAAACTTTTGAAGTTTCACAAATAGGTCCAGTTTTTGGATGAGTAGTTAAAACACCCTCAAGTAAATGAGTATTCGAACCCAACCCAAACCCATACCCATATAGATTATGAAAGGAATATTCATATCCTACCCAAACCCATCTACAATCCCCCAAAACCATATATACATCACCCATACCCTATCCATATTCGATAGGTCTATTTGGATTTGGGAAAAATTACCCATGAGTGGGTAATTGCCATCCCTGTTATTCATTAAGTTTTCATCTATACATTATCAAATTTGTGTTGATCCCTGAGTAGTTTATCAGTGTTGGGAGAAAGAACAAATCTCATAAAAATTTAAGAGACGTAAATTATACTGCATGTAATATTTAGTGTTTCCAAACATTTTACTATTAAAGATTGTCTTTCAATGAGAAATAAAAGAAAATGAGAAGGAAGAACATATTGTGAAGATAAAGGTTTCGTTAAGAAAGACAAATGCATTGTAATTGGTGGAGATGTTTGTGCTTTAGAGGGAGGAGGCTGAGCTATACAAGAAATTCAAAATTAAATTTGCACAAATTTTTTTATAGTGAGGAGCAAATATTTTGGTTCACTAAATTTTTAGAAACCGATTTTCTTGCATGACTTTTAGTTTTTTACTTTCAATAAGGACTTGAGTCAATAAATCTGGTTAGCATGGTAAATCGGGTTAGTATGTTAAAAATTATATGAATATGGTATTTTCAGTAACTAAATGATTTGGAATTCGTATGATATGAATTAATACAGTCTCACTTCGAACAATTATTATAGTCATTTACACTACTATTGAAATTCATCCGGCCAACGGGCGGGCCCAAATCTAGTTTAAAGTGTGCCTCTGCCTCCGCCTCTGCCCATGTGATTATCGTCAGAGACTCAGAGCGCAGTGACCGCAACCCTCAACTAGGGATGGCAACAAAACCCAAACCCACGGGGTACTCACCCGACCCAACCCGGTCAACGCGGGTAAAATTCTTGTTGACGAGTTTTGGGCCGGGTTTGGATTTAAACCCATTCACTATTAACCGGGTTTGGTTGGGTTTGGGTTTAGGTAAACTCGACCCATGGGTACCCGCCCACACCCATATAGTTAATTTTCTCGGTATATCTAATATTCTAAACAACTAATCTCATTTATGTTTGTGGAGACATGTCTACTTTTTTCTTTCTAGTTGTGTAGAATGAAGTTGATGTCATCGAGTGGAGAGTGAAGAAACTTAATTGAAAGGAAGAAGTTTTCAATTAATTATGTTATTTATGGATAATTTGTGATTTGCTTCAATTTTGTCGACTTTTCTAGATTGCTGTTGAACAATTTGTATAGTTAATTTGTGATTTCCTTGATATTTGACTTTAATTTTGATAGGAACTTGTTACTGTAAATTTTTTACGACAAAAACCCGTGGGTACCCATGAACCCACGGATACCCAGCGGGTTGGGTTGGGTTTGAGTTTTTCAAACCCAGTGAGTTTTACCCCGGGTTTTTTTCACGGATAAACCCATGGGTTTGGGTTTGGCAAAACCCGACCCATTGCCATCCCTACCCTCAACCCATAATAATGCATTTGATTCTCCACGAGAAAAATGTGGAAAACTACTATTAATTAATTTACCACCCGTCATTAATATTCAACTAACTTTAAATACCCTCTTCTAGGCTCTATATATACGCTACGGGAAGTATACTCAGGCAGTAAGCAGACCAATTTAACTGTACGTCTTCAAATTACTTCCAATTCATAATCCGACGATGGAGAACCAGCACCCACTTCCGACGTCGGAGTTGTTTTGGGGTAGCCAGAACCAGATTTGCCAGGTAGAAGGATTCTGGTACCTGGCGCGGCATATGGAATCCATAGCCACTTTCAGGTCCGAATTCCAGCCGCGGAACGACGACATTCTCTTGACATCTTTCACGAAAACAGGATCAACCTGGCTCAAGGCTCTCTGTTACAACATCCTCGACGAACAAGAGAACGACATTCTGGCGAAGGAGAACCCCCACGGTGTGGTCCCCACGCTCGACATCGCTTTCCTCCATGACCGAGTCCAACACATGTTGCTCAATTCTCCTCCGACCGGTCGCAGCCGATTGCTCCACACTCATCTCCCCTGCAGTTACCTGCCGGAGAAGGTGAGGAGCTCGCCGCGGGGATGCAAGCTCGTGTACGTGGCCCGGAACCCGAAGGACACGCTGGTCTCGATGTGGCATTTCTTCAACAAGATGGTGAAAGCCTTCCCAGGCGGTCCGTTCCCGCTGGAGGGAGCGGTGGAGGCCTTCTGCAGCGGGGTTATCCCTTGGGGGCCTTACTACGAGCACGTGGTGGGATACTGGGAAGAGAGCAAGAAGCGGCCAGAGAAGGTGTTGTTTCTCAGGTACGAGGATCTGTGCAGAAACCCGGAGGAACAAGTGAGGAAGCTGGCTTCATTTCTTGGCCGAGAAACGAGTGTAGATGTGGAGAAGGTACTGTGGCGGAGCAGTTTGAACAGGCTTAAAGAGTTGGAGGTCAACAAGAACGGTGTTCGTACAGATGCCCCACATATTCCCAATTCCATCTATTTCAGGACGGGAACCGTTGGAGATTGGAAGAACTACTTGACTTCCGACATGGCTCAACCTATTGATCAGATCACACGAGTTAAGCTGCAGGGGACTGGGCTTTCTTTTGATGACGAGTAGTTCTCTGTGTGCGCTACTAAAGGGAATACCTTTTGCGACAATTTTCATTATTTCGTTATGTATTAGATGCTTTCTCCGTTTGGACGTTTGTTCGTTTGTGAATAAGGGCACCTTCGATCTGTACGAAGAATATCTGATGGGAATAAAATCACAACCTGCTTTGTCTTAATCCTGGTTCGTTTAACTTTAGCTCGTAGTATATGTTGACAAACTTCTCCAAAATTTGACTTAATCTTCAATAGTTAGGAAATCAAATGTGTCCTTTAGAGTTTGTTCTTCTACTTTTGGGGTTTGTGTTCTGGTTTTGGGATTGTCACTACACAAACAGGAGCTTTTGCGACGAAACTTTGGCGACGACGCATTATGTGGTCACTAAAGTATGTTTTTCTGTCGCTAAAGGTGAAAAAACTTCATGGGGTCGTTTGGATGGAGGAATGTGGCAGGATTGTGATGCAGGATTTTAAAACAATCCCACACTATGAGGGATTTTAATCAAATAACACGTTTGGAAAGGGCTATACAAATTAGGGATTGTAGCTATTAGAGATTTTAAAAACCCACACATGTAGGATTTCAGAATAGCTAATGAGGGTCAGCTATTTTGAAATCCCTCATTATTTTTTGATTTGTTCCAAACTTATCCTCCTTCTATCCTTCATCCACTCTTCACCCACCCTCTTTGTCCTTCTGTTCATCCTCCTCTGGTTTGGCGGCGGAGGAGATTCGCCCACTCTACTCGTCGTCCCTGTCGTCGCCCGTTCTTGTCCCCGCCCACTCTCGTTGCGCCAAATCGATCACTCGTCCCATCCTCCGTGATTTCGTCGGATCTGTTGGCATAAAGAAAAAGGGAATCTGGGTTCTAAAATGGGTTGTCGACTACCTCTTCTATGCGGCATCGAAGCCGTCTTCTTGCTCTGGGTTCTGGGTCGAGCACAAAGGACAAATCTGGATTCCTAGGTTGAAACGCGGAGGTCGAATCACAGTCGAAGTTTGAAGCTTGACGCCGATTCCATTCGAATCGAACTCGAGGTACTTGCAATCCATTGTCGGTCCTGCCCTGTTGCAACTAGGAGGCGGTCAGGGAATATGGAATTGGCTTTCCCTTGCTTGATGGGCATATGTGATTTTTGGGTTTGCCTTTGCAATTGTTTACTTAGAATATAAATTTTGGTCTGCAATTTTTAGATTTCTGGGTTCATGTTTGTTTAACATCAAGCTGATACTATTCATTGACCTCTTGTTGTTTCATTGCACTATATACATTTTGTATTAGTAACTTTCCAGCAGCTTTAATTAATTGTTTGTGTGATTCTTTGGTTTGCAATTATCCATTTGTACATAATATTGATGATGGAAGAGGAAGAAGAAAGAACGAGTAAGGAAGCAGAGAGGAAGAACAGCAAGAACACCTATTGAACAAGAGGGATAAAAATGTACTTTTAGGCCATCCCTTTAAATTCCTGTATTCCCATCCAAACAAGTAATTTAAGCCAAATCACTCATTTAAATTACCTGGGTTTTCGGGTGAGTGATTTGAGCTCAAATCCCTCTCAAATCTCTCAAATTAAAATTCTGCATCCAAACGACCCCCATAAAACATAGCAGTGCGGATGAAAAAATAGATACTGCGACGGATTTGAACATTTTTAGCGACGAGTGTCTGGGTCACAAAATCTCGATTGCTTTTGCAACGATACATTTCGTCGCAATATGATGTAGAACATTTGACGATTGCCTCCTCCGCGCATGTGATCATGGGTCTACCGAGCTGCAGCTAATCGACAATCTAGCAGCTGGCCGGCCAAGCGCTCTGTAGAGACTGTCGCAGTAGCGGTGATTTTATGTCACAGTCCACAATCAATTCTAGTCGAGCCCACGGTCACGGCGCACCTGGAATGTGTGCACAAAGTTGAATGAGATATATAGCTCCTCCGACGCCGTGGTAATATGTCAGCCTCACGTTAGAAAACAATTTATGTCAGTTGGATTCAACCCAAAATCGCGTTCGATTCTTCTGAAAAGAATGTGAAACTAGGGCCAAGATCAGGTGACTAAGGGGGGGTCCCTTAGTCACATGACTAAGCCAATCTCAACCATTGAACCTCATTAAACTCTAATGGTTCAGATTTATCTAGTTTAATGAAGGATAAGATGGTAATTACATTATTTATTTATAATTAAAACAAAATAAAAAAGAACACCATGTTCCTCGGCTCTCCCCGCGGCCAGTGCGTTTCTGGGAATTCCGCCGGCGGTGGTGCCAATTTGTTGGCCCAGAGAGAGAGGGAGCAATTTGTTGGGCCAGAGAGAGGGAGAGAGAGAGGGATCAGGCGCCATTATTATTCCCCGCCGCCGTTCCTTTTTTGAGCTCCCCTGGGGCTTTATAATTTTGGCCCATGGCCACCGCCGCCGCCATTTTTGGTGTGTCAGAGAGAGAGAGAGAGAGAGAGAGAGAGAGAGAGAGAGAGAGAGAGAGAGAGAGAGAGAGAGAGAGAGAGAGAGAGAGAGAGAGAGAGAGAGAGAGAGAGAGAGAGAGAGAGAGAGAGAGAGAGAGAGAGAGAGAGAGAGAGAGAGAGAGAGAGAGAGAGAGAGAGAGAGAGAGAGAGAGAGAGAGTGGTGGATGATTTTCCGGCAACAATATTTGAGTTCGTGATGTTTGTAATGTTTATATTACTATTTTGTATACATTGTAATGTTTGTAATGTTAGTAATGTTTGTTTGTCTAGTTTGTATACTTTATGTTATGATTTATACACTTTCTATTCATTGATTTGTATTTGTAACTTTTGTTATTCAAGTTTGTATACTTTTATGTTATGATTTGTATACTTTGTATTCATTTGTTTGTATACTTTGTACTGTTTGTAATGTTTGTAATGTTTGTTTTTTTGTAATGTTTGTAATGTTTGTTGGTTTCTTTTGTATTGTTTGTAATGTTTGTTATTTTTGTCCACATGTTTGTCATTTTTGTCAACCATGTTTGTAATGTTTTTTGCATCACAAATCAATACATATAAAGTATACAAATTATTAGTACTTACAATACAAAGCGAAACATACTAAGAATACAAGCAAAACATACTAAGAATACAAACTGTCAAAGAAAAACATACTAAGAATACAAACTGTCAAAGAAAAACATACTAAGAGTACAAACTGTCAAAGAAAAACATACAAACCATACTGTCAAAGAAAAACATACTAAGAGTACAAACTGTCAAAGAAAAACATACTAAGAGTACAAACTGTCAAAGAAAAACATACTAAGAGTACAAACTGTCAAAGAAAAACATACAAACCATACTGACATTTTGTACAAAAATACTAACAATACAAACTAATGTTACAAAACATACAAACTATACAAATCATTGTTCTTCCTTCAGACGACTCTCTCTCCACCGCTGCCGCCGACGGAGACGGACTGACTTTGCCGCCGACGGAGACGGCCAATGACACAGCGCAAACTCGAAAAAAACACGATCGAGATTACATTACGGAGCTGCTTGGCCTTCTCGGCGGTGAAGCAGCCCGGGGAGAATCGAGATCTGGCCTGCTTCGCATCCAGATCCGGCCGATTCTCGTCCTGATCGGCCGCCGGCTGGCTCGCTGGCGTCGTCCCGACGTAGTCCGGCTCGGAGGACCAGCCGAAGAGCGGGGACCACCATTTCGGCGAGGCGGAGGAGGATGGGGGGAGCTGCCTCCGGCGGTTGTTGAGGTCCGGGCTTCGTCGGGAAGAAATCGTCGGGAAAGGAAGAGAGAATTGGAGAGGGGAAAAAGGAAAAAATATATAAAATGGAAAACAGGATTTAATTATTTTTTTTAAATGCCAAAACTACCCCTCTGATTAATTATTAACCCTTCCTTCATCTGGACCATTAGATCTACCCATTCTAATCTAAGGGCTGAGGGGAGCTTAGCCATGTGACTAAGCACCCCCCCTTAGTCACCAGATCCGGACTCGTGAAACTACCATTACCATACCACCCCGACCGACAGTGTAACAGTTCCAGGCCAGACACGACGACGTATTTTGATGGTGTCGTTCTCTGGAACAAGAACGCAAGGCTCTAATTGCCAAGCTATCTTTCACAATTACTAGTGTCAAGACTCAAGAGCCAAACGAATCAAGCGAAGAAGTCGCGATAAGTTTTCAAAATGTTATGGTAACTTCCCAATAAATTAGGCATGTATTGTCTACAACTTGAGCACGTTAACTTTCAAATTTGTTATAAAAACTCATTCATCTCACCCAAAATATGGATAATATTTTATACGGTCCTGTTAAATTGGTCCGAATTGATCTGGTTCCGGTTCGGTCTTTTCGATAACATAAGGATCAAAGATTGGATTGGATACAGTTAGGAATGGCAATGGGGCAGGTCCGGGGCGGGTTTCTTGGTACCCAGACCCGCCCCGTAACAGGGCGGGTACAGGTCGGGTAATTGATCACTGGTCGCGGGTCGGGGCAGGTCGACCCAATGGGTATGCAATTTATATGAAAAACATTAGAAATATTCGTTATTTTTATTATAAGACTAAGAAAACAAACAATATTATGACAATTGTAGTTAAATTATTGGAGAAATTGAGGTTTTCACTAATTTACAACTTTATTATAGCTAAAATATGATGCAATAAAAGGAAAATTCAAAGTAATTTGACTAAGATTACATGTAATTTAGACAAGAACGGGTCGAGAATGGGGCAGGTCAGGGCAAGTCGGGTTGATGAGACTACCCATGCCCGACCCGCCACCCGCCCCAAAACAGGTCAAAAGGGTCGGGTAAAACGGGTTAGGTCGAAATTGCCATCCCTAGATACAGTCTGGTCTTGAACCGGTCCGGTCCCAATTCAGTCTTGATTTTAGATTGAGTTTGTGGATTACGCATGTATTGTCTACAACAAGAAAGGTGTCTGTACTGATGTTCCGCATATGCCAGCCCAATTCCATCTTTTTCAGGGTAGGAACGGTTGGGGATTGGAAGAACTGTTAGTATTGTGGTATATGATCCACGAATGAACCTTTCCCAACAACTCGAGTTATTGGGATTAACTGGTTCTTGACATGGTATCAGAGCCTTCTGTGACTGAGAGGTCTCCTGTTCGAATCCCGATGACCCCTATATATTTATGTTTCTGTTATGCACATGGTGTCCGAACATGTGCCTGTACAAACTTCAAGTCTATCTGAGTGGTTTGAGTTTGAGTTTAGTAAACGGTATATGATCCACGATTGAACCTCTACCAACAACTCGAGTTATTGGGATCAACTGGTTCTTGACATGGTATCAGAGCCTTCTGTGACCGAGAGGTCTTGTGTTCGATTCCCGGTGACCCCCATATGTTAAGCATATGGTATTCTTGTCTTCAGACCTGTGCAAACTTCAAGCCCTTGTGAGTGGCTTTCGTTTGAGGGGACGTGTTAGTATTGTGGTATATGATCCACGAATGAACCTTTCCCAACAACTCGAGTTATTGTGATTAACTGGTTCTTGACAAGAACTACTTGACTTCCGACATGGCTCAGCGTATTGATAGCCTCACACGAGTTAAGCTGCAGGGGACTGGGCTTTCTTTTGATGACGAGTAGTTGTTTTGTATGTGCTACGAAAGGGTGTAGCTTTGGCGACCATTTTCGTTATTTCGTTATGTAGCAGAAGGTTTCACCATTTGGACGTTTGTTCGTGTGTGAGTAAGCGGCACCTTTGATGTGTATGAAGGATATCTAATGGGTATAAAATCATAAGTTTCTTTGTCTTAATAACCATTTGTTTAAGTACTTTAGCTCATAGTATTTGTCGAACTCTTAGTAGTGAGCCCGAAGGTTTATCATATGTTCGACCGTAGGGAGAAGGGCAAAGGTTTAGAATATATGAGCCCGTAGGGCAAAGGAACGAAGTTGTTCGACTGAAAGGAGAGGGAGGGAATATGTGAGCCCGAAAGTTTAGAATATGTTCGATCGAAGGAACGAAGTAGTGAGCCCGAAGGTTAAGACGGCTTGTTTTGAAGGTTACTTTACTCGGAATCTAAGGATCGGAGAAAGATTGGCAATCTTACCCGTGGGCATCCATGAGAGGACCTATCTTGGTAGATTGGGAAAAAGTAGACAAACATCTCTTTCCAAAAATTTCCATTGCCCTAGGCTTTTGCCATATCGAGCTTTGCAGAAGAAGAAAAAAACCCATCTTTTCTTTTCTTTGTTTCTGTTCTTCATAGACTTAAAGCATTCGAAGACAATAATAAAATTATCCTTAATATACCTTCCATATACAAAAGCACTAAATTATTCAGAAATAATCTCATCAAGAAAAATCTTGAGCCTGTTGGTTGCCCGCTGTGTACTGTCTGAGCCCGAAGGTTTGGGCGGTCCTATTTAATTAATTCAGTGCTTGGAAAACTTCTACCGCTCGAAATGGCTCAAGCAGGGTGGCATTCGTTTCTTCCGAAAATGATTTAACCTTAGTAAAAAAAATAATAATTATATGAATGAAATTAAAAAATCACACATCATACGTTACCATGATGCGACTGTTACACTTGCAGAGAAGAGAGCGAGAAAAATGTGAAACTAAACGACATGGCTCTTTGTCACACTATCCTCCACCTCCACCTCCACAAACCATAAACGTACAACATGTTCTCAATATATATACCACAAGAGTTGTGCAGCCAGTAAGTAGAACACCTCTTTAATTGTCTCTTCAAATAAAGCCAACAATGGAGAACCAGCAACAACTTCCGACCGAGTTGTATTGGGGTACTCCTCACGACGTTTGCCAGATAGAAGGATTCTGGTACATGGCCGGTTTTATGGAAGCCACGACCGCCTTCAGGTCAGAATTCGAGCCGATGAAGGACGACATTCTCTTGACATCTTTCACGAAAACAGGAACAACCTGGCTCAAGGCTCTCTGCTACAACATCCTCGACGAGGAAGAGAATGACGTTCTGGCGAAGGAGAACCCCCACGATGTGGTCCCCACGCTCGACAGCACTTTCCTCCAAGACCAAGTGCAGCATCTGCTGGTGAATTCCCCTCCGGGGCGCAGCAGATTGCTCCACACCCATCTCCCCTGCAGTTACCTGCCGGAGAAGGTGAGGAGCTCGGGATGCAAGCTCGTGTACGTGGCGCGAAACCCCAAGGACACGCTGGTGTCGCTGTGGCATTTCCTCAACAAGAACCTGAAAGCCGACCCGTTCCCGCTGGAGAGAGCGGTGGAGACCTTCTGCAGGGGGGTTATGCCTTTCGGGCCCTTTTACGAGCACGTGGTGGGATACTGGGAAGAGAGCAAGAAGCGGCCGGATGAGGTGTTGTTTCTCAAGTACGAGGACCTGTGCAGAAACCCGAGAGAGCAAGTGAGGAATCTGGCCTCGTTTCTCGGTCGGGAAGCGAATATAGATGTGGAGAAGGTACTGTGGCGGAGCAGTCTGAACAGACTTAAGGAGTTGAAGGTCAACAAGGATGACGATATTAAGGAAGGACAACATGTTCACCACTCCGCCTTTTTCAGGACGGGAACGGTTGGGGATTGGAAGAACTACTTGACTCCCGACATGGTTCAACGTATTGATCAGCTCACACAAGTTAAGCTGCAGGGGACTGGGCTTTCTTTTGATGACCAGTAGTTCTGCATAAAGTTTTATTTAGTTTGATGTCATAAACCAACTGGTCCTAAATAACTCTAGTTATTGGAAGAGATCCATGTATGAATTTGTATAAGTTGTTTGAGTTCAAGTATGTAACGGGTGAATTTCCTCTACACTAGTAATAGCTAGAATGGTAGAAGTACTATTCATAACTCTATGGATTGTATATTAACCACACAAGAGCTTTATCACATGATATATGTAATTTATGATTGCATTTACCATCGTAGGTAGTGCTTGTAAGTTGTAACCACTGTAAAATACGGTGGCTAATTCCAAACCAGGTCCGTCCTAAGACCACCCACTGTGTGGGTTGGTAAAATGACAAAAGTGGGAAATGTTCTCGCAATGTAGCTGGGAAAGGGGAAAAATGGAAAAAATGGGAAATATGGGTGGGAATACCCATCACTAGCGGACAAATGGTGGGAAAGGGAGGAGGGAGGAGCACACTGTCGTGTCCGCATATAATTTTCTCATTAGTTTTTTTATTTTTTTTGTTCTAAGTTATTTGTTTTAATGATTTTCTTTTATTGTGAGGTGTTTTGATTGGTTTTATCTGCAACGGACAAAATCAATGACGTTATATTTAATTAGTGATGAAAAAAATTATGTCCAAATAAAAAAAATTATATCGAAATTTTCGTATTAATTAATTATCACTAACTAAGTAAAAATAATAATAATTATATAAAAATAAAGTGACAAAATCAACTATAGATTGATTTTAACAAAAATGTACTAAACCAATTATTCTAAAACCTCTTTCTCCCTCTCCTTTTGGCATATGCCGTTCATGTTTCATATTGTGAAATTATTCCAAAACCTCTTTCTCCCCCTCCTTTTCCTATTTTCTCACCTTTCCCTCCCACCCACATTGTGGATGGTCTAACCAGTTCTGGCCAGTCTAAACAATTATTGCCCACGAATGCAACCGGTGGTTAATAGTACTAAACAACTAGGGTAGACTTTACGAATTGAATGATTTAAAAATCGCCATTACTTTAAACCACCGTATTCAAAAATCGTAGTTAATATACCACCGTTTTGACTTTTAGCCACGCCCAAGTTATCCACTGTTTATTCATCGTGGGTAATAGTATTGAACACCCTTTTTACTATTAAGCACCGTTTTTTCAAATATTTAAAAGGTGAACTGAATCATCCTCCCATTATATTATGGAGGTTCTCCTCCGAAAACCCATTATTTCAACTTTTCCTCCCTCCTGCGCGAAGGGCGGAGGGTTCTTTTGGTCAAATTCATGAACCCATTACTTTGCAACAGATGGGCCTAACCTGCGGAATTGTGAAGGAACTATGCATGTAGGTCCAAAGTTTATTCTGGCCAAACTTACTAAACCCTTTCCTTTTAATTAATATATAATGGTAAATATATACATTGAATAAAATCAAAGGTATAGTAAACTTTGAGTAAGAAAATAATATCTAGATCTTGAATTGATCGAATTTAGTTGCATGATACTATACCCTAATTCTTATCGAGTGAACCCTGTGTCTTAGTTATTTAAATAATGACTTTGAGTAAAAAACATGATATCTAGACCTTGAATTGATCAAATTTATTTGCATGATACTATACCCTAACTCTAATTGAGTGAACCCTATGTCTTAGTTATTTAAATCATGGACCTTATACACCAAAATGGTGCATGTGATTTTTGCATATTTTCTGACAAATCATGACCGTCGATTCAAACTCCGATCAATTCATGGTCTAAATAACGAAACTCGATGGGCGTACGGTAAGGTTGTACGCTAGCCTGGACCATATATACATATATGAGGTCATAAGTCATTTTTAAGAGTTATATAACAACATCAAAGGCAACAGTAGTTAGGTAACAATCTACCTCTGCTCTTCCATTCTTTTTAACTTCAAATTCACTTCAGCCGAGAAAAAAATTGTAACCAGTAACACATAAAGCTTGAATAAAATATATACCTTGAATAAAATGAGAAAGGTATAGTGTACCTTGAGTAAGAAAATTATATCTAGATCTTGAATTGATCGAATTTTGTTGCATGATACTATACCCTAACTCTTATTGAGTGAACCCTATGTCTTAGTTATTAAAATCACAGACCTTACACCCCAAAATGGTGCATGTAATTTGTGCATATATTCCGACAAATCATAACCGTCGATTCAAACTCCGTTCAATTTATAGTCTAAATAACGAAACTCGATTGGCATACGATAAGGTTGTACGCTAGCCTGGACCATATATACATATATGAGGTCATAAGTAATTTTTAAGAGTTATACAACAACATCAAAGACAACAGTAGTTAGGTAACAATCTACATTTACTCTTCCATTCTTTTTAACTTCAAATTCACTTCATCCGAGGAAAAAATTGTAACCAGTAACACATAAAGCTTGAATAAAATATATACCTTGAATAAAATCAAAGGTATAGTATACCTTGAGTAAGAAAATGATATATAAATCTAGAATTGATCGAATTTTGTTGCATGATATCATACCCTAACTCTTATTGAGTGAACCCTATGTCTTAGATATTTAAATCATGGACCTTACACCCCAAAATGGTGCATGTAATTTTTGCATATATTCGGACAAATCATTACTGTCGATTCAAACTCCGGTCAATTGATGGTCTAAATAACAAAACTCGATGGGCGTACGATAAGGTTGTACGCTTGCTTGGAACACACACACACACACACACACATATATATATATATATATATATATATATGGGGAGTTCTATGGTACCCCGGGTGAAATCCGGGGTACCGCATACCTTGAGTACGAAAACACTATCTAGAACTTGAATTGACTAATGTTTCGAACATGATATCATATTCTAACCCTTAAAGATCAAAATTTAGGTCTTAATTCTCTAAATCTTATACCCCAAGATCAATTTAATTAGAAAGAATAATCGACGGTTATGATTCGTCCAAATATAGGCAAAAAATCAATGCACCATCTTAGGTTTTATAGTTTATTATTTATATAATTAGGACCTAGGGTTCACTCATTAAGGGTTAGGGTATAGTATCATGCCCAAAAACCCTGCTAATTCGAGGTCTATATAGCGTTTTCATACTCAAGGTATGCGATACCCCGGATTTCACCCAGGGTACCGTAGAAGGCACCATATATATATGAGGTCGTAAGTAATTTTTAAGAGTAATACAACAGTAGTTAGGTAACAATCTACCTCTACTCTTCTATTCTTTTTAACTTCAAATTCACTTCATCCGATGAAAAAATTGTAACCAATAACACATAAAGCTTTTGACCAAATAGTGTCTCAATAGCTGATATTTTATAGATTCAGGATACAGCTGCGTGTTGTACACAACATTGTTGAATCTGACTTTATTGTTTTGGATCATGTGGGAGTTCATTTTTTTTTAACATCTGCTAAGAAACTACTCCAAGATAGTGACAAAATGAGAGAAATTTCATCACCTCATCTAGGGCTGAGAAACGGTGCGGTCTGGTCCAGACCAGACCATATATACGGTCTACGGTCCAGACCGAGAGGTTAAAGTATAGACCACAGACCAGACCACAGACTATACGGTCTGGTCCAGACCACGCCTGTGCGGTCTGGTTCGGTCTGGTCTGGTTCAGGTAGACCACACTCAACGAAAAATGAATAATTTGTTTGGTTAACCACACAAAAAATTGAACCAATAACCAAGAAAAATAATTGTTATTTGCCTTAAAACATTAATCCTAACATGCATGAATAATTTTGATACTCTAAATCTTAGTACATAACAAAGATACAAAGTAAAAGCATCCCAGCTTGCACCATAATGTCATAAACATTAACATAATGTCATATGGAGACACGATTATCTCTACTCTGTGGTTAAATGTGGTTGTGAATGAAGGAGGGAAGAGATTCACAAAATTAAGGTCGAGACTTGGGTGTCGTTGTGGGAGTTTGGAGAGTGGTCGAATAGGCTGTTAACACGTATTGATAAGTCAGTTGGGTCTACGGTTTGGTCCGGTAAACCGCGGTCTAGACCAGACCAGACCAAGAGATCAAATCATAAAATAATACAGACCATGGACCAGACCAGACCATACTTCACGGTCTACGGTCCAGACCAAACTGTGCGGTACGGTTTGGACCACGGTTTTTCTAACGGTCTGGTCTATTTTTCCAGCCCTCCTCATCCCCTACAAAGTGATGAAATAAAGTTGAATTTTCATATCAAGTTCACTAATTACAACACTGCTAACCCCATAAGTGGGTGCATAGTTCTGAAGATAATGAAGATAACAAAGAGCAATCTCGGACAAAGTTCATTATATGCCTTGGGTATATTGAAGTTCTGGAAAATGGTGTTTCACAATTATAATATTTTGCCATTAAATTTTTAATGATGGAGGTAATGACGTTATCGAGATAAAGAAAGAGATTGTTGATGGTGGATATGAAAACTTTAATGATGGGAGGAAAGAGCGAATGCTAATAATATTGATGACTTGGATAAAGTAACTTCTTTTAAAGCAAAAATTATGTTTCATATTTCCATACATTTTAGCACTAAAATTTGGTTTCCAATGAAATATAGGAGAGAAAAAGGAAGATACTATCGATGGTAAATATAAAGATTTCATTAATGAAGACAAAGTCATGTTGAGATGTTTTTATGGCAGAGCAATCACAAAAAATTCAAAAGGAAACGTGCAGTAATTTCTAATAATAAAGAGTAAATTTAAGTGCATTTTGAATACTGATTTTTTAGGAGTTGATTTTCTTACATGAGTTGTGCTTTTTACTTTTGATAAATACTTTTGTTCATGAATGATCAAAATGTTATAAAACTTCTTGTGTATGTCATTTTATGATATTTTTAATAATTGAATTATTTCAATATTTTATGGTGAAAAAAATGTAACTTGCTTCGAGTTATTAGTATTATTATTTATATTATTGAATTAATTCATCCGGTCAACGGGTTGGATAATAAAAATTATATTAGTCTAGCATCATATAACATTATATATAATAGCATTCATGTACAATCAATTCTTCTAAAATGGTACCCGATATATGCGGCAATTCTTAATTGTATTTCCACAATATTAATTTTTTGTTATATTGTTATGAAAGTGAGTCTCACCTTGCTCACTGGACTTTGACTAAGTTTTCAATCTTTTTAAAGTCAACTTAGAAGTATCATGATACTCCCCACCTAATTCATGATTTAAAAATAAAAAATAAAACCACCAGATAGAAAATGACATTCATGGTAGGTTTAATTATTTTCATTGTCGATGTCGACCACTAAACTTTCCTAAGCTATTTTTACAAATTGGTAAATAAAATATGCAAATATATAAGAAAAATAAACGTATTTATTGAAGAAGACAACACCTACAAATTATTCATGAAGTTTTCAATCTATAAATTATCAAAATTTTCTGTTGGTCGTTGGGTTGTTTACATTGGGGAAAGAAGAAATCTCTTAAATTGTTCACAAGACACACATTCTACTGCATGTAATGTTTAGTGTTTTAAACATTTTACTGTTAAAGATTGACTTCTGATAAAAAAAAGTAAAAACGGTCTATTATAAAGATACAGGTTTCGTTAAGGAAGACAAAAGCATTATAATTGGTGGGAATGACGGTGCTTGAGAGGGTAGAGGCAGAGCGATCACAAGAAATTCAAAAAAAATTCAAAGAATTCTGGACAGAGATGAGAAAATAGTGTGGTCCAATTAAATTAATAGGAGTCGATTTCCTTGCATGACTTTTGTTTTTACTTTCAGTAATCACTTTAGTTAATATAGTGGATTAGCATGTTGAAAATTATACCAGTATAATATTTTCAAAACTTAATGATTTGAAATTTTTAGGATATGAAATAAGATATGCCTTTCTTCGGACAATTACTATGTTTATTTATACAATTAACGAAATTCATCCGGCCAACGGGCGGGCCCAAATCTAGTTCCCATTTAAATATATGTATTTTTCATATCCGATTCACTATTATACATAATTTATCATTTTCCCTTCCGAACCACGGTATAATCAAACCTTTTCCCTCCGCCCGTGTTACGATGGGCCCAACCACCACAAACCCTCTTTCTCCATGAATCCAATCCTCTCTGCTTTCCCATCTTGGAGTCGACAAATCCATTTTTTTTCAAGTGGGTCTAGTCTACATTTAAAGTGTGCCTCTGCCTGCGACCATGTGATTATCGTCAGAGACTCAGAGCGCAGTGACCGCAGACCTGCCCAAAGTTTGAATGCGATCGATCCTCCCACCCTCAACCCATACATAATAATGCATTTGATTCTCCACGAGAAAAATGTGGAAACTAGTACAACTTACTTTAAATACCCTCTTCTATATATACCGCAACAGTTTACTCAGGCGGTAAGCAGACCAGTTTAACTAACTGTGTCTTCAAATTACTTCCAATTCATAATCCGATGATGGAGAACCAGCAGCTACTTCCGGCGTCGGAGTTGTTTTGGGGCAGTCATCACGAGATCTGCCGGATAGAAGGAGTCTGGTACCACGCGCGGCATGTGGAAAGCATAGCCGCCTTCAGGTCCGAATTCGAGCCGAGGAAGGACGACATTCTCTTGACATCTTTCGTGAAAACAGGAACAACCTGGCTCAAAGCTCTCTGCTGCAACATCCTCGACGAAGAAGATAACGACGTTCTCGCGACGAGGAACCCCCACGAGGTGGTCCCCACGATCGAGATTGCTTTCCTCCAGGACCGAGTCCAACACATGTTGCTCAATTCCTCTCCGGAGCGCAGCCGACTGCTCCACGCTCACCTCCCCTACAGTCACCTGCCGGAGAAGGTGAGGAGCTCCTCGCCGCCGGGGTGCAAGCTCGTGCACGTGGCCCGGAACCCCAAGGACACGCTGGTGTCGATGTGGCATTTCTACAACAAGAACGAGAAGCTCTACACAAATGGCCCGTTCCCGCTGGAGAGGGCGGTGGAGATCTTCTGCGGTGGGGTCGTGCCCTGGGGCCCGTTTTACGACAACGTGCTGGGGTACTGGGAGGAGAGCAGGAAGCGGCCCGAGGAGGTGTTGTTTTTCAGGTACGAGGACCTGTGCAGAAACCCAGAAGAGCAAGTGAGAAAGCTGGCTTCGTTTCTTGGCCGGGAAACGAGCAGCATGGATGTGGAGAAGGTACTGTGGCGGAGCAGTCTGAACAGGCTCAAGGAGCTGGAAGTTAACAAGAATGGTGCCCGTAAGGATGCCCCGGATATTCCCAATTCCATTCTTTTCAGGACGGGAACCGTGGGGGACTGGAAGAACTACCTGACTCCCGACATGGCTCAACGTATCGATAGCCTCACACGAGTTAAGTTGCAGGGAACTGGACTCTCTTTTGATGATGAGTAGTAGTTAACCTAATCTTTGCGTTGCGGCGAGGCCGGCCGTTGTTCAAGTCCACCTAGCTAGGGTTTCTTTTGCTTGCCTTTTGTTTCTTCCTCTGTAATTTCTTTTCTCTGCTGTGTGCATGCTTTAATAAAACCAAGAACGCCATGACTTAAGGCTCTTGTCTTTTGCCACACTATCCTTCCACCTCCACAACTCAGAAACGTACGACACCATAGTCTCTATATATACCATAAGATTTGCTTAGCCAGTTATTAGCGTCAGATTAAGCTCGAGGATCCAAGAGCCGCTTCTGTAACTTTGTTGTCGATTGAGGCCCCCAGTTTTATGAAAACAACAAATCCGTCTGAGTCCGGAGGTTTGGACGGTCCTATTTGATTCAGTGCTTGGGAAACTTCTTTCAGCTCGTAGTGGCTCAAGCAGGGGGATACATATAGGGTCAATAACCCTATGATTTATAACTTTGCATAACTAAATACACTACAAAATTGAGAAGAATTAGGGACAATAGATGGGGAACGACTACTCTTATTTGTCTTAAGAAATATGATTTTAAGTGAGATTAGGGACAAGTGTATAATATTGTCCCTGCAGAATAGAAAATGAATTTTTACTAATTTCCAAATTTTGTTATTTGTCCCCGGAAGAAAAAATCCTGGAAAATGTAGAAGATTGCTTAGGATTTTCATTATCAAAAAAGATTGTGCAATTTTCCGAAGATATTTTATCAATTCTAAAACTAATTCATGTGGTCATGTGGGTGCAAGTTCGGAACTGGCGCCCAAGTTTTTGTACTTCCCGGCAATATGGGAAATTACTTTCCCTCCAGAATGAGAAACTACTTGGGGACAGAGATTTTTTTACAATGCGTTTTTCTTCAAATTATCTTTGGGGTTTTTTCATGATAAATGAGTATCATTGTTACTTTTTTTATGGCTTATACATCGATTCTTTTTGCTTTACAATGATCGAACTAATTAAGTATCTTGACTATAGGATTAACCTTTGAATTAATCATTAATATCCGTACAATTTTTTCCTTTTAAATTTTCACTTCGACATAGGAATTCACGAGCTCCTACGGAGGCCAATATCTTAAACTTCCATTTTGCAGTTAGTGATAACTTATAAGGTGTACGAATTAGTACTAGTTGCATTAAATGTGTTTTGTTTTCCTTTTTGTATTTATATTGTGCTAGGTAGATTATAAACATTTAGTTATTTGATAAGAAGTAACTGAGTTGGTTATTTAGTCAGTTCAAAAGGCTTCAATTGCATTTTCAATAGGACAAAGGAAAAATTGTGCTCCATCTCTTGTGCTGATTTGGCCAAGAAGGTGCTTAATAGATTACATTAATTACTGGGGGAAAAAATTGTGCTCCATTTGTGAGCACACTAAGCCAGTTGTCTCCTCATTTGATGATTCGTCGTTTTTGAAAATACACGTGGTAGTCCTTAAGTTACATAGGTTACCATTGGTCAGTCTTGAAGACAAAAAATAACGGACAATTAGTCATCCCTACAAGATATATATTGCACAATTAGTCGTTTCCAAAAACATAAGATAAGGGACGACAAATCATCCCTTCAATCTATGGAGAGACAAATCCTCATCTACGAGGACACAGGTTGAGAGATCGACCACTCGTCGCCCATAAAAGTTATATGGGTGACAATTTGTTCGTCTTCCAAAGCCACAACATCAACCTATCGTCATATATGTCATGTAGAAGACAACTTGTTTTTGCTAAAGGTATAATTAGAGGTGGCAATTGGATTGGATATCGATGGATGGGTGGATTGGATTGGTGTATCCCTGGATCAAGTGGATTGGTGGATTAATCCATGAATCCAAATAACTTCCAAGTCTTGGACCAATATGTAAATTTTGAAAAGTTTGGATACTAAAATGTCATAATAAAAAAATTTAGGTACCAAAATGTAATTTGTATGGCTTATAATGATCAATATGTTTGTTGTCGAGCACTTCTACTATGCTATATAGTATTGGATTTTAATGTACAACTTGAAGTTGTACCATAACGTTAATTGTATAAGTTCAAGTTGTACCATAAAGGAATTTGTACAACTATGTTATGGTACAACTTCACAACTTATGTGAAGTTGTACAATCACATACATGTACAAGTTCAAGTTGTACCATAAAAGAATTTGCACAAAAAGTATAGGTACAATCTGAAGTTGTACCATAACGTTAAAGGTACAATTTCAAATTGTACCATAAAAACAAAAACCTATATCACCAATACTATATAGCATTATAAAATTCCTCGTTTGTTGTCTAGATTAATTGGTTTCCATTCAAGAGACTACATAAGAAGAAATCGTAGAGCGTCAACCGAAGCATCGTCAAATCTCAAATGAATGAGCTTATGAGTGTGAAGATAACCAATCAACAAGTTTTTTTTTTGTGTGTTTAATCATCTCTTTTTATTGGCCGATGGTCCAAATTCATTCAATTACTAATCCAAATTCCAAAATACTATTACTTGAAGTTTAATACATTTCACCCTAAACCCCTTGTTGGACTCAATTTTTCAACTGTGGTGATTAACTTTCTTATGAGCGTAAATTTTGTTTACATTACCACTTTAAAGAGTATATTTAAATAGTCAAATACCATAAAAACATTTAATTTAAACCAAAAGAAAATATGAAACGGTATAAAAAATGAAACTATTAACAAAGAACTCTCCATCAGATTATTACATCACAGCGGTTTATTTATGTGGATCTAAATCTCAAACGTTCATTCAACTTTAAGTTATAATATAAACCCTAGCTCAATAGTCCAGTCCTCAGTTTCTCCCGATGAGAGTTCTTTTACCTTCTTGGTTTGACTCGCTCCTTGTTCTCTTTTTCCCTGGGCGCCGCTTGTCCACTGTCGCTTCCTTCTCCTCTTCAATGGCGGCTAACGGTGGTAGGATTCGTATTAGTTCCTTTATTTTTTTTGCTGGTTTCAGTCTCTTAAGTCATTATTAATTTTAGATCTATCTTTTCTTTAACATCGTCTCTTTTTTCTTCTTCTGAATTCGACTTCAGATGATGAAGTCAGTGGCACCATTGTGGATGCTTGCGTAATGTTCATATTTGAGTGGTATACGTGGCGATCAGGCTCAACGATGAATGTGTTGGTCGCTGCACAACGATGAACAACGATACAATATGCTTGCGGTGTTTTTTTTTGGGTACCTTCACATTATATTTTTGTAAATAAAAGTACTAAATTTTAGTTTTTTCCATATGATCTCGTCTGGAGCAACAACTCCACTCTATGTTTATTCCTATACTAAATCAATTATAGACCATATAAAAAATAGTTTAAGGGACAATTAGCCGTCCCCATAAGGGATACAGACGACAATTAGTCGTTCCCAAAGACAAATTCTAAATGACGACAAATCGTTCATACACAGAGAACAATTAATTGTTCCCAGAAGGTGCATAAATGACAAATCGTCGTCCCCCAATACACAAGTTAAGGGACAATTGTTTGTCCCTAAATTTAGAGGTGGCAACTTATCGTCTCTAGAGATATAGTATGAAAGACAACTCGTAGTCCTTGAATAAAACTTTTGGGGATGATTTTTGGACTCCAATTTGATACCTATAGGAATGACATGTCGACCCCAGAAAAAGAAAAGGGGACGACATATTATCCCTAGATAGACCAAATCAGTCATGAAATTGATTACGGGGGACAAAATATTGTCCCTGGAAATGATGTTTAGGGGACGACTTACTGTCGCTAAAGTTATAGCTACAGGGACGACATGTTGTCTTTCATGAAAGAGAAACGAGACTACTACTTGCGAATATCGGGGACGACTGTCGTCCCTAGTAGTGGGGACAACCTAGTTTTTTGTCGTCCCCAAAATAATAGAGGACAAGAGTATAGGGAACCACATGGTGGGGACGACATAGTCGTCCCCAAAATCTATAGGGACTATTTTTCCTATTTGCGGGGACGACTTTTGTCGTCCCCAAACCTCTTCTTTTTTGTAGTGATATGAGCCCTTCGGTTTAAGGCTTAATTGCAAGTTTGGTCACTCGAATTGCTACAAAATTTCACGTTTGGTCACTAAAATTGGTTTATTCCATTAGTAGTCACTTAAATTAGTTATGCAAACCATTCTCGCCTTCAGGTCCGAATTCCAGCCGCGGAAGGACGACATTCTCTTGACGTCTTTCACGAAAACAGGAACAACCTGGCTCAAAGCTCTCTGCTACAACATCTTCGACGAGGAAGAGAATGACGTTCTGGCGAAGGAGAACCCCCACGATGTGGTTCCCACGCTCGACAACACTTTCCTCCAAGACCAAGTCCAACATGGCAACATCTGCTGCTTAATTCCCCTCCGGGGCGCAACAGATTGCTCCACACCCATCTCCCCTGCAGTTACCTGCCGGATAAGGTGAGGAGCTCACTGGGATGCAAACTCGTGTACGTGGCGCGGAATCCCAAGGACACGCTGGTGTCGCTGTGGCATTTCCTCAACAAGAACCTGAAAGCCGACCTGTTCCCTCTGGAGAGAGCGGTGGAGACCTTCTACAGGGAGGTTGTGCCTTTCGGGCCTTTCTACGAGCACGTGGTGGGATACTGGGAAGAGAGCAAGAAGCGGCCGGATGAGGTGTTGTTTCTCAAGTACGAGGACCTGTGCAGAAACCCAAGAGAGCAAGTGAGGATGCTGGCCATGTTTCTCGGTCGGGAAACGAATATATATGTTGAGAAGGTACTGTGGCGGAGCAGTCTGAACAGACTCAAGGAGTTGAAGGTCAACAAGGATGATGCTGTGAAGGAAGGGCAACGTGTTGGCAATTCCGCATTTTTTAGGACGGGAATTGTGGGGGATTGGAAGAACTATTTGACTTCCGACATGGCTCAACGTATTGATCAGCTCACACGATTTAAACTGTAGGGGACTGGTCTTTCTTTTGATGATGAGTAGTTACGTTGGTTCCCTGTGTCAAAAGTTGCCACCGGTTGAATGTTTTTTTTGTGTGACCTATCTTTGCGTTGTAACAGGGGTGGTTCAAGTCCACCTAGTTGTTGGGGTTTCTTCTGCCTGTCTATTTATCCTTTGAGGTGGGTGATAGACCGCTAATTGCACATGTTTTCACCCCTATTCTTGAGCTGTTTGAGGTGTTGATTCTTGTGTTTTAGGTCGATTTCACGCTGGGTTGTGCTTGTTTGTGATATTCCAGGTCCTAGTAAGTGAATGAAGGTTTAGGAGCGAGTTCGGAGTCGATTGGATGAAGATCGGGCGCGCGGCAAGTCTCTGAGAAAGCCACACGGGCACACACAAAACCCACACGGCCGTGCAAGTGACCAATGTGGCCGTGTGGGATTGTGCGAGCCTTCACACGGGCACAAATAAATTTCGCACGACCGTGTGAAGGAGCAATGTGGCCGTGTGGAATTCTGCGAGGCTTCACACGGGAAGACTGGGTGAGATACACGGCCGTGTGTCCCTGGCCGTGTAGGTAGCCTGAAGTGCAATTATTGGAAACGCGTTGTTTTGTGTCTCACACGGGCAACTGGGTATGCCACACGGCCGTGTGGCCTGCCCGTGTGATCGGGATTTTCAGGTTTTTACCCAATTTCGGGCCACAAGTGAGAGAATCGAATTTTCAGAGCAAAAATAAAGCCCTAGAGAGAGAAAGTGCGAAGAACACATCCTAGAAGCTATCTTGGAGCTGGGTTTCATCAAATCGAGCTTGGAGATCGTCATAGGAGTGGAAATCATCATCCCAGAGCATATTCTTCCCATTGTTATGAAGAACCCTAGTTCCATGTGCTAGGGATTCTGTTTTCCTCTCTCTCTCTATGGAGTAGAACCCTTCTCTCACTTGGGTATGAAGAACCCTAGTTCCATGTGCTAGGGATTTGATTGTAATGACTTGGGATGATTATACTGTTTGGTTTTAATCGAATGATGCATGTTTTTATTGAATTGATTGAAGTCTGATCAGCTTTTCTTGATTTCTGCTGCAACCTGAGATAGATAGAATCTGATTAGGTTCTTAGAGCTACATCATTCGGTAGTAGTGGATTGGCTATACGAGAGTTAGTCAATCTGCTGCTTTGTACTGGAATCCAATTCCAGTAGTGGAGTTCTGCGTTCATAGCCTCAGCTTTCTACCCCGGTGAAGACTAGTCGTCTGCCGGGTAGATTGGCTGAGAGGGCTTGGTCAGCTTAAGAGATTCCAAGCTACTGTCGGATCTTCCGCAGTTTAATCAACAGTAAATCAACCCAGGGTAATTACAATTGAACCTAACTAAGGAGCTAGGGGGACTCATTCCCGAGTGACTCTTCTTTGCTTGAGAAAACCGAACCATTTCCTGCTTTTACTTTAAACAACAATCACTCGACTTAGTTGGCTGGATAATAGATAATCACGGAGTAAGCAGTAGATCTAGACCCGGGTTGATAATAGAACTTGCCACTTTACTGCATTCCCGGACTGCGATTACACTTGGTCGCAGTTAGGTGTTGTGTTTTACCGTGTCAGTGTGCATGGCCTTTGTTCCAGTCCACCTAGCTGCTAGGGTTTCTTTTGCTTGCCTTTGTTTTTTCCTCTGTCATTTATTTTCTCTGCTCTAATAAAATCACTTCACCTTCGTAGAAGAAAATTCGTTCGTTTGAGGTTCTTACTGAAGGAATTTATTTTTACCGACTCACCTTCATACTTACTTAGATTTTACTTCAGCCGTTGAGCTTCCTTGCAGTTTGCTCTTCCAAAAATCAACTATCATCGACAAAAAATTTAAATAAGTGTGGGAATTGGGGGATGGGGGTGGGGAAGCTTGAAGATTTATTCTGGAAAAATCGCCCAAAATTTGTGATGGTACCCCTTTGCAATCTGCAAAAATTGACCCGGAATAAATCTGCCCAAATCGGTGCTTAATAGACTAATCATCGTTGAAGAATAGCCTCAAGTTGAATCCGTGACCTGTAGCCTTCAAAATCCAAAGAAAATGGCCTTCCGACGCCCCCAAAACACGAAAAATAAATTGGCCCAAATCGGTGCTTAATGAACTTATCATCCGTGGAGAATAGGATCAATAGACTTCATTATCGGTTGAGAATAACCTCGGTCTAGTTTCGTGATCTGTAGCCTCAAGAATGGAAAGAAAATGACATTTCGGAAAAATCGCCCAAAATCTGTGATGGTACCCCTTTCCAATCTGCAAAAAATTGACCCGAAATAAATCTGTCCAAATCAGTGCTTAATGGACTAATCATTGTTGAAGAATAGCCTCAGGCCGAATCCATGACCTATAGCCTTCAAAATCCAAAGAAAATGGCCTTCCGACGCCCCCAAAATTACGAAAATGTCATACGAAAATAAATTGGACCAAATCGGTGCTTAATGGACTTATCATCCGTGGAGAATAGGATCAGTAGACTTCATTATCGGTGGAGAATAGCCTCGGCCTGATTCTGTGATCTGTAGCCTCCATAATCGAAAGAAAATGGTATTTCGGAAAAATCTACCAAAATCCGTGATGGTACCCCTTTGCTGCCAAAAATTGACCCGGAATAAATCCGCCCAAATCGATGCTTAATGGACGTAATCATCATTGAAGAATAGCCTCAGGTCGAATCTGTAACCTGTAGCCTTCAAAATCCAAAGAAAATGACCTTTCGACACCCATATAATTACGAAAATGCCATCCAAAAATAAATTTGCCCAAATTGGTGTTTAATAGATTTATCATCTGTGGAGAATAGGATCTATAGAATTCATTATCAGTGTAGAATAGCCTCGGCCTGATTCCGTGATGTAGCCTCCAGAATCGAAAGAAATGTGCATTTTAGAAAAATCGCCCAAAATCTGTGAGGGTACCCCTTTGCAATCTAACAAAAATTGACCTGGAACAAATTTTCTCAAATCGGTGCTTAATGGACTTAATCATAGTTGAAGAATAGCCTCAGGCCGAATCTTTGACCTGTAGCCTTCAAAATCCAAAGAAAATGGCCTTCTGAAGCAAACAAAATTACGAAATTGCCATCTAAATATAAATTGGCCCAAATCGGTGCTTAATGGACTTATCATCCATGGAGAATATGATCAATAACTTCATTATCGGTGGAGAATAGGATCAATAGACTTCATTATCGGTGGAGAATAGCCTCGGCCTGATTCCGTGATCTGTAGCCTCCAGAATCGAAAAATATGGCATTTAGAAAAAATCACCCAAAATCTATGGTAGTACCCCTTTGCAATGTGCCAAAAATTGACCCGGAATAAATCCACCAAAATCTGTGCTTAATGGACTTAATCATCGTTGAATAATATTCTCAAGGCGAATCCGTGATCTGTAGCCTTCAAAATTCAAAGAAAATTACCTTTCGACTCCAACAAAATTACGAAAATGCCATGGGAAAATAAATTGGGTCAAATCGGTGCTTAATAGACTTATCATCCGTAGAGAATAGGATCAATATATTTCATTATAGGTGGAGAATAGCCTCGACCAGATTCCGTGATCTGTAGCGTCCATAATCGAAAGAAAATGGCATTTCGGAAAAATCGCCCAAAATCTGTGATGGTAACCCTTTGCAATCTGCCAAAAATTGACTCGGAATAAATCCGCCCAAATTGGTCATTAATGAACTTAATCATCGTTGAAGAATAGCCCTAGGCCGAATCTGTGATCTGTAGCCTTCAAAATACAAAGAAAATGGCATTTCGACGCCCACAAATCGGTGCTTAATGGACTTATCATCCGTGGAGAATAGGATCGATAGACTTCACTATCGGTGGAGAATAGCCTCGGCCTGATTCCGTGATCTACAGCATCCAAAATCGAAAGAAAATAGCATTTCGGAAAAATCGACCAAAATCTGTGATGGTACCCCTTTGCAATCTGCCAAAAATTGACACGGAATAAATCCGCCCAAATCGGAGCTTAATGGACTTAATCATCATTGAAGAATAGCCCCAGGCCGAATCCGTGATCAGTAGCCTTCAAAATCCAAATAAAATGGCCTTTCTACGCCCACAAAATTACCAAAATGTCATCCGAAAATAAATTAGCCCAAATCGGTGCTTAATGGACTTATCATCCGTGGAGAATAGAATCAATAAACTTCATTATCGGTGGAGAATAGCCACGACCTTCTTCTGTGATCTGTACCCTGCAGAAACGAAAGAAAATGACATACCCTTTGCAATCTGTCAAAAATTGACCCGGAATAAATCCGCCCAAATTGATGCTTAATGGACTTAATCATCGTTAAAGAATAGCCTCGGGCCGAATCTCTGATCTGTAGCCTTCAAAATCCAAAGAAAATAGCCTTTCGACCCCCACAAAATTACGAAAATGCCATCCGAAAATAAATTGGCCCAAATCGGTGCGTAATGGACTTACCATCCAAGGAGAATAGGATCAATAGACATCATTATCGGTGGAGAATAGCCTCGGCATGATTCTGTGATATGTAGCCTCCAGAATCGAAAGAAAATGACATTTCAGAAAAATCGTAATCTGTGATGGTACCCTTTTGCAAACTGCCAAAAATTGACCCGGAATAAATCCGCCCTAATCAATTCTTAATGTACTTAATCATCGTTGAAGAATAGCCTCAGGCCGAATCAATGATCTGTAGCCTTAAAATTCCAAAGAAAATGGCCTTTCGACGTCCACAAAAATTACGAAAATGTCATCCGAAAATAAATTGGCCCAAATCGGTGCTGAATGGACTTATCATCCGAAGGGAATAGGATCAATAGACTTCATTATTGGTGGAGAATAGCCTCGACATGATTCCGAGATCTGTTGCCTCAAAAATCGAAAGAAAATGACATTTCATAAAAATCGCACAAAATCTGTGATGGTAACCCTTTGCAAACTGCCAAAAATTGACCCGGAATAAATCCGCCCAAATCAGTTCTTAATGTACTTAATCATCGTTGAAGAATAGCCTCAGGCCGAATCCATGATCTGTAGCCTTCAAAATCCAAAGAAAATGGCATTTCGACGCCTACAAAATTACGAAAATGTCATCCGAAAATAAATTGGCCCAAATCGGTGCTTAATGGACTTATCATCCATGGAGAATAGGATCAATAGACATCATTGTCGGTGGAGAATAGCCTCGGCATGATTCCGTGATCTGTAGCCTCCAGAATTGAAAGAAAATGACATTTCAGAAAAATCGCACAAAATCTGTGATGGTACCCCTTTGCAATCTGTCAAAAATTAACCCGAAATAAATCCGCCTAAATCGGTGCTTAATGCACTTAATCATAGTTGAACAATAGCCTTAGGCTGAATCCGTGATATGTAGCCTTCAAAATCCAAAGAAAATGGTATTTCGACGCTCACAAAATTACGAAAATGCCATCTGCCAATAAATTGGCCCAAATCTGTGCTTAATGGACTTATCATCCGTGGATAATAGGATCAATAGACGTCATTATCGGTGGAGAATAGCCTCGGCCTGATTCCGTGATCTGTAGCCTCCAAAATTGAAAGAGAATGGCATTCGAAAAAATCACCCAAAATCTGTGATGGTACTCGTTTGCAATCTGCCAAAAATTGACCCGAAATAAATCTGCCCAAATTGGTGCTTAATTGGCTTAATCATAGTTGAAGAATAGCCGCAGGCCGAATCCGTGATCTGTAGCCTTCAAAATCCAAAGAAAATGGCCTTTCGACGCTCACAAAATTACGAAAATATCATCCGAAAATAAATTGGCCCAAATCGGTGCTTAATGGACTTATCATTCGTGGAGAATAGGATCAATAGACTTCATTATCGATGGAGAATAGCCTCAACCCGATTCCGTCATCTGTAGCCTCCAGAATCGAAAGAAAATGGCATTTCGGAAATATCGCACAAAATCTGTGATGGTACCCCTTTGCAATCTGCCAAAAATTGTCCCGGAATAAATCCGCCCAAATCGGTGCTTAATCGACTTAATCATCGTTGAATTATAACCTCATGCCGAATCCGTGATCTGTAGTTTTCAAAATCCAAAGAAAATGTCCTTTCGACGCCCACAAAATTACTAAAATACTATCCGAAAATAAATTGGCCCAAATCGGTGTTTAATGGACTTATCATCCCTGGAGAATAGGATCAATAGACTTCATTATCAGTGGAGAATAGCTTCGGCCTGATTCCGTGATCTGTAGCCTGCAGAATCGAATGAAAATGACATTTCGAAAAAATCGCCCAAAATTTGTGATGGTACATATACAACTAGAAATTGCGCAGCCAGTAATCAGACCTCTTTAATTGTCTCTACAAATCCAACAATGGAGAACCAGCAGCCAGTTCCCATGGAGTCGTTTTGTGGTACTGATGAATTTTAAAAAAAAAAATTGAATTATTTTCATGAATTGGAAAATTAACAAAACATACGTTACAATGATGCGACTGTTACTTGTGGAGAAGAGAGCGCGAGAAATGTGAAACAAGAACGACATAACTCAAGGCTCTTTGCCACACTATCCTCCAGTCCACAACTTCAGAAACGTAACGTACGACACCATATTCCCTATATATACACCACAAGAGTTGCGCAGCCAGTATATAAGTAGACCTCTTTAATTGTCACGTTAAATAAAGCCAACAATGGAGAAGCAGCAGCCACTTCCGACGGAGTCGTTTTGGGGAACTCATCACGAGGTTTGCCAGATAGAAGGATTCTGGTACATGGCCGGGTTTATGGAAGCCACGGCCGCCTTCAGGTCAGAATTCGAGCCGAGGAAGGACGATATTCTCTTGACATCTTTCACGAAAACAGGATCAACCTGGCTCAAGGCTCTCTGCTACAACATCCTCGACGAGGAAGAGAACGACATTCTGGCGAAGGAGAACCCACACGGTGTGGTTCCCACGCTCGACATCACTTTCCTCCAAGACCGAGTCCAACACATGTTGCTCAATTCCCCTCCGGGTCGCGGCAGATTGCTCCACACCCATCTCCCCTGCAGTTACCTGCCGGAGAAGGTGAGGAGCTCGCCGCGGGGATGCAAGCTCGTGTATGTGGCTCGGAACCCTAAGGACACGCTGGTGTCGCTGTGGCATTTCCTCAACAAGAACGTGGAAGTCGACCAGTTCCCGCTGGAGAGCGCGGTGGAGACCTTCTGCAGCGGGGTTATGCCTTTCGGGCCTTTCTTCGAGCACGTGGCGGGATACTGGGAAGAGAGCAAGAAGCGGCCAAACGGGGTGTTGTTTCTCAGGTACGAGGATCTGTGCAGAAACCCTGAAGAGCAAGTGAGGAAGTTGGCTTCATTTCTTGGCAGGGAAAAATGGATAGATGTGGAGAAGGTACTGTGGCGGAGCAGTTTGAACAGGCTTAAGGAGCTGGAGGTCAACACGGGCGAAGTTGTGAATGAAGGACAACATTTTCGCAACTCCACCTATTTCAGGACGGGAGCTGTTGGGGATTGGAAGAACTACTTGACTTCCGACATGGCTCGACGTATCGATCAACTCACACGTGTTAAGTTGCAGGGAACCGGGCTTTCTTTTGATGATGAATAGTTATGTGTGCTCCGAAAAGGAAATACTATTTGCAGTCATTTTCATTTATTTCGTTCGGTATCAGAAGCTTTATCCGTTTGGACGTTTGTTCGTGTGTGAATAAGGGCACCTTTGTATTGTATGAAGAATGTCTAATGGGAATAAAACTGTAAGCTGCTTTGTCTTAAACTCTTAATCCTGGTTGGTTAAACTTTAGCTTATAGTATCTACTGACAAACTTCTCCAATTTTCGACTTAACTGGGTTTCACTCACCTATTTGATTATTCTTTTCTTTAATTTATTTGTTGATTCTTGGGTAGTAGATTCTGGAATTATAACCTTCATTAATTCAACACTCCTCAAGGTTAATTCATTATCTTGAAATTACTAGCGGCTCTTTTGTTTGTTTCGTACGCTTGTAGCTTTCTTCTTTGGTAGTTTTTTTAACCGTTTTCATTATTCGATTTGTCTTCTTCAGCTTCTCTTTCACGACAGTGTTGCACTCGTAAATTTCTGCCAGTGACCTTATTTTTCTTGGTGGGGAATCTGAAGACGACGATTGAATTTTCTCCATCCGAGTCTGCATTTGTTATGCCTTCTTGTTGTGCTGGTTCCTTGGTGGTTGAATTATTTCAACATTCATTCTTATCTACTTTTTTTCACCCCAGTTCCAGATAGCTGGGATTTAGATTGTTTAATGAAGCAGGTGAAACGAGCCGGAGAAGTTGCTGTCATCTTTTGAAAAGCCTCCCACCAGCTTAAAAACAATAAACAGACGTATGTGAGATCGACATAAATGATTTCCTCAAGATTTGGTTTTGTCGAAAAGGAAAACAAGTGAATAGGAGCCTGCATTGGTCATGGACCAAATTGCCATTTAACAATGAATTCACTAACTTAATTAGCTTTATATACCCTGTGCTAGAGCAGGGGAATATATCATAGATTCCCCTGCTATCTCCAATACTCCGATGGACAACCACCAGCTACTTCCGACGGAGTCGTTTTGGGGCAGTCATACCAAGAATGTTTTCCAGGTAGAAGGATTCTGGTACCTGGCGCAGCATATGGAATCCATAGCCGCCTTCAGGTCGGAATTCGAGCCGAGGAACGACGACATTCTCTTGACATCTTTCATCAAAACAGGAACAACCTGGCTCAAAGCTCTCTGCTCCAACATCCTCGACGAAGAAGATAACGACGTTCTGGCGAAGGAGAACCCCCACGATGTGGTTCCTGCGCTCGAGATCGCTTTCCTCCTCGACCAGGTCCAGCATCTGCTGCTGAATTCCCCTCCGGGTCGCAGCAGATTGCTCCACACCCATCTCCCCTGCAGTTACCTGCCGGAGAAGGTGAGGAGCTCGGGATGCAAGCTCGTGTACGTGGCGCGAAACCCCAAGGACACGCTGGTGTCGATGTGGCATTTCCTCAACAAGATGGTGAAAGCCTACCCAGGCGGTCCGTTATCGCTGGAGAGAGCGGTGGAGGCCTTCTGCAGCGGGGTTATGCCTTGGGGGCCTTACTACGAGCACGTGGTGGGATACTGGGAAGAGAGCAAGGAGCGGCCAAACGAGGTGTTGTTTCTCAAGTACGAGGACCTGTGCAAAAACCCGGAGGAGCAGGTGAGGAAGCTAGCCTTGTTTCTTGGCCGAAAAACGAGTGTGGATGTGGAGAAGGTATTGTGGCGGAGCAGTTTGAACAGACTTAAAGAGTTGGAGGTCAACAAGAACGGTGTCCGTACGGATGCCCCACATATTCCCAATTCCATCTATTTCAGGACAGGAACCGTTGGGGATTGGAAGAACTACCTGACTTCCGACATGGCTCAACGTATTGATCAGCTTACACGAGTTAAGCTGCAGGGGACTGGGCTTTCTTTTGATGACGAGTAGTTTGTTCGAACTGCTTATCTGCTTTGGTATTTTGGGCTACAGTTGTAGTAGTGTCTATTTATCCTTTTGCGGCAGGCATGGCCGTGGTTCAACCCCTCGTGGTCCGGGGGCTTTGCTGGCCTTTGTTTTCTCCTCTGGAATTTCTTTCCTCTGCACTTTGTTTGTGGGACTAATCTTTAGTTAGTCTCTCTACTTGGGCCCTGTGAACAAATATGCTTTTGAACGATATTAGATGCCAACCTTTTTAACGAGTTATCACCGTACTAACTACTGCTAGGGGTGGGAGAGGGCCTGGATCGATTTAACCGAAATGGTTTTATTCGGTTTTTCACGAGAGAATTGTGCGTGCAAATCTACAACTAGAAATTCGATTGGATTGAAATCAGTTTCAACCGTAATGATCAGATTGGATTGAAAATGGTCCGATCTTATTTTAACCGGTAAACCAAATTAACACAATTCGTCATTCGCTTCCTAAAACATCAACATAACTCTATTGGCGACGGAACGGTTCGTCGCAAGAAGGCTTAGGTGACACGTCAATGTTTGTCACGGGAATTTTTGCATTGAACGGTTCGTCGCTGAAGATATTTTTAGCGACGACTAGGTTATCGCGTAAGTGTTTACAATTTTGCGACGGAGTATCAGTTTCATCGCCGAAATCTTTGGTGACGCGGTATACGTGTAGCAATGTAAAGCACTTTCGTCGCAGTAAGTATTAGCAACGGATTTTCACGGCTTTCAGCGACGAGTGCTGTGGTCACTAAATTCGTCACAGTAAGTATTAGCGACGGATGTTCACGGCTTTCAGCGACGAGTTCTGTCGTCACTAAATTGACGATTGTTGTAGTTAAAAGAAGCAGGTAAAACGAGGAAGTAGATGTCGTTGTCACGTTTAGAAAAACTTGCACCAGCTTGAAAACAATAAACAGACGTACGTTAGATCAACCTGAAGGATTTTCCCAAGATTTGGTTTTGTCTTAAATCAGAGTGGCACACCCTATTGGTTTTGCCTCTGATCCTGTTTCAGTTCCACGTTTTGTTGTTTGAAAGTTTGTTTCGTGTGTGCATAAGTTTGTCTTCTCTATGAATAATGGAATATAATCATATGGGTTTGATTTTGTGTTTAAGCTTTGTTTTAATCCTGATTCTTTTAACTTTAACTCATCAAACATGTATACCGTGGAGGATTCAAATTTTAGAGAAAGTGGTAAGGTCGATAAAAATAAAATAATAAATAAATAAAGTGCATAATTGTATTGTTTTTTATAATGAACTGTTGCGGGTTTTCTTATTAATTATCAAAGGTTTTCAATATACATTTATCTTTTACTTTCGACTCAAACCTTTTCCAAATATTGAATATAACCAAATATCATTCATAAATCAGTCACGCCTCCGATTATGAAGCCAACAACTCTCAAACAATGGAAGATTATTGATCTAAACGAATGAGGATTAAGACAAAGCTTAAACAAACCCATATGACGATATTGCATTATTCATAGAGAAGGGAAGAAGAGGACTAAATTAAAGAAGATTAGTCCCACGTGCCCTAATGCACACACACGAACACACTTTCAAATAAGAAAACATGCACAACTGATACAAAACAAACTGATTAAAATTGTCACCACTCGCCAGACACCAACTTTCTTGGTCGCAAAAGGTATTTCCTCTTTTGGTACGCGAAACTACTCGTCATCAAAAGAAAGCCCAGTCCCCTGCAGCTTAACTCGCGTGAGGCTGTCAATACGTTGAGCCATGTCGGAAGTCAGGTAGTTCTTCCAATCCCCAACGGTTCCCGTCCTGAAGAAGGTGGAGTTGCCAACATGTTTTCCCTCCTTCGCAACGTCATCCTTGTTGACCTCCAGCTCCTTAAGCCGGTTCAAACTGCTCCGCCACAGTACCTTCTCCACATCTATGCTCATCTTCCGGCCGAGAAACGAAGCCAGCTTCCTCACTTGCTCTTCTGGATTTCTGCACAGGTCCTCGTACTTGAGAAACAACACCTCTTCTGGCCGCTTCCTGCTCTCTTCCCAGTAACCCACCACGTGCTCGTAAAACGGCCCCCAAGCCATAACCCCGCTGCAGAAGGTCTCCACCGCTCTCTCCAGCGTGATCGGTCTAGCTGGGCCGACCTTAAAGTTCTTGTTGAGGAAATGCCACCGCGACACCAGCGTGTCCTTAGGGTTCCGGGCAACATACACGAGCTTGCATCCGGAGCTCCTCACCTTCTCCGGCAGGTAACTGCAGGGGAGATGAGTGTGGAGCAATCGGCTGCGACCCGGAGGGGTATTGAGCAGCAGTTGTTGGACATGGTCTCGGAGGAAACTGCTGTCGAGCGTGGGAACGACATCGTGAGGGTTCTTCTTCGCCAGAAGGTCGTTTTCTTCTTCATCGAGGATGTTGTAGCAGAGAGCTTTGAGCCAGGTCGTTCCTGTTTTGACGAAAGATGTCAAGAGAATGTCGTCCTTCCTCGGCTCGAATTGTGACCGGAAGGCGGCCATGGCTTCCATATGCACCGCCAGGTACCAGAATCCTTCTATTGGGAAAATCTCGTGGTGCGTTTCCGAAAAGAACTTCGTCGGAAGTAGCTGCTGGTTCTCCATCGGATAATTAATTGTGAAGAGACAACTAAATAGGTTTACTTATTACTTACTACCTGCGCTACTCTTGTGGGTATATATAGAGACTAGCAAGGGCATTTAAATATGGGACAGATACAAACTCTGAAATTAAACATGTTCATGTTGAAGCAGAGCAGAGATGAATAACCTTTTGAAAAGTCAAAATGATTCACCAAAAACAAAATTGTGTAAGGCTAAATCCAAAGAGAACAATATCTTTGTAAAAAATGAGGCGGATGTTACAGAGGAGAGGAGAACACATTCATGTTGCCTTATTTTGTTGACATGTTTTGGATACCTATAACGCGTAAACATGCCTATACATAAATTTAAACGCGCCTATTTTCAAGAACACATTAAGTCCGGAATGCAAACAAGATTAGATTGTGAAATGGAACACGTGAAACTAGCCGGAGAAGTCGTTAGCACCTTTTGCAAAATTTGCACCCGCTTAGAAACAATAAACAGACGTATGTGAAATCGACGTGGAGGATTTTCCCAAGATTTGGTTTGGTCCTGAATTGCCATTTAACAATTAATTCACTAACTTTGTGCCCGTTTAGTATTGTTGTTTATTTTTGTTTCCTGTTGTGTTTTAAGAAATTTGGAAAACCAAGAAAAAAAAACTTGTTTAGTTGGGTTTTTATTTTTTGTTGTGAATCAGAGTTGCACAACAAGGCCCAAATATGAGAAACAACAATTTATAGCTTTGGATCTGATTCTTAAACATGTTGCACACAAGATTCCTATTGGTTGGGCGCTTGATTTCATTAAAACAGACTAGTTTTCGAATCCCTACAGAAGCAAAAAAAATTTCTTTTTTTTTAACACCCCCCCCCCTCCCCAAAAAACCCTACTTCCCCTTTTTCATCATCTTCTTCTTCTCGACAGAACACAACCGCCCCTTTTCCATCTTCTTCTTCTTCTCGACAAAACACAGCCGACACCCATCTTCTTCTCCCAGCCTCCGCGCGGCGCGACCCCTCTGCCTCCGCCCAGCGCCGCTCCGCCTCCGGCCGCCGCAGCCCGCGCCGTCTCGCCTCCGCCCAGCGCCGCCTTGTCTCCGCCCGCCGACGTCCTCCCAGCACACACAGTTGCAGCCAGGGGCGGAGCCAGGATTTGAGTATCGGGGGGGCCGGATTTTTTTTTCCTCGTATCATCGAAGAATCCATAAAAGCACAAAAATAATTACCAATAATAAGAAAATCAAATTATTACTTGAGATAATTAGATTCATTCAAAGTAGAAATTAATGCTAAAATAATAATTTATCATATTATTTAACTACAAATGAGTTAATTACCAACAAAAATCAATAATACATTTCCATATGCAATATGTTTTTAACGATTTTGACAACGATAAAAGATATGTTCACTATAAAATTTACTTATTATATAGCAAAAATAATAGTTAAAATTTGGAAATGAAAATCTAAAAAATTTAATTAATATAGTAATTCACAGATCTCAAAAAATAAAATATAAAAGTCACAGACTATGCGACTAAGTTTGTATCAAAGTAAAACTGGAAACTAAAAAACTAAAATTGCTCTCACTGGGTTTTGAAACCGTGATTGGTCAGCATTATTGCACCATAACTTCCGCTAGACCAACTCTACTTTACGTTTCTATTTTGGCAAATGTCATTTATTTATTCAAAACATCCTTAAGTAATACGTAATTAGCAAAGATCATATCGAATTTATTCGTAACTTTCAAAATTCTCGGGGGGGCCGGGGCCCCCTCGAGCCATAAGCTAGCTCCGCCCCTGGTTGCAGCTCAGGTATAGTCTTCCGGTCCCTGTCATTAAGAAGTGTGCTCTAATTTTACTTGCTCTTGTATTGAATGTTCTATGAATTTCGGTTGGACAAATTGTAGATGGTCAGTGAATTTCGGTTGGACTTTGCTTAATATTGCTGACATATCTCTTTTTTTGGTTTTAGTTCTTATAGTAGTAACTAAACGCGTTTTTGTTTCTTGTTGTCAGCTTTCATGATTTTTCAGATTTATCAACTAAACAGGTTTGTATTTTCTGTTTTTTTCCTGTTGTGGTTGTACATCTGTTTACACAACACCAGTACACCACTGCAACCACAACAGCAACAAAATGATACTAAACGGGTTAACTTTTATAGATCAGTAATCATCCTAATTCCTAAACCCAAGTTTTGGTGGCTGGCGCACGAAGGAGGAAAGTTTTGTCTAGAGAGGGTCGACCCAATTATGCTCCCAACCAGACCCTAACCAGCTCCAAAGAGTGCCATTCACTCGGTTTTGGGTCCATCAAATTTTGGCTTATAAAAAGGTCAATTCTAATTTTGCCAATTTCGAGTCAAATTAACGGATCGGGTCCTAATTTGCCAAAAAAATTCAAGATATACCTTGAATTAAAGTTAAACGAATCAGGATTAATCTAGACAATGCTAGCTTATGATTTTGACCTGGCAACAGAAAGGGTTGGGTAATTTCGGGTTTGGATTTTAGGTTACAGGTCGGATTGTGTTGGGTTGGTTATTTCGGGTTAAATATTGATCCAACGCATTCGGTTTTGGTTCGGGTTATGGGTCGTTTCGAGTTATGAGCGCTCTCAGAAACAGTATCAAACATGCTTCATATTTTTTTGAAGAATACAAATCTTCACATATGCATGACAATAGTTTACCTAACACATATCAATTAACATATTTTCAAATTTTCCCATGCTATGAAATGAAATACAAATTGCACAAATCGTCAAAAAGCAATCACAAGAGTAATACTACTACAAGAAACACATGATATTTGATTATCCTTAAACTCCAACATGTCTTTCAAATCCTTGTAATTTTTGGAAAAAAATCCAAAAGTACCACTGTTTAAAAAAAGAATTCCAAAAATACCACCCAACCCCAAAAAATTCCATAAATACCACCCTTTTTCAAAAACCGCCACCCCACCCTGCAGTTTATAAGAAAACCGCTTGTCGGGGGCGCGGTTTTCTATGCAAACCGCGGGGCTAAGGGGCGGTTATAAAAAAAATTGGACCAAACCGCTGGGTGGGGTGGCGGTTTGCCCAAAACCGCCACCCCACCCAGCGGTTTGGTCCAAATTTTTTTTTTTTCGATAAACTCCTAACTTCGGCCGAAACTTCAAACGAACGTAACTTTGAACTCGGGTATCCTATCATAGCGATTTTTTTTTCATTTTGCATAACTTTTCAAGATCTACAACTTTTACTAGGATGAAATTTTCAAAACAGGAATTATTTGTGGATATACGGGACCTTGAGAATAACTTTATCTTTACTTTTCACAAATCCATGTACATTTTGAAATTATGATTATATTAAAAGTTGTAGATCTTGAAAAGTTATGAGGAATCAAAAAAAAATTCATGACGTTTGGATTTCGGAGCACAAAGTTATGACCGTCCAAAGTTTGACGAAAGGCGAGACCCGGTAGTTTGCGGCTTGCAAGATCTCAAAAAGTTTGCAGCCTCCATTTTTTGAATCCGAATAACTTTTTGAGATCTTGCAAGCCGCGAACCGTCGGGTCCCGCCTTCGTCTCGAAAAAACGTCATTTGCAACCCCGAACGAGTTTTTTTTTATTCCGTCAAACTTTGGGCGGCCATAACTTTGTTCTCCCAAATCCGAATGTCATGAATTTTTTTTTGATTCCGCATAACTTTTCAAGATCTACAACTTTTTACATAACCGCCCCTTAGCCCCGCGGTTTGCATAGAAAATCGCGCCCCGACAACCGGTTTTCGTGTAAACCGCAGGGTGGGGTGGCGGTTTCTGAAAAAGGTGGTATTTTTGGAATTTTTTATGGTTAGGTGGTATTTTTGGAATTCTTTTTTTAAACAGTGGTACTTTTGGATTTTTTCCGTAATTTTTTTTAAACATCTCAACAATTTATGAGTGATTTTATTATTTTGGGAATTACATATGAAATGAAACGGGTCGACCCCCTACCCAAAAAATTACGGGTTATCAGGTTAATTTGGGTCATTCGGATTTCAGGTTATAAAAAACTTTTATTTTTCGGGTGGATTCGGGTCGGGTGTAATTTGTCAGGTCTATTATGTTTCTATTCCAATTATATATTTGTTCACATCGAAGGCCAATAAGAGAGACTAATGATTAGGGGGTGAGATATCATGAATTCATGATTATCCTTGAAGGGGTTGGAAAAATGACACTCCTATTAATTATAGGCTTTTAAGATAATAAATGTGTATTGCATTTAATAATCTGGCCGAATTAAAAACTCATATTCATTACTTTACGTTTTTCAGTGCAATGATATCAGTTTACGGATGCAATGTAGTTGTATCAATGCAATGGTATCAGTGTACAAGTGCAATGATAGTTAAAAAAAAATGAATGTAATTAATATGAGTTTTTAATTCTCAAAGATTATTAAATGCAACACGAATTCAATACAAAAAATAACTGGAGTGTCATTTTTCCAACCTCTAGTGGTTGTCAAGCTAACCGACCCCTAATGATTAGTTGTCCCACATCCATTATTCTCACACGGTCAAACTTTCGAAAGGAGAAACCTTTTGATACAAAATGAAACTAGAATTGTCACAGAAACGTATTTCCTTTTCGTAGCACGTACAGAACTACTCGTCATCGAAAGAAAGCCCAGTACCCTGCAGCTTAACCTGTGTGAGGCTATCAATACGTCGAGCCATGTCGGGAGTCAAGTAGTTCTTCCAATCCCCAACAGTTCCCGTCCTGAAGAAGGTGGAGTTGCGAGCATATTTTCCTTTTTTCACAACATCATCCTTGTTGACCTCCAACTCCTTAAGCCTGTTCAAACTGCTCAGCCATAGTACCTTCTCCACATCAATGCTAGTTTCCCGACCAAGAAACGAAGCCAGCTTCCTCACTTGCTCTTCGGGGTTTCTGCACAGGTCCTCGTACTTGAGAAACAACACCTCGTCGGGCCGCTTCTTGCTCTCTTCCCAGTATCCCAGCACGTGCTCGTAAAAGGGACCCCAAACCATAGCCCCGCTGCAGAATGTCTCCACCGCTCTCTCCAACGTGAACGGGCAAGCTGCGTCCGCTCTAAAGTTCTTGCTGAGGAAATGCCACCGCGACACGAGCGTGTCCTTAGGGTTCCGAGCCACATACACGAACTTGCATCCCGAGCTCCTCACCTTCTCCGGCAAGTAACTGCAGGGGAGATGAGTGTGGAGCAATCTGCTGCGACCCGGAGGGGAATTGAGCAACATGTGTTGGACATGGTCTCGGAGGAAAGAAACATCGAGCGTGGGGACCACATCGTGCGGGTTCTCCTTCGCCAGAACGTCGTTTTCTTCTTCGTCGAGGATGTTGTAGCAGAGAGCCTTGAGCCAGGTTGTTCCTGTTTTCATGAAAGATGTCAAGAGAATGTCGTCCTTCCTCGGCTCGAATTCGGACCTGAAGGCGGCCGTGGCTTCCATATGCAGCGCCAGGTACCAGAATCCTTCTATCTGAAAAATCTCGTGATTAGTATCCGAAAAGAACTTCGTCGGAAGTAGCTGCTGGTTCTCCATCGGATAGTCAATTGGGAGAGAGTAGCGTGTAATTTGAAGACGCAATTAAATTGGTCGACTTCTTGTGGTACATAGAGAGACTAGCGAGGGTGTTTAAATATGGGAGGGATCTATGGGCATAAACAATAATTCAATGCTAGCTGAAAAGACGTGTATTGGGTAGGGGTGTAAGTTTGACCCTAAAAACCCATGACCCGTCCTGATTCGTCCTGTCTTTGAGGATTGGGACGGGTCAATTTGTTTATAGAGTCAGTTTAGAGACGGAACAGCTTTTGACCCTGCAAGGGTCGGGACGGGCGGGGTCAACTTAGGGACGAGTCACTTTTTGGCCCTGTGACCATTAGCAACAACAAATATCTCATATCATATTGGACCTCTTTGTAAAAGTTTTAAAAATTTAGGTACTAAATTGCAAAAAAAATTGGGTCCCAAAATGTAAATTTACCATCAAAATTTAAGGACTTACTTGTAAAAAATAAATTTTAGGTACTAAATTGTAAGAAAAAATAATTTTGGGAACCAAAATGTAATTTGTAAAAAAAGTAGTGTGTAGATTAGGGTCGACCCACTGACCCGACCCGTCCCATCCCTTGAGGGTCAGGCAGGGTCAAGAAGGAGACAGGGACGGAACGGGTCAGTTATACATCTTGACCCTTCAGAAACAGGTCAGACAGGGTCAGGGACGGGACAGGGACGGATCAGGTCAATTTTCAGCTCTAGTCTTAAGGTAATAAGAATTCTGAGATCAAACATGCTCACATTAAAGTAGTGTAGAGATAAATGATATTTTGGAAAGTCAAAATGATGCATTCATAACGAAATTGTGCAAGGCTAAACCTAAAGAGAGCGATATCCTGGAATAAAATTGACATGGATGTTACAGAAAGAGGAGCACCTTTATGTCGCCTTATTTTGTTGACATAATATGGATACCTAACATGCTGAGAAACCCCTAAACGAATCATTTTGACACTGCCTAACTGCTAACGCGTAAACATGCCTAAACATAAATTTAGGCGCCTTTGAGCAACAACTCATTAAATTCGATACCTAAACTAGATTAGAACGAGAGAGAGAGTCGAACGGAGAAGAAACCTACCTTTTTCTAGTTTAGTTTCCAAATTTTAAAAGTAAGAAATTAAATTTTTATTACTTGCAGCAATAAAAAAACCATCCAGCTCATAGTCACTTTGTTACATCAAAGTCAACTAACAGTTGGCCGGATAGAAAGTTGACGGTTTCACTATTAAATTAATTTTGAAAAGGTTTGAATATTATTTTATTTAAATAAAAATTTTGACTATTATATTGTATTTACCCTAGAAAAATTACTAAGATTTTTACATTTTTCGGGTGACTGCAGCGCTAACACTACCACTTTATTCTTTTTATGTATATGCTATATAAGAATTAAGATAATAATGTTGTTGGTCATTGTATTTTAATATTTATGTTATTTTATTTCTTTCATTGAGTTTGACTTTCCTGTAGCGTTTTGGTGGTATGGTATATGTTAAATAACAAAAAAAGGGGTTGCCAATCATAAAAGTTAATTAAAAGGCGTAATGATATTATTTTGTGTAATAATTGAGGGGTTGGAATCGCCAGTGGTGGTTGAGCCAGATTTATTAATCTAGGTGTCTCTTTCCGAAACATAAATATTACAAATTATTTAGGATTGACCCATGGTAATTGACCCCACGGGTGTTGGGTAACCCGACGGGATTGATCTCATGAGTTTCTGGGTGAACCGGTGGCAACCAGTATAATTTGCTAGGGTTTGGTAAGTTGAAATTTGGAATGTATCTAACATCATGCAGGACTAAAGTGGATGACACAAAAATGGTATTACATGATAACCTTGACATGACTACCATTAGGTAAGGAAACAAATAAAACATATTTACGACGGGTCGATCGACCCATTAAATTATGAACCGGCCGGATATTAGGTGACCCACCCACTGAGCGATTTTAATTTTTATGTTCTTCTATGACTTTCACCGAGTTTGTGGTATCTGTTAAATAACAACAACAAAAAAGTGTTGACATTAATCATAAAAGTTCATTAAACAGGCTTAACGATATTTATTTATTTTTGTAATAGTTGAGGCGTTGCAATCGGTAGCTGAGCCAGATTTATTAATGTAGGGGGTCTCTTTCCCTTCCCAAAACAATGATGCGTGTGCTCAACTCAACAAAGTTTTGTTGAAAAGAATCAACACAAGTTGTTTGATGAAAAGTTCAATAATGTGTGGCATATTCCTTGGATTTTTTTTCTAAAGGCTATTTTTCTTAGATTTTCAAGACTACACATTCTAAATTCTGTTCAAAGTTATTCTTTAGTGATGATTAAGTCTATTGAACACCGATTTGTGCGTAATTTTTTAGGGGTCATTTTTTTGTAGATTGCAAAGAGTTACCATCATAGATTTCGGACAATTTTTTCGAATGACCATTTTGCTAGGACTTTGAAGACTACAAATCACGTATTCGGTCTTAGTCTACTCCCCACCAAAGATTAAGTCTATTAATCGCCGAATTGGGTGGAATTTTTTTTGTACAGCATTTTCGTAATTTTTGTGTGCTTTTATTCGAAAATTCATTTTCCTTAGATTTTGAAGGCTACATATCACGGATTCAGCCTGAGACTATTCTTTAGCGTTGATTAAATCTATTAAACACCGATTTGGGCGAAATTTTTCCGTAGCCATTTTTGGCAGATTCCGAAAGGGTACCATCACTTCACAGATTTCATGTGATTTTTTTGAAATATCATTTTAATTGGATTTTGAAAGCTACAGATCCTTGATTCGGCCCTAGCCTACTCTCTACCAATGATGAAGTCTATTAATCACTGATTTGGTCTGATTTTTTCGGACGACATTCTCATAATTTTCGGGCATTTTTTTCCAAAATTAATTTTTCTTAGATTTTTAAAGCTACAGATCACGGATTCGACCTCAGATTACTCTCCACCAATAATAAGTCTATTAATTGTAGATTTAGACGGATTTTTTTAGAGGGCATTTACGTAATTTATGGGCAATTTTTTCGAAAGACTATTTTCGTTAGATTTTAAAAGCTACCAATCCCGAATTTGTCTGAGTCTATTCTATAGCGATGATTACATTCCCATAATATTTTTTTTTTCACACAGAGGGCCAAGAAGAGAGACTAACAAGAGATTAGTCCCACATGCCCTTATTCTCACACGGACAAACTTTCAAACTGAGAAAAATTTTGATACAGAAAGGAACCAATTGGATGGTCGCACATAAGGTATCCCCTTTCGTACCACACACAAAGCTACTCGTCGTCAAAAGAAAGCCCAGTCCCCTGCAGCTTAATTCGCGTGAGGCTATCAACACGTCGAGCCATATCGGAAGTCAAGTAGTTCTTCCAGTCTCCGACGGTTCCTGTCCTGAAAAGGATGGAATTGGGAATGTACGGGGCATCTTTACGGGCACCGTTCTTGTTAACCTCCAAATCCTTAAGTCTATTCAAACTGCTCCGCCACAGTACCTTCTCCACATCGAAATCCGTTTTCCGGCCAAGAAACGTGGCGAGCTTCCTCAGTTGCTCCTCCGGGTTTCTGCACAGGTCCTCGTACTTGAGAAACAACACCTCCTCGGGCCGCCTCCTGCTCTCTTCCCAGTATTCCACCACGTGCTCGTAAAATGGGCCCCATGGCACGGCCCCGTTGCAGAAGATCTCCACCGCTCTCTCCAGTGGGAACGGGCCATCTGGGTAGACTTTCACGTTCTTGTTGTAGAAATGCCACATCGACACCAGCGTGTCCTTGGGGTTTCGCGCCACGTGCACGAGCTTGCATCCCCGGGGGGAGCTCCTCACCTTCTCCGGCAGGTAACTGCAGGGGAGATGGGTGTGGAGCAATCGGCTGCGACCCGGAGGGGAATTGAGCAACATGTGTTGGACTTGATCCTGGAGGAAAGCAATCTCGATCGTGGGAACGACGTCGTGGGGGTTCTTCTTCGCCAGAACGTCGTTTTCTTCCTCATCGAGGATGTTGTAGGAGAGAGCTTTGAGCCAGGTTGTTCCTGTTTTGATGAAAGATGTCAAGAGAATGTCGTCGTTTCGCGGCTCGAATTCTGACCTGAAGGCGGCTATGGATTCCTTATGCCGGGCATGGTACCAGAATCCTTCTATTTGGAAAATCTCGTGATGACTACCCCAGAACAACTCCGTGGGAAGTTGCTGCTGCTGCTTGTTCTCCATTGTTGGAGCGAGGCTAGCTGCAGGCAGAGAGAAGTGTTGAATTTGAAGAGACAATTAAATAGGCCAACTTACAGCCTGGATTCTGTAGTTGATGTAGGGGTACGGTACTTAAAGTTAGTGGTAGGGGTGGGCAACGAGCGGATTGGGTGAATTTTGACTATAAAAGTAACCCACCCACTCATGAACGGATTGACAATTTTAAACCTACCACCCACCCACACTTGCTAGCGAGTTGGGTCGGGCGGATAACATTATGCGGTTGGATTGTCGGATTCGCCCACAATATAGTAAGTAATAAAAAAAATTGAAACATCTGTACAAAATAAAATAACAGCATCGGCATAAACTGGTTATAAAAGAGTGCAAATCTACCAGTAAAGACTTCAGGAAATTGAAAAACGCAATTGTGCTCATGAAGCTGGAATCTGCAAAATTGAAAAAGAGTCTAGACCCAAGATATGACTCATCAACAAGCTAAATAATAGTCAAAGAAAACAATTTGTACTCATATTTCAAAAACAGAGATGAAATTCAAGTAAATTATCAATTAACAAGGTTAACATCATTGATTAATGAAAGTGGCGATTCCTTAACCAACACATCCATTCAGCTGCAACCTCTATAGTTGACCACATGGTAATCCACCCTAGGATGTTGGGTCCTGGGAGTTTCTGAGAGAACCGGTGGCAACCAGTATTATTGACAAGGGTAGGGATGGCAGACAGGTGGAGCGATCGGATTGATATTTCAATACTCATATTTATCTCGCATTAAGCACGGGTCGGGTCAAGTTTATTCATGTATGCGACCACGGGCGGGGCAATTTTACACATTCTTATATATTGTCTGTAGAAAATAAACACACTAAAAAAAGAATTCTTTTATGAGACAACAAAAAAAAAACTTCATGAATAAAAAATAGTGATAATAGAAATGATCAATTGAGTGTAAATCATTGAAAGGTCAAGTTTTACACCTATTTAAAGTTTGATCGAGTGAAATTATGATTAAAATAAGAGATATATGAAGAAAATTGACATTGGATGGGTCAGGAACGGGGCGGGTGAGATGGGTAGGTCAAAAATAATCTATGTCCCGTCCCACACTACTGCGGATCGAACCAAGGTATCGAGATACCCACCCGACCTACCCAATTGCCATTCCTACATGCCTTCTTCTATAACCCCCGCTGTAATCCCAAACTCTAATTAGCAATCGCCTCTTCTACTACTACCACTACCTATGCATGTGCTCCCTCCTTCCCCGTCTACATAAACAACCACTCTCCTCAAGCTTGATGTTGTTAAAAGTCAATTTATAGTAACGAAAAATTTATCTCTCCTTACAAATATCATATGAAAGGAACAATCCCCTCTGCCACAAGTACTGTACTTCTACAGCATTTCTGACAGGATGAAAAGAAGGGCTAACCACCAAAATGAAGAGCTGAATTTATGAGCCTTCATGGCCAACAATATCACAGATTGAAGACAAAGTCTTGCATGATATAAATTGCAATGGTCATTTCTTGTGTCAGTTCATGCATATAGAGCAACGTGGGAGATAGATTGTGTAAAGGGGCACAAACATATATATGGCTACCATTAGGCAAGGAAATACCTTTTGCGACCAGGAAAAAAAGGGTTCTTTGGCGACCATTTTAATAAGTTCGTCCTGTATCTGCATATAGTGACGGGCCCAAACTGGACTTAGATGAAATGAAGCACGTGAAAAACGAGCCCCAGAAGTCGTGATCACCTTTTGAAAAAATTGCACCCCGGCCGCTTGAAAACATACAAACAGACGGTACGTGACATCGACCTGAAAGATTTCCTCAAGATTTTGTTGGGTCCCAAATTGCCATGTAACAATTAATAATTCACTAACTTAACTTTATATAATATGATCAATAATCGTCTCTTCAAACCACAAATTAGTTAGCTGGCTCCAATAATGGCGATGGAGAACCAGCAGCCACTTCCAACGTCGGAGTTGTTTTGGAATTGCCGCGAGATTTGCCAGATAGATGGCTTCTGGTACATGGCCAAGGCCATGGATCGCATGGCTGAATTCAGGTCAGGATTCGAGCCGAGGAAGGACGACATTCTCTTGACATCTTTCACCAAAACCGGAACAACGTGGCTCATGGCTCTCTGCTACAACATCCTCGACGTCGAAGAAGGAGAAGACCTCCTCGCGACGAAGAACCCCCACGAAGTCGTTCCCACGCTCGAAAACGACTTCGTCCAGGTTCGAGTCCAGGAGATGCTGCTCAAATGTTCTCCTCCCCGGTTGCTCCACACTCACCTCCCCTGCAGTTACCTGCCAGAGAAGGTGAGGGAGTCGAGATGCAAGCTCGTGTACGTGGCTCGAAACCCCAAGGACACGTTGGTGTCGATGTGGCATTTCTACAACAAAAACTTCGTCAAAGACGACCCCACTGCAGCTGCTAGCCCGTTCCCGTTGGAGGGAGCGGTGGAGAGCTTCTGCAGCGGGGCTGTGCCCTGGGGGCCATTTTACGAGCACGTGGTAGGATACTGGGAGGAGAGCAAGAAGCGGCCCGATGAGGTGTTTTTCGTCAGGTACGAGGACCTGTGCAGGGAGCCGGAGGAGCAAGTGAGGAAGCTGGCTACGTTTCTGGGCCGGAAAATAATGGATCTAGATGTGGAGGAGGTGTTGTGGCGGAGCAGTCTGAACAGGCTTAAGGAGCTGGAGGTCAACAGGAATGGCGTGAGAAAGGAGCTCCCGTATATACCGAATTCCACCTATTTCAGGACGGGAACTGTTGGGGATTGGAAGAACTACTTGACTTCCGACATGGCTCAACGTATTGATCAGCTCACACGGGTTAAGTTGGAGGTGACTGGGCTTTCTTTTGATGACGAGTAGTTTTGTTACCAAAAAGGAATCTCTTTTGCGACCAAGAAGATGGATTCTGGCGACCATTTTAATCAGTTTGTTCTGTATCAGTTGCGTGTTTTCTTGTTTGAAAGTTTGTTCGAGTGTGCATTAGGGCATGTGGGACTAATCCTCTTTAGTCCTCTTCTTTGCCTTCTCTATCAATAATGGAATATATAAAAACATGTGGGTTTGTTGTTTAAGCTTTGTCATAACTTAATCCTCATTTGTTTATCTTTAACTCATCAATCAAAATAAAATAAATATAAATTTTTGTTCATAATATATACAATTATATTGTTTCCACGGGAATATGTGACGGGTTTTGAATGTTTGTAAAATACTTGCATCCTTTATTTTTCTATTCAAACTTTTTGCGCTGAATACTATCAACCATTATTCATAATGAGCCACTCATCCGATTTCAAAGATCATTCTTGATAAATTTTATAGCTGAAAAGTCCTAAAAGCAGCATTTTGGATAAACATATATTCTAGTTAAAATAAATAAATGATCATACTTAGAGAATTTCATTAGATAGAAAAATTACTAGATTTAATCATTTTCGGGTGACTTTGGCGCTAAGACTATCACTTTGTTTTCTTTTATCAGTTTATGGAAGATAATAAATATTATCATGTTCTTGGTCATTGTATTTTAACTTTTGTATAATCCATACAATGTGTTACCAATGAAAGGTGGTTGAATCATTATATAAAATAAAAGTTCATTAAACACGCGTATTGATATTAATTTGTGTAATAATTGAGGGTTACAATCGGTAGTTGAGCCAGTTTTTCATGTTGCTACCATGTTATTAAGTTTTCTCGTTCGACTTTCGTTATCAAAATTAGAGGTAGGCATCGGTTGATCCTGTCAGAAACAGTAAAAAACCATTCTAGGATAGGACTAAAATGTGTTATTATTGTACAAAATAATAACACATTGAGATTTCAGACGAACCAGTGGAATCCTTTTTTTTTTTTTTTTTCTTACAGATAAGTTGAATTACTGAAAATGTGAACAAACTGGTACAAGTCAAATAAAATGTCAGCAGATTACACCAGGGAAAGAGAAACCTGCCCCAACCAGCCCAAACAAGTGCAACTAAACAAAAGCCCATTCCATTGGACGTAATTTGTGAAGGAAGTCCAAAGCTCAAGCGACCAAAGTTTAGGTTTACATTTAGCATATATAATAAAGGGCACAAAGTGTTATTAAACCTTACTTATTCACCCAAAACATGTTTAAAACATAACACAAGATAACCAACCAAGTGATAGCATGGCGCTAAAATCACCCCAAAACAAGTCCGAATCCAGTCTTCTTCTATCATGGCCAGGCTCCCTAAGAACCATACTTTAGAAATCATCAAGAGAAAGCCCAGTTCCCTGCAACTTGAGCTGCGTCAGCTGGTCGACACGTTCAGCCATTTGGGGAGTCAAGTAGTTCTTCCAGTCCCCCACGGTTCCTTTCCTAAAATAAGAGCTATTGGATATCTGGGTTAATTCCGAAACAACATTATTCTTGTTAACCTCCAACTCCCTGAGCCTACCCAAACTGCTGCGCCACAACACCTTCTCCACCTCCTCATCAACACCTCCATTCACCGATGTCGGGGGAAACGGCTTCCCCAGAAATGAAGCCAGCTTCCTCACTTCCTTTTTGGGGTCTCTGCACATGTCCTCATACTTGAGAAACAACACCTCGTCCGGCCGCTTCTTGCTCTCCTCCCAATAGCTCACCACATTTTCGTGAAAAGGCCCCCAGGGAAGAACCCCAGTGCAGAAGCTCTCCACCGCTCCCTCCATCGGGAACGGGCCGGTAGCCGTCGGGTCGCGTTTGAGGACCTTGTTGAAGAAATGCCACATCGACACCAGAGTGTCCTTCGGGTTCCGTGTCACGTGGACAATCTTGCATCCGGAGTTCCTCACGGACTCCGGCAAGCAAGTATAAGGCAGGTGAGTATGGAGCAATCGACCACCGCCCGAATTGAGCAAAAGATTTTGGACTTGGTCGGTGAGAAAAAACACGTCGAGCGTCGGAACGACCTCGTGCAGGTTCATCCTCGTCAGAATGTCGTCTTCTTCTCTGTTGTCGTGGCGGTGAAGGATGTTGTGACAGAGAGCCATGAGCCATGTCGTCCCCGTTTTAGGGAACGACGTGATGAGGACGTCTTCGCTTCTCGGCTGGAAGTCCGACCTGAATGCCACCATGGATTCCATGAGATGAGCAAGGAACCAGAACCCTTCCATCTGGCAGATCTCGTGAACATTCCAAAACATGACCTCCTTTTTTGGTGCAAGTTCCTTCATCTCCTCAATACTCATATTTATTTGTTCTTCGCTTCTTGTATGGTGCGATTTCCATAGGGTTATTTATACTATGTAGCAGACGAATTCATTTCAAGTAGTGAAAATTACTTGTTAACCACTTTTGTTTTTTTTTTTCTCAAAATAAAATAGGAAAACAAAATGTAAATTTTATGGGTGATGAAGAAAAGAATCTCAAAATGTCAAATGGCGAGCTAGCCAGATCATGAAAGCTACAGTTATATTTTCTTAAAAGGGTTAGACTTCTGATTTTGGAAAGTCTAATACAACTAGAATACAATTTCATATGAATATTGCTCCTACCGTTGCATTTTCTTAATACAACTAGATTGTTCTCTTTTCTTTGAAGAAAAATATTTTGGTGTAGACATTGACAAGCCTCTTTGTGTCGCAAATCTCTTCGCAGATGTTCGAGTCATCTTGATAGAGGTTTTTTGGTCTTTTTTTATGTGAGTATCTTTGTGCAATCTTGTGTTTGTTAGACTTTGATGAAAGAATAATCACTATAACATAATCCATCTATAGCAACATAGGAAATTTCCCTCTTAATGTCATTTATTTGACATTTTTGCCTCAAATACTCCCGTTGTTTGGTTTATATTGATATTATGATGTTTTTAATCAAGTTTCATTTTGTAAGAAACACGATTCTTAGTGTTTCATTATGATGATTAGTATTAGTTGGGTGAAGTTAGGCGGCTAGGTATAGCCGAATAGTCTAGGGTTAATTATTAGGTTTTGGGTTTATTTTCTATAAATATGTACTTTGGGTTTACGTCATAATCAATCAAGAACAATATTAAAAAGAATCTCCTAAACCCATGTTTATCCTCTCAACTCCTAATTTCTATTCTCTCCTAATCCAAGGCCTCGGCTGATTTCCAATTCTATTATTCTCATCTAAATCCCTATTCGTTACGAGTAATTGCGGGTGCCTAAGATCAGTCCCTAGAGACCCTAGAAGCGGGTTTCTTACACATTTGGGTTTCATATAGATTATGAATGCATATCATTCCTTTTTTTTTTGTCAAAAACATATGGATTGAAATGTATTTGAAATTGAAGCAATAATAGCTTGTTGTCATGCCTTTTGTTTGGATTGACCACAATTTTGTGGATCCGATTGAAAATGTTGTTGTTTGATAAGTCGTCATCTAGTAATATACATGCTTGAGATATCATGTTGAAGAAGAAACAATCTCATGGTTTTAATAACGTCCACTTTCCTTTTGTTCCCATGTATCGCCTAGATATGTTAGAGTAAGTATTAGCGGCGGATCCAGAACACAGAAGAGCATTGAGCCGCATTTTATTAGAAAATTAGAACCATAAAAAAATTAATGATTATAGTTTTTTTACAATGTAAAGTGTACACGACGGTATAGTAATTTAGCAAATGCATCAATAATATAGTCCACATCCATACCAATAGTATACACTGAACCAAATAAAATACTTGAGCAATTGGCAAGAAATCCATCGCTAATTTATTGTGCAAATAAGTTTTTACATATTTCTTTGTTCAAAAGGTTCTCTCGGGTTCTCTCTGTAGTAGTTGTTGAAACGAGCAGCGTCAACACTAGACAAATCAATATCAATTTGCATTATGTGTCCATCCCTATATCACCAGTTGTCTAGTAAATTTTCAAGGTAACAAACCTCATATTTCTTTTAATCTATTATGCTTTAGAATTTTAGGTTTCATTGTTTTTTTTAGACGAAAAATTTTTGGGACTAGAATTTCTAGGCTAAATTTAGAGTTGTGATTTGAATATGTTCATCTAAATCAATTTGCTAATTATATCCAATTTTATTATAAAATAGCATTGGGCCGAATACCTAAAATCGAAAAATTCATAAGGCCTATACTAACTATGAATCCAGAGGATGGCTGGGCCGGGGACCCGGGGTGGCCACCCATGGATCCGCCACTGGTAAGTATTGAATATTGATGATGCTTTTTCCCCCTCACTGTAACAGGATATTCCCTATAAAACAATGGTCGTTGTGATTTCATTTCATGATTTTTACTTCACGTAGAGCTTCTTAAACTTTGATAGTTAGTTACTTGCTTCCCCTAGTGAGAAAGCTGTTGTAGGTGAGTGGACTTCATGGGTAGGTGTTGTCAACTTGTCATTGATGTTATTGGTCCATCCAATCAAATAACATAAGTAAACATTGGAAATGGCTTAAATGTATCTCAAATTTGGGGAGACACATAAATAAAAATGGATTAATAATGACAGTAGCCCATGAGTTTAAGGCCCAACAAAATGAGATTAGTTAGTAATAGTAACCATGGACTAAGAATGGCAGTAGCCCATGAGTTTAAGGCCCAACAAAATGAGATTAGCTAGTGAGCAAGGGTTGTGAGGTCTAATGGTCTGATCGGGGTCCAGTCAGTCAAATAAGGAGTTTGAGGTTTAATGGTCTGATCGGGGTCTAATCAATTTAAACCAGTTTAGATGTTTGCCAAATATATACACAAATAATATAGTAATTAAAGATTTAATAACTGAAATGAAATTTATCTTACATATATTTATTAAAAAAACTATACGAAATGAAAGCGGATAAAGCTATATATGAGTAGGCCTTTGTAATGCACGGAGGACTACTTTGTCATTTTTCCGTGAACCGGTTCCAACGTTGCTACGTACAGTGGGGTAATAGGGTTGTTCTGTTGGTATAGAATATGGTAAGACGCAGGGAGGTTCTGGTGATAAGATCCCATTGGCTTATCGAAGCAATAGGATCCCTGTTAATGTTGTGGTATATGATTCACGATTGAACCTCTCCCAATAACTCGAGTTATTGGGATCAACTGGTTCTTGACATGGTATCAGAGCCTTCTGTGACCGAGAGGTCTTGTCTTCGATTCCCGGTGACCCCCATTTGTTAAGCACATGGTATTCTTGTCTTCAGACCTGTGCAAACTTCAAGCCCTTGTGAGTGGCTTTCCTTAGAGGGGGCGTGTTAGTGTTGTGGTATATGATCCACGATTGAACCTCTCCCAACAACTCGAGTTATTGGGACCAACTGGTTTATGACAATCCCAACTTCAATTAGTTAATCATAAGCGACGGTGATGAAGAATCAATTCGCTGTCAGATAGTTTTGATGTCGTGACACTACAAGAAACAGAACTCTTCGCCACTGTTTGTCCTCAAAGGTAAGAACCAGCGTCGCCAAAGACGTCGGCAGAGCTTCGCGTATACAGCGCCGACAAAGGTTTAAGCGACGAATTTAATAGAATCATCACCGATGGTGCGTTTTGTCGCCAAAGGATGTGTTTGCGATGCTACATCTCGTCCTTGAAAAAGGTTTCGGCGACGAAAGTTTCCGTCGCCAATTCACTTATGACGACAGGTCCATCTCAAATATTAAGCATCAGTGACGGAAAACGTTGTTGCAAAAAAGAATACTCAGCGACAAAATGACTCGTCGCAAATGAGTTTAGCGACAAAACATATCTGTCGCCAAAACAATATTTTTTTGTATTCTGATTCTTTCTGTATCAAGCAGAGTGCATCAGAGGAAGAACAGAGTATTTTGACAAAGCTGCACTCTGCTGAAGGAAGAAGATGAAGTACAGAGGTTCGAGTCAAAAGATGGATCGGGCTTCCTTTAACTCGGTCCAACCAAATCCAGATCGTAAATAAATAAAGACGACAACGTTTTGGTTCTCTCCAACTCCCTAAGCCTCTACCCAAACTGCTACCCCACAACACCTTCTCCACCTCATCATAATCTCCATTCATCGATATCGGGGATAACGGCTTCCCCAGAAATGAAGCCAGCTTCCTCACTTCCTTTTTGGGATCTCTGCATAGGTCCTCATACTTGAGAAACAACACCTCGTCCGACCGCTTCTTGCTCTCCTCCCAATAGCTCACCACATTTTCGTGAAAAGGTCCCCAGGGAAGAACCCCAGTGCATAAGCTCTCCACCGCTCCCCTCCATCGGGAATAGGTCGGTAGCCGTCGGGTCGCGTTTGAGGACCATGTTGAAGATATTCCACATCGACACCAGAGTGTCCTTCGGGTTCCGGGTCACGTGGACAATCTTGCACCCGGAATTCCTCACGGCCTCTGGCAAGCAAGTATAAGGCAAGTGAGTATGGAGCAATCGACCACCGCCCGAGTTGAGCAAAAAATTTTGGACTTGGTCAGTTAGAAAAAACACGTCGAGCGTCAGAACGACCTCGTGCAGGTTCATCCTCGTCAGAATGTCGTCTTCTTCTCTGTTGTTGTCGCGGTGAAGGATGTTGTGACAGAGAGCCATGAGCCATGTCGTCCCCGTTTTGGGGGGACGACGTGACAAGGACGTCGTCGCTTCTCGGCTGGAAGTCCAACCTGAAGGCCGTCGTGGATTCCATGAGATGAGCTAAGAACCAGAACCCTTCCATCTGGCAGATCTCGCGCGTGAACATTCCAAAACATGACCTCCTTTTTTGGTGCAAGTTCGTTCATCTCCTCAATACTCATATTTATTGTTCTTCGCTTCTTCTATGGTGCGATTTCCATATTGTAGCAGACGAATTCATTGGGATAAGATCAGGTGACTGAGGTCGGTCCCCTTAGTCACATAACTAAGTCAATCTCAACCATCCAACCTCATTAAAATCTGATGGTTCTAATTTATCTAGTTTAATGAAGAACAAGGTTGTAATTACACATTTTATTTATTTAACCATTAAAATAAAATAATACAAAATATTTCACCGTCCCTCCGCCCTTCCGTCGCGGTCCTTTTTGGGAATTCTTCCGTCGGCGTGGCAGCGCGAGTCCGGCGGCATGGCAACGCGAGTCCGGCGGCGTGGTCCTCTCCCGGGGAGTTTTATTCCCACCAGAAGGGGATTTTTATCACCAACAGAGAGCTCTCGTGGGTATTTAATTGGTAGAGAGAGATTGACATGGCCTTCTGGCCATTCTTTCTTTTCCTGGGGATTTTTCCCAGCAGTTGAGAGAGAGAGAGAGAGATTTCACTGACCGGAGGACACTTTTCGGCGAACAGCGCACTGACCGGAGAAGATTTTTCCGGTGATAGTGTTGGATTTGTGATGTTTGTTGATCTATTTTGTAATATTTGTATAGATTCGATTTGTAATGATTATCATTCTTGTTTGTCAATTTTTAGTGACATTTTTTACGAGTAGTATGTTTTGTATTGTTTGTCGGTTTATTTTGTAATGTTTGTAAGTTTTGTTATTTTTGTGCACCATTTTTATCATTTTTGTCAACCATGTTTGTAATGGTTTTTATGTCTAAAAAACAACCTGGTTGACTTTTGGATGAAACTCCTCTATATAGGGATGAAGCATCCAAAGTCAACCCGGGTTTTTTCCAGTTTGTATGTTTTGTCGGTCTACTTTGTCATTTTTGTCCACCATGCTCGTAATGTTTGTATGTCTAAAAAACAACCGGATTGATTTTGGGAGGGAGCCCCTCTATATAGGGATGAAGCCTCCAAAGTCAACCCGGTTGTTTTTTTCTTTTTGCATGGTCTGTATTGTTTGTCGGTGTAGTTTGTATTGTTTGTACAATTCATATGTTTGTTATGTTTGTAAATCTGTTTGTATGTTTTGTCGTTCTAGTTGTACTGTTTGTATGTTTGTATTGTATTGTTTGTAAGTCCAGTTTGTATATTTCGTAATTTTTTATAATACCCAAACTACCCCTCCCACTAATTAAAAATCTCTTCCCACTATTTAACCGTTGGATTTAAGTGTTCATATCTAATAGCCAGGAAGGGCTTAGTCAAGTGACTGAGGACCCCCAATCATGGGACCCGCTCTCCTAATTCATTTCAAGTGGTGAAAGTTACTTGTTAACCACTTTTGTTTTTTTTTTCCCTTCAAAATAAAGTAGGAAAACAAGATCTAAATTTTGTGGGTGATGAAGAAAAGAATCTCAAATGAGCTAGCCAGATCATGAAAGCTACAGTTATATTTTCTTAAAAGGGTTAGACTTCTGATTTTGGAAAGACTAATACAACTAGACTGCAATTTCATATGAATATTGCTCCTACCGTTGCATTTTCTTAATACAACTAGATTGTTCTCTTTTCTTTGAAGAAAAATATTTTGGTGTAGACATTGTCAAGCCTCTTTGTGTCGCAAATCTCTTCGTAGATGTTCGAGTCATCTTGATGGAGCTTTTTTGGTCTTTTTTTACGGGAGTATCTTTGTGCCATCTTGTGTTTACTTTGAAGTGGTGTGCTAGGGTTTCAGGTGTGATTGAGAAAAGGAACATGTGTAGTGTGAGTATGTACGTCGATATATTAGGATTTAAGATAGAAGCTGAAAGACGCAAATACGTGAAAAAAGATCAAATGAGACGAATAAAGTACTAAAAAAATTCATAGATGATAGATAGAAAATATGTACTTTTATACCATAGTAAGCTTGAAAACAGAAGGGGGAAAATGTTGGTGATCCTAGTGTATTACCAAGGTAACCACAACGAAACAGTTTCTCCGATGTATCGAAAAACTGAATCTCACGTGTATTTTCGTACATGTAAGGGGAAGACCCTAGAGCAATTGGGGTCGTCCCTAGAATTTGGGAATTTTTTATCAACCTCCATATCATAATTTTTATAAGGGAGACATGAATCCATTTTTATTGTTAGGTGTTGCTTAAAAAAATTTGGGCTTAAAACCTCCAAATTCAATGTTGTACTACTCTCTTCTTCGTTATTTTTTCCTTTTCTTTTAATTTCTGGTTAATAAAATGAGGTCGCCATTTTCTTAAAACAACCCTCCAAATTCAAGATCACAATCAAGACTTTCGATTTTGGAAAGAATAGTGCAACTGCTCTAGGGATTATTACATTCGTTTTTTTTTTTTTTTTGTCAAACTGGGGAGCAAATTCGGTGACAACATATGGTTACTTTACTCATTGTACTCACTTGGAAGTGACACGTGGCATGTAACATCCAAAACTTTAATATTTTAACTAAAAGAATAGTTATAAAATTATTAACAATATCAAACAAATGACTAATCATTTGTATTTTGAAATATTTGACTAATAATTTGAAAATATTGAAAGATTTAACTAATAATTATATTTACCCATTTTTTTTTATAAATAAGTTATATTACTGAAAAACTGACCAAATTGGTACAAACCCAATGAAAGAACAGCAGATTACACCAGGGCAAAGAGAAACGTCCAAACAAGTGCAACTAAACAAAAGCCCATTCCATTGGACGTTATTTGTGAAGGAAAGTCCAAATATTAAGTGATCAAAGTTTAGGTTACAAAAGTTACATTTCATAATTGAGGGATACATTAGTAAAAGTAGCATATACCGGGCACAAAGTGTTATTAAACCTTACTTATTCACCCAAAACACATTTAAAACATAACACAAGATAACCAACAAAGAGGTAGTATAGCACTAAAATCACCCAAAACCAAGTCTAGACCCCAGTATCCTTCTGTCCAGACTCCCTAAGAATCATACTTTAAAAGTCATCAAGAGAAAGTCCCGTTCCCTGCAACTTGAGCTGCGTGAGTTGGTCGACCCGTCCGGCCATCTGGGGAGTCAAGTAGTTCTTCCAATCCCCCACAGTACCTTTCCTAAAATAGGAACTATTGGATATCTGGGTCAGTTCCGAAACAACATTCTTGTTCACCTCCAACTCTTTGAGCCTACCCAAACTGCTACGCCATAACACCTTCTCCACCTCATCATCATCATCATCTCCATTCACTGATGATGTCGAGGAAAACGGCTTCCCCAGAAATGAAGCCAGCTTCCTCACTTCTTCTTTGGGGTCTCTGCACAGGTCCTCGTACGTGAGAAACAACACCTCGTCCGGCCTCTTCCTGCTCTCCTCCCAATAGCCCACCACGTGCTCGTAAAAAGGCCCCCAGGGAAGAACCCCGTTGCAGAAGCTCTCCACCGCCCCCTCCAACGGGAACGGGTCGGTATCCCGGTCCCGCTTGACGATTTTGTTGAAGAAATGCCACATGGACACCAGAGTGTCCTTCGGGTTCCGAGTCACGTGGACAATCTTGCACCCGGAGTTCCTCACGGCCTCCGGAAGGCAAGTATAAGGCAAGTGAGTCTGGAGCAATCGGTTGGATCGGTCCGAATTGAGCACGAGATCTTGGACTTGGTCCGTGAGGAAGAACACGTCGAGCGTCGGAACGAGCTCGTGCGGGTTCATCCTCGTCAGGACGTCGTCTTCGACTCTATCATCGCGATGAAGGATGTTGTGACAGAGAGCCACGAGCCATGTCGTCCCCGTTTTGGGGAAGGACGTGACGAGAATGTCGTCGCTTTTCGGCTGGAAGTCCGATCTGAAGGCTGCTACGGATTCCATGAGGTAAGCATAGAACCAGAACCCTTCAATCTGGCGAATCTCGTGAGCATTCCAAAACATGACCTCCTTTTTTGGTGCAAGTTCGTTCATCTCCTCAATACTCATATTTATTGTGTATCGTCACGAGCGAGTGTTTTTATCGCTCTTCACTTCTTCTTTTGCGTGGTGCGGTTCATAAGGGGTATTTATGCTATATATATGTAGTAGACTGAATTAATTTCAAGTAGTGAAAATTACTTGTTAACCACTTTTGTTTTTTTTTTTTTTTCAAAATCGTGAATGCAACAGTTACATTTTTTTAAAAGGGTTAGACTTTTGATTTCGAGTGATGAATAAAAGAATTTCATCAAATTGCGAGCTAGCGGCCAGATCATATGAATGCAACAGTTTGTATTTTCTTAAAACTGTTAGACTTTTGATTTTGGAAAAAATAATATCAAGGACATGTTGATATTTTGATATGAAGCTAGTACACGCCTTAGTCACGTAATCATCTTTTGTACAATTCTGAATATAACTATAGTCTATAGACATGTTGGAGGCCTTACCGGACTTTGAAATGTACAGTAACTTTTTTTTTCACCATAAGCATCAATGGTGTATGTTATGATATGATCATGATGGTAGCTGGTGGCGCGCGCAGGAATAATGCTCGAAGTAATATTCGAAATTCTTGATCTTGAATACTCGTACAGAGTAGGTGGGACCACAACATGAGTGAACTCGATGCTTAAATTAGCATCCTTCTCTAAGCTAGATGTTCATTCTTTGATGCTCATTTTTCCTTGTCTTCTAGCAGCTAGACACTGGACTTATAAACAAAAACCTACAAAATATGTAAAATATCTAATGAAAATAAAAGAGACATAAGGTGGTAAGTTATTTTCAAATACTACAGAGTCAGCTCAACTAACAACTTATCAGTTAGTTAATCGATTAATAACTTATTATTCACTTGTTGATAATATAATTCATATGTTTGTTAGATTATATATCTCACCACATGGTGGCATATTCGGTGCACCCACTTTTTCGGGTGCACTCAGTGCACCCGCCTCATAATTGTCATTCTGAGCATGCGATTCATGTCAAAACGGTATCAATTGTTGCTTATGATATTATGAACAAGAAGCTAGGGCTGCAAATGAGCTGAGCTGGGCCGAGTTTTACCCCAGTTTGAACTTGACTCATAATGAGCCGAGCTCGAGCTCGAGCCATTTATTAACGAGCCGAGTCGAGTCGAGTTCGAGCTAGGCTTGATTACTAAATTCTTAGATCGTATTGGATACATTCATTTTGTATGTCGTGTATGGTACATGTGATTGATGTAACGATAAAAAAAATAAGGCTTAATTGCAAGTTTGGTCACTCGAATTGCTACAAAATTTCACGTTTGCCACTCAAATTAATTTATTCCATTTATAGTCACTTAAATTAGGTTAACAGTCCAAGTTTGGTCACTGGCCGTTAGTCTCCGTTAACTTTTGCTGATGTGGCGGTCAACTCTTATAGTTGACCGTTAAATGAGTGACGTGGCGATTAAAAAATAATAAAATAATTTAATTTAATTATTTTTTATTTTCCACCTAATTATTATAAAAATAAAAACCTAATTCCTTTTAATTGTTATTTTCCACCGCTGATGAGCTGCGTCGTCTTCGGCTCCTTCGTCGTCTGGTACCTCGCGGCGTTCTCGATCTCCTGCTTCAAGGCGCTGACCCTGGTCATCAATAAAGGGCTGAGCCGCTCCGGTAACTAACCCCACTCCCCGCACTAATCCCCCCACTAATTAATCACGTAACAGCCGAAATTTGAAATGAAAATAAAAGCTCTCTGCAACTTTCCTTTGTGGCAGAGTTTCCTTTGTGGCATAGTTTAGGGTTTAACACGCCATTATCGAGCCATCGCCACTTGACTCTTCCGCTATACTCTCCAATCCATCGATCTGCAACAGCCACCGCCATTTCCGCCACAGCCTCTGCATTAATTACATTGTATAATCCAAGTTTTGGTCGTAAGAACTAATAAAAACAATTGATTCCCCCTTAATTAGCTAGACGACGAATCTTCGCATTTACTCATATGGATTAATCCTAATTTGTTGGTGTTGAATGAGGGATCGGTTAGGTTAGGTTGCTAACCATGAGTTGTAGTCATTAGGAGTCAGAGTTGTAGTACGCAACAGCAGTATGACAATTAGGATTCATATTCATGAATTTAATCAAATTTATTTACCAAAAAATCTAACTAATCTAGTTCATTTAAATCCAATTCATTTTATCTAAATCCAATTGGATTGGTGGATTCATGAATTGATTCATGGATCCAAATGATAATCACAGATTTACAATCTAGTACATATATACTTTTTATATATATTATATTTTGGTATCTAAAATTTAATTTGTATAAGAAAAATGTCATTAAAAATTATGTTTTGGTACCTAAAATTTTCATTATGACATTTAGTACCTATACTGTTCAAAATTTATATTATGGTCCAAGACTTGGATATCATTTTAATCCATAGATCAATCCACCAATCTATTTAATCCAATCTAATCCACCAATCCACGGATCCAATTTATTACCATATCTAGTAATAGTAGTACGTATTGTAGCAACTAGTTTTTTACAATTGTAGTACTACAACTCCAATACATGCAAACTACTATAAGTCATGGTTAGGATGGTGCTAACCTCTTGTAATCTTAACACAATATCCGATCCCTAAATAATAACATTCACCTTGATGGTGCCATCAAGGTGAATGTGGTGCACTCGAAGAGAGGGGATGATCTAACTCTATCGAGGAACAAGTCTAAATTTGTAGATTGATTTGACGCATAATAAATTGAGTTCCAATAAAATCTCTAAAATTTAGAGATATCAAATTTTTTATAATTAGATAAATTTTACCTTTTCATTTATGAAATTTTTGTCCCTTCAACTATATCTCTTCTTTTTTTTATTTATCACACCAAATATCATTACCAAAAAATTATTTATTATTACTCCATTTTTTCTCCAAAACTCTCTCTACTCATTTGTGATAGAAGGGCACAAAAGTTAAGTGATTGAAGTTTAAGGGTACAAAAGTTATATTTCATAATCCAGTGACGTGCTTGTAAAATTAACGTGATACAGGGGCACAAAGTGCTATGAACCCTTACTTGTTCAACAGAAATCATCATAAACATTAAACACCAAAAGAAACACCAAACTCAATAAAAACATTTAAAACACACTACAAGGATAACTGACAAAAAGTGACATGCGCTAAAATCACCCGATAACAAGCCCAAATCCAGTCTTCTCCTATCCAGTCTCCCTAAGAATCATACTTTAGAAATCATCAAGAGAAAGCCCAGTTCCATGCAACTTGAGCTGCGTGAGTTGGTCAACGCGTTCGGCCATCTGAGGAGTCAAGTAGTTCTTCCAATCCCCCACCGTTCCTTTCCTGAAAAAAGAGCTATTCGGTATCTGGGTCAGTTTCGAAACAACATTCTTGTTCACCTCCAACTCCTTGAGTCTACCCAGACTGCTAAGCCACAACACCTTCTCCACCTCCTCATCATCACCTACAGGGGGAAACGGCTTCCCCAGAAATGAAGCCAGCTTCCTCACATGCTCCTTGGGGTCTCGGCACAGATCCTCGTACTTGAGAAAAAACACATCGTCGGGCCGCTTCTTGCTCTCTTCCCAGTAGCCCACCACGTGTTCGTAAAAAGGCCCCCAGGGAAGAACCCCGCTGCAGAAGCTCTCCACCGCCCCCTCCATCGGGAACGGGCTGGTGCCGCCCGCGGGACATTCGAAGACCTTGTTGTAGAAATGCCACATCGACACCAGAGTGTCCTTCGGGTTTCGAGTCACGTGGACAATCTTGCTGCCCCGGCCGGAGTTCTTCACGGCCTCCGGCAAGCAAGTATAGGCCAAGTGAGTCTGGAGCAACCGACCCCCGCCGCTGGATTCGAGCACGAGATCTTTTTGGACCTGGTCCGTGAGGAAGAAGACCTCGAGCGTCGGAATGAGCTCGTGAGGGTTCATCCTCGTCAGAACGTCGTCCTCGACTCTATCATCGCGGTGAAGGATGTTGTGGCAGAGAGCCATGACCCACGTCGTCCCCGTTTTGGGGAACGACGTGACGAGGACGTCGTCGCTTCTCGGCTGGAAGTCGGACCTGAAGGCCGCCATGGATTCCTTGAAGTCGGCGTAGAACCAGAAGCCGTCTATTTGGCAAATCTCGCGAGCATTCCAAAACACCTCCTTTGGTGGTGGTGCAACAAGTTTGTTCGTCCCCTCACTGCCCATATCAATGAAATATACTCTAGATAGCGATTTATTGTTCTCACCTCTTCTTTGCATGGTGTTATATTCATAAGGTGTATTTATACCATCTAGCAGACGAATTCATTTCAGTAAGTGATGAAGAAGAAGAAGAAGAAGAAGAAGAAGAAGAAGAAGAAGAAAATGCTTACGTACTAAGCATGTGATTCTCCTCTTTTTTCTAATTAATTTGGGCATTGTCAGAATTAATAACAACTTGGCCATTAATGCATACAACGTAACTATCAACACAGGTTTGTACTTTTTTACACAAATTTGATCTCCCCAACTTGTTCCTCTTTACTATAAATTGTATATAAAAAAGAAACTTTGGCAACCAAACTTTCTCGTCGGGAAGAACAACTACCGATGAAAGTTTCGAAGTGAACACGTGATCGAGATATATCTCAAAACGTGTCTTACCAGTCACAAAGGTTGAAGGAAAAAAAAATCAGTGTCCGGTCAGCCGGTTCAATTGGGTCCGATCGGAATCGATTATCTGAATGGTTGGAATACACTATGACTGGTTGGTTCTGAGAAAAATTCTAAACCGGGTTAAACCATTCAAAAACGGATTTAAAGATAAGGTTTGATAATTTCGTAATATATATTTATTTATTTATTTATTTTGGATAAATAATTCGGTAGTATATGAATATAGATTAATGAGATTGTTTTAAAACATATCAAATATATGTATAATTTATTTAATATTAAAAGTTTTTCCACATATTATGTTAAAATCAACTTGAATTGGTTGAGCCTGTTTATCCATTAAATTTCAAACCACTTGTCAAACCGACTTGATAGCTAACTACAATTTGACAATCTTGTCAGTCACACTAATAGTAGCATGGAGCTGGGGTGTGATTGAGCCTTCCTTTTAGTCTGTCCCAGTTGTCTTGTGTCAGCTTATTTTTTATTTGTTCATCTCAAAATTTGAAGTATGTTTGCTCATAAATCTATGCTATTTTGACTCATCTAGAAAATAATGTAATTAGCTAGGACTTATCGAAAGCTTTCAAATCTTAAATATTTTGGTTGCATTAATCATGTGACTCTCTTCCTTTCCGGACTAGGCCAATGGCGACAGATTAGATCTTACAATGAGGATTGAGGACAACCACCGTCCTCGTACAATCAGCTTAGGGTGCGTTTGGATACTAGGATTTGGATTTGGTATTTGTGATTTGGATTTTCAAATACCAAATCATGTGTTTGGATATTAATTACATTTGGTATTTGGATTTGTGTCAAATTCATGGGGTGATTTCCAAATACATGTCTAGTGTATTTTTTGTCAACTTCAAATACATTTCAACAACTAGTGATTTGAAATACCTCCTAACAAAAGAATGGACCTATTTGTAAAATATGAAAAGTTTAGGTACTATAGTGAGGCAAAACATATAAAGGTACCAAAATGTAATTTTACCATCAAAATTTCAGGACCTTTTTGTAAAATTTTAGAAGTTTAGGTACTAAATTGTAAGAAAAAATAATTTTGGGTACCAAACTGTAATTTACCAAAATTTGTAGTAAGTGACCAGAAAATTAAAAATTGAAATTGAAAATCATAAATACAAAAATACAAACAAATTACAAATGAGTATCCAAACAATGAATTTGAATTACATGTATTTCAAATGCTAATACTTCAAAGTTCAAATACATCCATTTCAAATGCTAGTATTTCAAATACCTTACATTTAAAATACACTTATCCAAACGCACCCTTAGAAAAGATGGTTTTCCAATGTATAAAACAAATCACAAATCCCATGAATCACATAAAATTATCATTAAGATTAGGGTAAATACTATATATCAGCCACAACTATTATGAAGCGGGGAATTATAGCTACAACTATGAAAATTTAAATTATTAGCCATAACTATTGTTGTGGGTCAAGATATGGCTAACTGTCCATTATTGTTATTGAATTTTAGCCGGAGAAGGTCACGTCATCGGCCACGGCAGCAGCCACGTCGGACTGCTTTTAATTTATAACTTTAAATATAAAATTTTAGTCAGTATTGCTAACGGAATCGTCAACAGATAATTAACGTTTGGCTAATAGTTTGAATTTCTATAATTGTAACTATAGTTCCCCGCTTTATAATAGTTGTGGCTAATATATTGTATTTACCCTTAAGATTATTAACAACACGAGAAGCTAACATCTTTTGCTACTCAACCAAATCCAAAATTGTTCTCCTGATCCTCCCCTATGAAGATGGATAGGACTAGGAGATCATCATTTTGTTGTCTATGTCACAAAGCCGCATCAAATCAAACACAATTGTCCAATCTTGAGTGTCAATTTATGTTTCAATGAGAAAACTTGTGTGTTAACAGAATTGATTTGCATTGAGAAACATAAAACTTGACCAGTGGTCTCGAATTATAGTTTTGCGGACCTATTTTCATCTTCATTTTGCATATTTATAGTCATAAAGTGTAACTGTGTTGGTAACGCTACTCCAACTTCTTTGGTTGGTGCTCGAGGTAGCTTCCTTGACATGGATATTCTTTGTGCCATGGAGGTATGTTGCTCTATTTGGCATGCTTGACTTGTGGCCTCACAGGTTTGATGGGATGTCACCGTAATGGTACTTAGTTGGGTGGCAATGCTCGATAATACAAGTTGTTTGTTTCATGAATTTGAAAAATGAAGGTTTTGATCATTAGTTTTGTAAAACCATGGATATATGAGGGTTTTGGGTTCATTGTGGACTTGAAAAATACCATTGTTTGTTTCCATAGATTTCATTATGGATTTGGTTAATTAGATTTGTGTGTATGAAGCAAAATTACCCTACATTGCTCTCATTGTTATGAGAAGAGAAAGATAGTAGCAAGGGTAGTTTGGTCATAAATGATTGACTTCAGAGTCCATGATCAATTCTCACCTAAAGAGGTGGAACTTTCAAGTCCATGGAGTTCACGAATTTGGAACCTTAAAATCTGTGGGGTCCACCTAAATCCATGAAGCAAGCAATGAATTTTAGACAAAGTCCATGATTGATCTAATTCCATCACCAAATTCATCACGCAAACAACCCGTCAAATATGGACCCCCTTTCTCATGGATGCTTGAAGGCTTAGCTGAGCGGGTGTGCATGTTGAATACTTTGGAGTATGCATAATGACTCTCTTGGGTGATGTCGTGCTTGAGTGATTGAGACAAGAGAGTACAGGTGGTGGGAGTGACGAAGACCACTCTGGGTGTTCTTATTTGGCATAAAAATTCACCACCTAATCTGATCTTAGACCAATTTATTTAACACAACTAGTGGTGCCAAATGAATTGCATCTATGGATTGGTGGATTCATGGATCAAGTGGATTGATTCATGAATACAAATGACATCCAAGTTTTGGACCATTATGCGAATTTCGAAAAGTATAGGTAATCAAATGTCATAATAAAAAAAAATTTAGGTGCCAAAATATTATTTTCCAATGATATTTTGCATATAAAAATAAATTTTAGGTACCAAATTGTAAAGTTTAAAAAGTATAGGTACTATATGAATTGGATTAGTTGGATATCTAAGTAGATGGATTGGATTGATGACTTGGATTACAACTTGCCACCTCTAAACGCAACTAATAAGTTGGCATTATAAAAGATTGAAACACAATTAGAGCATAACACAAGATAACCAACAACGTGATTGTATGGCGCGCTAAAATCACTCGCTAACGAGTTCAAATCCAATATTCTTCTTTCGAGGCTCCCTTAGAATCATACTTTAGAAATCATCGAGGGAAAGCTCGATTCCCTGCAACTTGAGTTGCGTGAGTTGATCAATGCGTTCGGCCATTTGGGGAGTCAAGTAGTTCTTCCAATCCCCCACGGTTCCTTTCCTGAAAAAGGAGCTATTGGGTATCTGGGTTAGTTCCGAAACAACATTCTTATTCACCTCCAACTCCTTGAGCCTTCCCAGGCTACTAAGCCACAACACCTTCTCCACCTCCTCATCTTCACATCCGTTACCTGCAGGGGAAAACGGCTTCCCTAGAAATGAAGCCAGCTTCCTCACTTCCTTTTTGGGGTCTCTGCACAGATCCTCGTACGTGAGAAACAACACCTCGTCCGGCCGCCTCTTGCTCTCCTCCCAATATCCTATCACGTGTTCGTGAAAAGGCCCCCAGGGAAGAACCCCGTTGCAGAAGCTCTCCACTGCCCCCTCCATCGGGAACACGTCGAAGATTTTGTTGTAGAAATGCCACATCGACACCATAGTGTCTTTAGGGTTCCGAGTCACGTGGACAATCTTGCATCCAGAGTTCCTCACGGCCTCCGGCAAGCAAGTATAAGGCAAGTGAGTATGGAGCAATCGGCCGCCGGTTGAGCGGTTCGAATTGAGCACAAGATCTTGGACTTGGTCGTGGAGAAAAAACACGTCGAGCGTCGGAACGACCTCGTGCAGGTTCACCGTCGTCAGAACGTCGTCTTCTTCTTCTTCTCTGTCGTCGTGGCGGTGAAGGATGTTGTGACAGAGAGCCATGAGCCACGTCGTCCCCGTTTTGGGGAAGGATGTCAAGAGAATGTCGTCGCTCCTCGGCTCGAAGTCCGACCTGAAGGCCGCTATGGATTCCATGAGATGAGCAAAGAACCAGAACCCTTCCACGTGGCAGATCTCGTGAGCATTCCAAAACACCTCCTTTGGTAGTGGTGCAACAAGTTTGTTCATTCCCTCATCACTGTCCATATCAATGTAAATACTATTTGTCGCCACAAGCTAGCTAGCGATTTATTGTTCCTCACTTCTTCTCGCATAGGGGTATTTATACCATCTATCAGACGAATTAATTTCTGTATTGAAGAAGAAAAAATAAAGAATTGAAAAACCTTCGAAAAACTTTCTATTGAAGGTTAAATCGGTAGGCGAAAATACCCTTTTTTATTAATTCGATTCCCCGTCTTGTTCGTCTTTTATAAATCTAGCGGATGTTTCTACAATTCCTTTGTGCTTTGATTCCGACTCTTGGAAGTTACTATGGTCTCAAGGGTTATCTCTTCTTAAGTTGATTGTTTCTTGATTGTCGGATTGCAGTTTAACTTTGGGATCTTTTGGGTTACCGCCATATTCTTTCTCAAGTTCGCCATTGTCGGATGCTTTTTCTTGTCATGTGTGCAGTTCTCGTGTTCCATCTCCTCCTCCCATTCTCTGGTTCCATCGATTCTTAGTGCATTTCGGTGGTGCAACCAAGATTAAATACACTTCAATTTTTTCAAAGCGCGAGTGAAAATTAAATACTCATTGGTCTATTTGCTACTCAAAGTTGTATTGATTTTACCTGTTGCAACTTCAAGTGTAGAGACTTGAGACAGATTTTTAAGCTTTGAGTTATATCAAGAACAGGTTTCGGAATCGAATAGGCGATTGGTTCGTGAATAATTGTCTAGTAGTATATCTTGAAAGAGATTTGTTGAGCATTGTAGACAATTAGTGTATTTTATAAAAAAAAAATTCAAACTACAATAATTTTTTTATCTCCTTTTTAGAGTATTAATTTTTACAACCTTGTGAGTTGAAATAGTATAGCCTGATGTAGTGTCACTACAACAAAAATAAAAAATTTGTGGTTACTTAAAGATGAGTAGAATATTGGTGAGAAGTATGTGACCAAACTTCGTGGTTTAAAAATATTGGTTTTGTGACTTAAATCATTTGGTGAGTAAACATAAATTTTGTTACTTGACTTTTACATTATTTGTGACCAATTACATGTTTTTTCGTGGTTGTTTAGACTAATTTTTTATAATCAGTTACATTAGTCACATTAAATTTTATTTTGTGACCATTACTTCTTTTGGTCAGAAAATCGTCATGTATTGTGACCAAATTTCTAAATGCTAAATATATTGGAAATTGCAGCCAACATTCTTGGCTGCAAATAGTATGCAAGGCAAAGACTTAAGAGCCTAAAACTTCGTTGGATCACACTATAAACGACGAGAGAGAAATGCCATTCTCATTTCTCAATCACAAACTTCGTATAAATGCGCGATAATGAGATCTCAGATGGTCGCTATTGATGGAAATGGAAGGCAGAGCATTATTAAACAACCATTAACGATAGCCACAGAAGATTATGAAAACATGGAACAGCTAACGGAAATGAGCCCTGATCACCCGCCAAACACAATCCATTCAACCATGTTTCTTCTGTTCTTCTGACACAGAATCTCATCCGAGGCCATCTCTCTACCCACCTCGAAGAAGAGATCGTCCAGCGAAACAATGGCGGATGACGATGAGGCAGCCAAAGGAAGGCCGCGAAACAATGCCTTCGTGCTCTCGACATTGTTCCGAATAACGGGATCTCTCGTAACCATGGCGGTCCTCCTGTTTGCAATTCGAACCGGTTTCGAACTGGCAAGAGGTTCGAGAAGGAGGTATGCCACCTACGCCGACTGGGCTTTCCATATCGGAGTTCTGACCATGGTTCTTGGCATCTTGTTCCTGGTGGTCGGCCTGCCGATACTGGCAGACTTGTTCATGAACCTCTCGGAACAGATGCAGAAAGAAGCTGGGATTCAAAAAGGTAGAAATGAACCTAAATTCCAAACTCTTACCTTCTATCGAGTTCGCTCATGTTAATGTACCTTAAGCTGTTGTTTGCAGTCCCAAATGTAGAAGATTGGTTGTTCTAAACATTAGGAAAATCACATGCAGGTTTTGAGAACCCATAAGCACGCTAGGCAGTAGGCAGACATTAACAAAGAGTGAACTTGAACAGATTCTTCGGCATTTTCTTATGTGCCTAGGGTTTGCTAGTTTAAGTAGGAAAATAGGGTTCTGTTTCTGGAAATTCCAGAAATCTACAGAAACCGATAGGGGGTTTAATGGATGCCTCTCCAACAAGGGAGCAGGACCTTGCCTGCGAATCCACTCAAAGAAACGAAACAAAGGAGATCCAATAGCTCCATTCCATCTGCTGAATTCTGTTAAAAAAACCTCCTTCTAAGAGTTACAAACTGAGAATGCAAGAGACCATAATCCTATCCTACTAATCCTACTATGTCTGGCATATCTAAACTGGCAGGGACAGAGACGCAGGCAATCTCAAGGGCAAGCGCTCAGATCATCAGTATCATTACTATCCTGTCTATGCTATGGTGGGTCATTTACACGGGGTTTAAGCTAGCATCTGAACATAGAAGAGACAACAAATACTACTGGCTAACAATCTCCATTGGGGTGACCACAGTAACATTCGGTTTCGTGTATTTCATCATTGGGCTAGGGATACTAGTGGATCAAGTGATAGACTTATCAGCTCAAGTGCAGCAGCGGAAGAAGAAGAGAATGAAACACCATTATCAAGGTTAAACCAAGGGATCCAACCCCTTTCCAGGATTATAAGGGCACCAATGATACAACTATTCCATTGTGATTCATTACTGAACGAGGCCCTAATTTTACTTGGGAGGGTTAAGCTCCACCGTTGTCAGATACATATAAATATGCCTTCCCGTGCTTAAAGCTGAAAATTCAATTTCAATACTGCATAGCTTGAGATTCAATTCATTCTGCCCAGGGTATTATCTACATTCTAGAGCAATAACTTCAAGTTGACAGAACGCCACATTCTTAACGCACTACGAAGGCCGCAACCTGAAAACCAGGCAGATCAACTATTCATGCCATGCGTTCTTGCCTTGCCTGCATAATTCCCATAACTAAATGGCAATCAAGGTTCCTTACTCAGAAGTCCTAGTTAAGATACCTCGCCCCTCTGGTTAAGTCCTTCCATGGAGATGAGAAACTCGATCACTACTAGTACTAGCAGAAAGAATCCATTCACAGCCTATGACGCAAACAGAGGAACTGAGATGTTCACTCATCTAAATCAAAAATAGACCAATTTTCACGGCCGCAAGAAAAAGCACACAGCTTTATTTTGAGCAACATAACAAAAAGTGCACATTCCACATTCAAAGATCAAAACCCTAACAGGGTTCATACTTTACGAACAGAGCAAAATCTGAAAACCTAATTGCGTATAAAATCCGAAACAGGAAAGCATCGATTTTTTTTTTTTTTTCAGATGAGCTTGAAGGGGAGGGGCCAAGGAGTGGACCTGGGGAGCTCATTTTTGTCCTTGATCCGTTCAATCTTCTTGTCCTTCTTCGGCCTCGAGTTCCCGTACGAGCCGATGAATATCTTCCCTTTCTTCGTCTTCTTGTCCCCTCGGCCGCACTGAATCGGCAACCCTAACACTGAATAGGGGATGGACGATGCTAAAGAAGAAGAAGATGGTGACAGTGAAGAAAATGAAGATGAAGGCTGCTGCTGAGTCGCCGCCGCCAGAGTTCGCCTCGCTGCCCCGCCGCACCGCTGCATCGCCGTCGCCATCGCCATGAATTGTTCCTCTTTGGTTTCAAAGCAGAGCTAAGGCCGGGTTCCAGGAGTGTGGCTTATGTTTATGAAGTTGGGTCGAGAGAGCGAGACTGTAGTTGGGTCGATCACTGGGCTGATTGAGGCCTGGACTGAAAAAATTGGGCCGACTTGAGCCCACATAATCAATGAAGAAAACACGACCGAAAAGAAAACCAGAAGAAGCAACGGCCCACAGAATCTGATGAACGTCAATCCAACCCATAACCATGGGTACCCTACCCGACCGTAATCGGTCAACGAGGGTAATTATCCGCTTTGACGGGTTAAGGGGCGGGTACGGGTAATACCCGGTTTCAAAATAAAGGGTAGGGTACGGGTATGGTAATTGATAATACCCGCTCCGTTATACCCGCCCCGCTAATCAAAGGGTCAATTTCCTTTGAGAAATTTAGATTAGGTTGAGAAATTGAGTTTAGCTACCATTATTGATGATGAAGATGTAGACGATTATTATGTTTGTGTGGATTGTAGAAGCAAGAACAATTATTATGTGTTTGCTATTTTTATTTGTGTGGATTGTTGAAGCTCGAACAATTACAAGTATTGAGAATTTTTTTTTATAAAGAAGTATTGAGAATTTTTAATGGACAACAATATGTATGTGCATATATGTGTATAAGTTCATAGTTTAGGATTCGTACCCATGGTTACCCGAATACCCGTGGTTACCCGGTGGGTAGGGTATGGTTATATAATTTCATACCCGGTGGTTATTTGGTCGGGTATTTTAGAAAGCTCTACCCGGCGGGTTAGGAGTTGGTATAGGGTAAACCCGCACCCGACCCTACCCATTGCCATCCCTATTTGTAGTAGATACCAACCGATCTGCCAATCAAAGATTTTTTTTTTTCTTGTTTTTCTCACTAAATAGATAGCTCTATTGTAACATCTTAAGCGAATCCCACATCGACAAAACACGGGAGAGATTCATGGTTCATAAGTAAGAAACCGACCTTAATTGACAAGACGCGTTTTTGGGGTGTAATGGAGGAGTTCTTGTGAGAACTCTGAAGTTAAACGTGCTTAGGATGGAGTACAACAAGGATGGGTGACCTTATGGGAAGTCACATTGAATTGCACCTCAAGTCGACATCCGTACGGGTGTAGAGGCCCAAAGCGGACAGTATCTTGTCGGAAAAAGGTTCGGGATGTTACATCTATCACTTCTACAAAATAGAGTGACAAAAAACACTACGAAATCCATAAAAAAAAATACGAACTTCAACTAATCTGACTTCAAAAATCACACTAGGAAGAAGACACTATTACTTCTACAAAATAGAGTGACAAAAAACACTACGAAATTCATAAAAAAGATACGAACTTCAACTAACCGGGCTTCAAAAATCACACTAGGAAGAAAACACTAATCTAGAGATGAATATGGTCATTGTAATTGAGAATTACAGTGACTCCAGCACTACTTTTTGATCGTAACCTCTGTCGAACAATCTAACAAGACTCTCTAAACAATACGCAGCATCAAACCCACCTTCCCCAACAATACCACCCATGTCGACCGCTTCAACCCTGTCACCGGACGGATAGTACCAGAACCAAACCCGACCATCCACCATGAACAACAACCTCCGGCCGCCTCCACCATCAACGGCCGAACACCCCAACAAGAACGCAGGGCCGCAGCGGACGACGATCGGATCCCGAATCGACCAAACCTTGCACCACGATTCCACCTCCCCGTACTCCTTCATCACCCACAGATCCAATCTCCCCTGACCGTCCCCCACGTAGTATCCGCCGCACAGGCACAAGCAAGAGTCCAGCTCGCCGAGGCTCTTCACCTCAGGCCTGCCTCTGATGTACTTGGGCTGCGGCAGCAAGCTGAACCCGCCGCCGTCGGAGCCGAGATCGAGAGCGAGCAGCACATCGTTGTGGGCAACCCAATTCAGGGCGCCGCAGACGAACACTCCATTCCTATGATTAGGGTACGGGAGGTCCGTCGGTTCGATAATCTTGCACGATTCCGCTCGCACGCTGTAGATCTCGGCCCGGAAGTGGTGGGATTCGACGCCGCCGCCGCCGCCGACGAGCCCTCGAATCCTGACCACTTTGTAATCGTCCGACGATTCGTCGTACCCGAACCCGTACCCGCCCAGTACAAGGGTCGCGAGCCCGCCACCGTCTACCTCTAGATCTACATCTTTCCCTCGACGGCTATCCGTCGAGTACTCAACAAACATCCTTGCGTCGAGCTTGGATATGTGCGGATTCACGGCGGGGGAAGGGTGTTGGGGGAAATCGGGAGGGGAGTAATTGCAGATCTGGCGCCGCTCCCCTGTTCTAGGGTTTAGGATGACGAGGTCTCGCTGATTGTTGACGCAGAAGCAGACCAAGCCGCGGCAGGAGCCCAGCAAGAGGGCGCCGTCGGGGTGGGTCGGGAGTTTCGGGTCGGGGCGGGGGGAATCGGAGGCGGAATCGGGGGCGTAGAAGAGAGCGCCGTCGTCGTTTCGGAGGAAGAGCCCGGCGTTGGAGAGTGCGGCTGTGGAGCGCTGCAGGTGGCGTTGGATGAAGTCGGGGCTGTCGAGTACGGAGAGCCATTGCTTCGAGACGCGCCTGCACCGGACCAGATCGGCGGCGTCGGTGAGCCGGTCGAGAATGTCGGCGATGATTTCCGGCGGGAGTGAGTCCGACATTGGGTTTTGGGGGGAAGTGAATCGACGGCGGCCGGACGGCGGGGCAGAGATAGATGGAGCAGTGAAGGGTTTGTGTGTGGAATTCTATTGAGGAATGGGGATTTTCAAAGTGCTGCGAGTGTGGAATAAGGAAGGAAGGAAGCAAAGGTGGAAACCGCGAGAATCGGTGATTCATTTATGGCTTTCTAGTCGGAAAGGAAAGAATCGCATTGTGGAGATACGCCGGAGATTCTTGATTTGATTGGGGCTAACATTAAGCGCTGCAGAAGCTCCGATGAATTTGAAGATTTAGCAACGAATTTTGTAGTGATGGTTTTCTGGCGCTAAAAGAGATGGTCCGAAACCGGAGGTCGAATGATCCTGGTTGGGCCGGCTCCGGCGGTCGGATTAGCCATTCTGCTCTGAAAATCGGTTTCAGAACGTCGCTGGTCGTCGTAATTTGACTTTTTAGCAGGAATACTGCTTTTTTTTGCCCGAAAATGAAAATTTATTCTTGCTGCTAAATATTTTTTCCACTGACAAAGGAAAAAATAAGCAAGAATTCATTAAAAAATTGTTTGTGGGAATCCTAAACAATGGAAAAATCAAGTATAGCCTTTCTATGCCATGAAACTTCACCATTCGGAATTTGAATTATAGAGTCGGGGCTGCACTTCTTGTCGCTAACATTATCCGTATGTTTCCTCTTCCCCTATCTTGTTGTCTCTTATCTCTGCTCTCACGATGTGGTTTCTTGCTGGTACCCACACTCTTGGATGGAGCATGACCTACCACAACTTCAATTTGCCTAGAAACACAGCTTGCATGCCTCTTCCTATTTGCATAGTAGGATGCAAGCTACCTTTTTACAACGGTACTTAAATCGAGTTGAACTGATCAGTCACACCGGTAAAACCAGGACTTTTTCCAGAAATACCATTGTTTAAAAAAAGAATTTCAAAAATACCACCAAACCCCAAAAAATTTCAAAAATACCACCTTTTTCAAAAACCGCCACCCCACCCTGCGATTTACACGAAAACCGCTTGTCGGGGGTGCGGTTTTCTATGCAAACCGCGGGGCTAAGGGAGGTTATAAAAAAAATTGGACCAAACCGCTGGGTGGGGTGGCGGTTTGGCCCAAAACCGCCACCCCACCCAGCGGTTTGGTCCAAACAAAATTTTTTTTTTCGATCTAACTCCTAACTTCGGCCGAAACTTCAAACGAACATAACTTTGCACTCGGGTATCCGATCGTAGCAATTTTTTTTCATTTAACATAACTTTTCAAGATCTACAACTTTTACTATGATATATTTTTCAAAGCAGGAATTATTTGTGGATATACTAGACCTTGAGAATAACTTTATCTTTACTTTTCACAAATCCATGTACATTTTGAAATTATGATTATATTAAAAGTTATGGCCGCTTGAAAAGTTATGCGAAATAAAAAAAAATTCATGACGTTTGGATTTTGGAGCACAAAGTTATGGCCGCCGAAAGTTTAACGAGAGGCGAGACCCGGCAGTTTGCGGCTTGCAAGATCTCAAAAAGTTTGCGGCCTCCATTTTTTGAATCCAAATAACTTTTTGAGATCTTGCAAGCCGCGAACAACTGGGTCCCGCCTTCGTCTCGAAAAAACTTCATTTGCAACCCCGAACGAGTCTTTTTTTTATTTCGTCAAACTTTGGGCGACCATAACTTTGTGCTCCCAAATCCAAATGTCATGAATTTTTTTTTATTACGCATAACTTTTCAAGATCTACAACTTTTTACATAATCATAATTTCAAAATGTACATGGATTTGTGAAAAGTAAAGGTAAAGTTATTCCCAAGATCCCGTATATCCACAAATAATTTCTGTTTTGAAAATTTCATCCTAGTAAAAGTTGTAGATTTTGAAAATTTATGCGAAATGAAAAAAAAATCGCTACGATCGGATACCCGAGTGCAAAGTTACATTCGTTTGAAGTTTCGGCCGAAGTTAGGAGTTGATCGGAAAAAACAAAAAGTTTTGGACCAAACCGCGCCCCCGACAAGCGGTTTTCGTGTAAACCGCAGGGTGGGGTGGCGGTTTTTGAAAAAATGTGATATTTTTGGAATTTTTTGGGGTTGGGTGGTATTTTTGAAATTCTTTTTTTAAACAGTGGTACTTTTGGATTTTTTCCGTAAAACCATGTCCCAAGCTACTAGTGTGACTTGATACAGAGAAGAAAAAAAAAACGAATGTGTTGAATCGGTCGGGCGGTCAGGAATTATAATTAACCCCTCAAATCGACCAACCGGTTCTCAGCATTCCAACCGGCAAATTAAAAGACAAACCTACATCTAACTCTCTCACCCAATTTCAAATTTCTAGAGCTCCACCACTCTCCCTCCACTTCCGCTTCCCCCTCCACCCAATCCGCCGGCCGATGGAAGCGCCGTCGCTGACTCTGGTAGTTCTGCAGGGCCCTCGCAGGGGCGAGACCTTCGATTTCCGCCCCGGATCCACCGTCCGGATCGGCCGGGTCGTCCGGGGAAACACTCTGGCCATCAAAGACGCCGGCATCTCGTCCAAACACCTCGAAATCGATTCGAATTCCGGGAAATGGACGGTCGAGGACCTCGACTCCTCCAACGGCACGACTCTCAACTCCTCCCAACTCCCTCCTCTCCTGCCGTCCGACCTCCGCGACGGCGACGAGATCAAGCTCGGCGAGCTCACTTCCGTCATGGTCCGGCTCCGAATCGAGAACCCAAATCCATTGCCGCCGCTGCAGCGGGGCCGGAGGAAGCAGGTTGGTGCTTCGGTTAAACTCGCTGAACCGGAAGCTAGGGTTTTGGCGGAGGAGAGTCAATTGCCGCCGAGCGTTCCGAAAAGAGGGAGGCCAAGGAAAGCTAGGGTTCCGGCTTCTCAAAAATCGGAGCCGCCTCCGCCGGTCGTCGGCAGGGTTACTCGGAGCAGGAAGAGTGAAATAGATTGCTCGACTTCTGATTGCGTCGAGTTAGGGATTCCAGAGAAAAAGAAGAATGCGCCGCCGGCGAGAAGGGGAAGGAAGAAGGAGCCAGCACCGTCGCCGGAGAATGATGATGTTGTCCTGATAGAAATCAAGGATGGCCCGGAATTCGGAGCGAGTTTGGCTGAAAAAGCTCGAGAAGGAGGTGGCGATCGGATTAGCGTGGTGGAAATCAAGTCGGATTCAGACTGTGAAGCTCATGGTGGTGATGCTAACAGGGTTAGTGTAGTGGAAATCAAGGGGAATGAGGGTTTAGAGCCGAAGTTAGCTGAAGAAGCTCAACAAGGAGTTGGTTGCGAAGCTGTGGTAGACGAACAACAATGCGAAGCTCCTGCGAAAGATGGACCCAATTCAGATGAGCACGCAGGGGAAAAGAGTGAGGAGCCTGACCTGGAGAAGATGACTTTGAGGGAATGGTTCAAGTACATGGAAGTGCGACTGACCAAGCAAACTGTGGAGGCTTCTGAGAAGATGATCGACGAAATGAGGAAGAAAGCTGCCCGGGTGCAAGAGTACATCGACGAGCAGAAGAAGATGAAGAAGGCATCTTGACTGTGAGCTAGTAGTTTCAGAGGCTGCAGAGCAAGGTAACTCGGCTTCTTCGTTTCTTTTGTTCAATAGGGTAGCTTGATCGAGGAATGCCTTAGCTATAATCTGTGAATTCTGTTCATTTTGGTGGAGAGAGCCTTTCCCTACTTGGACCTCTGTTTGGTCCCTTTTGTGGCTCCACTCTATATGTGTAGTATAGCTAGAAATCGAGAATGGGTATCTGTAATTTGTGTCACCATTCTCTCTAGTGAATTGAATCCTAACTTTCAGAGTTTTTGTGAAACTGTACTGGTGATCTAATTGATGAGCTTAATTGGTACGTAAAACTAAATGATCCAAAACTACAGAGAACGACGAGAAAGAGTCGAGTGACTTCTCTGGTAAACTGTTGTTGCGAATCAGACTGCCGAAGATTTCATATAGTAGGCAGAAAGATTGATGCTAACACTGCAGAAGTGTATAATGTCACGATCAGTTCCCACAATGTTGGCATAGATGTTCTGCATTGTGCCTTTTGGTCTCTGATTCTTCTTCGGCTAGAGCTGGAATAGCCGATTCGATGAGTTCGTGGACCTGATTCGGGTAACTTCTAATCCTATTAGTTATGGTACAGTCGACATCTTGTTCTGCATTTTGTACGAAGGTTTCACGACAACTAAAAAATGTAGCGGTTGCTGAGAAATTTGAAGAGAAAACAACGGGGGGAACACAAATTAATCGATAACAGAGGAACGAGGAATCCCTAAAATTAGAGCTAAACTAAACAAGAGAACAAGAAGAAAGAAAGAATTCCTTTAACTCACTATTTCTCTCCTTCAATATGACATTAGGATTGCCGTTGCCCAGGTTCATAGTGCTGCAATCAACTAGGAACCCTAACCATTACTTGAGGTACGCAGCAGAGCAAGGTGAGTTGAACGATGCCATCGCCTGCAATGGAGACAACGCCACGAACCCGAATGCCAAGTTCGAGGTCGAACAAGCCAGCCATGACGTCGACAGACCAATTGTACACATTCGAAGCTGTTACAACAACAAGTACCTGAGGCTATCATCTGACAATGACGAACAATGTCGTCGTCGTTACATCGTTGCAGTGGCCGAAAAGCCAGAGGAAGATCAGTCCCGATGCTCATGCACATTGTTCGAGCCCGACTTCTCTACAGACGATCCCAACACGATCCGGCTGCTCCACGTCCAATCCGGCCTTTACCTCCGTCGGTCCGACGACATCTGCACATTGGCAGCCTCTCCGATCCAAAACAACAACAACAACAGCACTGATGAAGACATGTTCATTTTCAAGGTCATCTGCTGGGAGTCGCTAGTGGTACTGCCCAAATACGTCGCCTTCAGAGGCGACAACGGTCTGTACCTCGGAGTACGCAGGGTCGTCGACGACAACGACATCGATTCCCCCTGCCTGCAGTTCGCAATCTCGGACGAATTCGACGACAGAACTGTCAAGAACCAGTTCGTCCCAACTCCAGACGGACGAACCGTCCGGATCAAGAACGTCCAGTCCGGGTCGTTCTGGAAGCGAGATGACCATAATTGGATACGCCCATTTGGTGATTACAAAGAATCATCGTCGTCGTCATCGGAAGACGAAATCACAATGCTGTTTCAGGTGATCAAGATTAAGGACAACGTGATTGCCCTGCTCAACTTGGCGAACAAGCAATTCTGCAAGCGGTACACTGTCAAGGCAGCAACGAGCTGTCTGAGCGCCATCGATTCGACCGTGACCGAATTCGCCCAATTGGAACTCATCGAGCTCGTTTCCTCCAGGAGCATCTACAACATCGACTTCCGCCTCGATCACGCCAGAATCATCCACTCCGAGGATCGAATCGTGGCATCCTGCGTCGCGATGAACAACACGGGCGAGCCCAGGACCAAGAATTTGAGGCTGACATTCGACGATTCGATGTCCATGACTTGGAAGAACAGCTCATCGTCACTGAGACTGGGGAATAAGGTGGTGGTGAGGATCCAGTCCGAGGTGGCTCGAATTGGTGCCGGATCGGAGATCGTCGTTACGAGTGGCGATTTCGGTGATTCCACGACGTACGAGTGGGGCGAGACGACGGTGAGGAGGTGGAGGATGACGAGGGTTCACAGGGTGGCTGTGCCGCCGATGAGCAAGGTGACGGTGAGGCTGTGGGGGACGGTGGGGACGTGTGAGGTTCCGTTCTCGTATGTTCAGCGTGACGTTTTTGGTGACGGGGAGGTGGAAACTTATGTGAGGGATGACGGGTTCTATTGCGGCACGAATTGTTACGATTTCGTGTATGAAACACTAGAAGAGTCGCTAGGCTAGGTGGCGAGTCCGTTTAGTTTTATTCTATATGGTTAAATGTAAGAAAATAATCAAACCTCTTGAATCGTGGCAAGAAATAGCGATACGAAATGCAATAAACTAATCAAATATACATTGTTAATTGGATTTCGCGCTGTCAAATCTGCATCGTCGTTCAGTATCGCCATATCCTAACTCGGGATCGATTATAGAAACCCCTCCCCTCGTTGTCGATGACGGTGAATCTCGATTGGAGCTCATGCCGCGAGTTGGGGAGCGGTGGATTTCCACATGGTCGATTTGGGAGGGGAACTCGACGGTTGAGAGATGGAATCGATTGTGTGGGAATTCCATCCCGATCAACAGAATGAGCAATGCGCAAATCTATATTGTTTATGATAACATGCTCACAGTGCCTCATGTTTGAACCGAAAGCCGAAAAGAGACGCTCCTTAATTAGACTCGCTGACATTATATTTACAAAAATACCACCACATTCGTCCGACGCTCACCAACATGAAACGTTTGGTATAGGATATGGTTACGAGTTTGGTGTAGAACTTGGGCAACGTACAAGCCGATGGATTTTGTATTGATCAATGAAAACGGAAGGGAGTCTTTGCTTTGCTCCAACTTCATGCCGTAATAAAAGTTGGTATCTATCTACAACAACAACAGCAAAATTTGTTAGCAATGTGCACGTAAATTACGAGAAGGAACTAACGAGTCCGACTTCTCATAACTACCAAACTTTGTTTGCACGTCCTTAGCAAAATTTGTCTTCGTGTTAATTCAAAGCATACCGCCGCAACCATTTTGAACGCTTCAAGGTTGAAAACCAAAGCACATAATATTCTTGTAGAGCAATACCCAATCCGTTTTTCACCGTCTCTTGTCTGTGAATTTTATGTCGGCCACTCTATTCAATTTTTAGAAACTATTTTTTCTACTATTTTGATGGTCACATGACAATTAGCTTGAATGATTTTTTTTTCCCGGACATCGAAAAAGTCTCCCAATAAGCTTTCGCCAAAGATGCTAATTTGGGAGCATTGGTGGAGCCCATTTGAAGATAGGAGAGGTTTTGAAATTCATGTAATTTTACCTTGTAAAATTTGTAATAAATTTAGGAAATAGATCAGTGATTAAGGTTTTAGTCCTCCATCCTTAATTATCAAGATACAAATTGGCCGCCCTAATTCAGATTCCTGGCTCCATCGCTTAATGGCTAGTCAGACTTTAAACCGATAGGGGTTCTCACTAGAGTCTATGTATCTAACGAGTTTTGATAGGTGTACTTATGACAAGTGTAGGTCTTGTACTTACATAACCATATCAAAGCCTATTTATCTAATTGATTACCACCCCTTTTTTTTTTTTTTTTGCCAAGTGGGATCCTCGGTCCCCTCTCTTCTTGCCTTCACTCCTCCACTGCCGCCACTGGCTGGAAGGTCATCATGCTTACCGAAGTAGTGGTGAACGGTGAATTCAGACGAGTGGACATTGCGACCATCAGGGTATACCGATGTATGACAGGTGTTTAGAAACATACTGGGTTGCTTAGTGGGAAGCCTACTTGATGAAGCTGGGCAAATACAAAGTCACTCGGGCATACTCAAAGGTTTTTGTTTGGCTTGGAATCTAGGAGAGAGAACATTCGAACTACAACTTGATTTGGCTACAATGGTTCATCTATACTCTGCAATAGCGTCGACTAACCATAAACATACCAGTTTAGTCCTAGCTTTTTAGTAGTTGCGACTTGCGAAATAGAAACTGAGAAACTCGTGTTACTCGCATTTATCGAGAGGTCAATTTCTTCTTGTAGCTAATTACCTTAATAACTTCGGGCAACTCATCAAAAAACATATCAGAGTTTGGATTTAACTAATATCGAAACTAAGAACCTTCCTACATTAGAGTACATTGGGAATACGATAAAACAAAAACAGTCTCACTGAACTCCAAAGCCCTACACTTTTCTGTCCTAGTTATACTTCATAAGTCATAACTAAGCAACTAACTCGTCCTAATGATTCTATTCATTCATTCCAGAGACCAACCCAGCCCATAAACCCTAATTAAACCGAATCAAAACCCGGTTCATTTCCTTCCTAATCTGTATTAGCTCTCAAGTCTCAACCTTTTTTCTACAGTAAAACCCTTCAAAAACCCGGCCCGACTCGGGTCAAGTCGGACTCAGCGGCCACCGTCGCCGTCACCGACTCTTCCACCTGCTCCTTCTTCTTCCGCATCTCCAACACTTTCCGGTGGCTATTGGAATGCACGTCGCGGGAAAACGTGGGGCTCCCCGCCGGCCGGTACTCCGGGAGGAGCCGGCCGGATTTGAACCGGACCCCACACGCGTTGCAAAGCGTCTTCGCCCCGTTCGGCCCGCTCCTCCACTGCGGCGTTTTCTGGATCCCACAGTGGCTGCACCGCCGCTGCTGCTGGGTCGGGTTCGGATTCGGACCCGTTTCCGCCGCCGTTGCGGGCAGCCTTTTCCTCTGCTTCTTCCTTAGCGGCTCGCCGGTAGGAAAGAGCGTGGAAATTGAGGGCTGGAATTGGAGCGAGTTTGCGAGGCACAGCGCCGAGGAGGCGGCGGACGACGCCGGCGAGGAGGTGGGTGAGGAAGAATGGGGGAAAATCACCGACGACCGGTTGAACCAGCTCGCGCAGGCGGTTCTGGCGCGTTTGGTCCTCGTTCTCGCCGGGACTCGGGAAGTGAGGAAAGGCGGAGGCGGGAGAGTCGTGAAAACTGGCGTCTTCGCCGGCGTGGGTTTGAATTCAAAGAGCTTCTCCGCGGAAACGGCGGCGAATAAGGCGGCTGCCTCCGATGAAGAAGAGGAATCGTCGACGAATTGGGAAACCCACTCCAGTTCCGCTAAATCCTCTGCCTGCGGAAAACCCCATCAATTTTTCCCCAACCAATTAGACATGAAATTGTGAAGGAATTCCCATAAAGATTTCATCTTTTTTGAAAATTGAAAAAAAGCAAAAACAGAGGAAAAGGGGGAAGAGGAAAAGTTACATGAACCGGAAGGTCGCCGGGGAGAAGGGAATTGGAGAAACTTGCCGACGAGGAGTTGGAAACCGAAACAGAGTCTTGTTCTTCCTCCTCTTCCTCTCCTTCTTGCTCTTCCTCGTCCTTAAACCCGCCATTGGAGAAATCCAAGAAACAGTCGACGGAGAAATCCTCTGCAGAACTAGGGTTCAAGCAGAGGAAATCTTCCAAACCCAGATCTTGCTGCTGCAGCTGGCTTTGTTGAGGATGATACTTCACGGAAGCCATAACTTCCCTCCTCAAGCTTGATTTCAAGGCTCTGTCTTCCATACAGTAGAATTCCATTTTTCTGAACTTCACCCACACACAACAAAAAAAAATTCAACCCCCACTCGAACAACCAAAAGAAACAGAGGGAAAACGGAGTAAATTGTAGAGGAGAGAACAAGAAGTGAGGTTAGAGAGATGGGTGGGTACCTGAAAAAGACGGAGGAAGGTGGAGAAGTTCGTGAAAAAGGAAGAAACTTTAATGATAAAATAAAAGCTTCTTAATCAGAATTTTAATGGCGTTGGGGTCCTGCGTTGTTACAGTTGGGCTGGCTTCTTTCCTTTTTTTTTTTTATCCCTGTCCTTGTTTTCTTGCTTCTGTTGCTTTGAGTCTATCACTTCCTATGATTCTATCCTTCCTATCAGATTTCCCGTTATGTGTTTTTGATTAAATTGAAATTGTTATTTGGTAATTATTCTGGGTTTTTTGAATTGATTAGGTGAAATTTGGAGGGTAATCAAATCTAATGCCTGACTGACTGACTGTTGGAAGGTCGTTGGTTGGCTTCTTCTTCCAGGGTTCCACCGGCGTTTTACTTTTTCCCCCGCGGTTTAATTTGGTGACATTTGGACGGATTTGGTTCAAATTCTGGGATTTTGTTGGCTTTAAATATTAAGGAAAAAGCAGGGTGGTGGAAATAAATTAAGGGATCCTTCTCTTCTTCTCCGGGCTGAGATTTGATATTATCTGGCGGGAAAATGCAAAATCTTTCCAGCCCATCTGATTTACCTGCCTTGATTGATGTCGGGATCACACATGTACTTCTCTTCTTTATCATACAAAATCACAGTTTGACAACTACAAAAATTACAACTTATTTCTCTGGGAAATTATGATATAAAATATGTTCGGTTCATTTTATTCCAACAAATTGTAGACACGCATTGCTAATTTCACGATACAAAACTAGAAGAAGACACATGCTCGCGTCATAGTTTCATTTGGCACTAACACGCTATGCTTTGATGTCCGCGATGCACAGAAGGGCAAGAAATAATGAAAGTGGATTACGGAGCAGTTGATGAAGGAACAGAGAATCACATGCCCACGACGACTGCTCCCGATAATTTCTCTGCATTGCTTGCTGAATCTATTTAATGAAATGTGTTCCGACCTTAAAATTCTGAAGACAAATTTAGAGATGCAACAATGTGAAAAGTCAATTAACAAAAATGAACAAAATTGATCATTAGGGCTAGGGATGGCAATTTCGACCTGACCCGTTTTACCCGACCTGTTTGGCCTGTTTTGGGGCGGGTCCGACCCGCCCTGTAGGCGGGGTGGGCATGGGTACTCTCATCGACCCGTTTTTCCTAAATTACATGTAATTTTAGTCAAATTACTTAGGATTTTCCTTTTATTACATCATATTTTAGCTATAATAAAGTTGTAAATTAGTGAAAACCTCAATTTCTCCAAGAAATTAACTACATTTATCATAATACTGTTTGTTTTCTTGATCTTATAATAAAAATAACGAATATTTCTAATGTTTTTCATATAAATTCCATACCCAATTGGTCGACCTGCCCGACCCACGACCCGTGATAAATTACCCGTTATGTACCCGACCTGCCACGGGACGAGTCTGTGTACCAAGAAATCCGCCCATTGCCATTCCTAATTAGAGCATTGTAAATAGTATTAAATGACCCAAAGGGTTGATTAACCCCAAATTAAAATAGAGCCAACTTGGTGTATAAAATGGATTGGTGGTGGTGGTGAGACGAGTCAATAAGTAGGGGTGTGGAGGCTTGCTCTTATTGCGCCACCTATCTTCTCACCTTTCGCCCCATCTCATCCACGATTCTTCCTTTCAAACGACCTTTCCAAAACCCACTCGCAATCGGCCTCACCACTCAACGCGTGATTACAACGCGACGACGGTTTCCGGTCGAATCAAACGGCGGCGAGCGCTGTGGAAGTCAAACTATAAAAAACCACGCTTAAAAACCAAGCGTAACGGTTCATGATTTTGCGGCCAGCAAAAAAAAAAAACGAATCTGGCCAACTCAGCAATTTTGTTAACCTGAATGCTAATGGTTTATAAGAAATTTTACAATGTTATATAGTATTGGTGTTATACTTTTATGGTACAACTTAAAACTGTATATTTACGTTACGGTATAACTTCAGATTGCACCTATACTTTTTGTACAAATTCTCTTATGGTATAACTTGAACTTGTACCTTTATGTGATGGTACAACTTCAAGTTGTAAAGTTGTACCATAACATTATTGTACAAATTGCTTTATGGTACGACATAAACTTATATATTTAATGTTATGGTACAACTTTAAGTTGTACATTAAAGCACAAATATTATATAGCATAATAGAAGTGCTCATGGTTTATAGCTCTTGGTTGGTAGTATCTCTATGTTAATATTATCATTGGGATTGTATATTTCTTCAAATAGTCGATGAAAGTACTATTTACAAAATTATCTTAGTATATGTATCTAATAATCGATGAACATTAATATGATACACGTGAACGTAATTTCAATAATCACTAGCCAAATACCACCTAAGCGCATCAGCATATCAATTAACCTTGTCGATAGTAGTTAGGATACTAAACCAATACATATGCTACCATAATGTAAAAAAAAAGAGTTGTCGTCGCGCCATGCAACAATGAATCAAATTTAATCCACTATTCGTTTCGATATCTTTTTTCGCGAATATAAACTCGCAGGAAACTACTACGATACCAAAATCCAATAATACTACTGCACGAAAAGACAGGATAGGGGGAGGCTGGCCACGAGAAATGAGGAAGTTTTGGGTATTTGAGGCTGTAGTAGCTAGAAAGTTTCTGTTGTGTGACAACTTCGACACATGCATTTGCATGTGTTGGTGTATATATGCCCCACTAATAAAGCTTCTTGTAGCAGCTCGATCGATAGGATTGGGGTGGTTGTCACTTAGCATAATGAACGGTCCGATCGATCACCATTTTTGCCTTTTTTTCCCACCCCACAAATCTACAACAAAACATACGTAACTGGCGACGACACCCCTCGCGCCGCCCACTAGGGTTTGGTTGGGTCGCACAATTAGACAAAGGAAAAAAAAGGAAAGGAGGGAATTATGGTGGTAATGGTTGGTTGGAACATGTTCCTGGTGAGTTAGTGAGTGATGTGTGTAGAGTAGGATCGGACTTGCAAGCTAGAGCTTCTCTTCACCACTGAACATGTTCTTTTTTTTTGTTATTAGTGGGATGTGAACGTTCACGTTTGTATTAATTGGCAAGTCCTTGCACACAGAAAATGGCAAGTGTGAAAGAACTTAGTAGTAGTAGTAGTAAGTAAACTATAGGCAGACAGATATGACAGATAGAGTTGATTCGTTAGGCGAGTTGATTCGAGTTGCATGACTGATATGGGTTTTGGGTCTAATATCTGAGTGTACTGATCATATGCATTTTTAATAGTTTTGGGTTTGAATTGGGTCACAACAACTAATATTTGGATTCAGATGATTGTATATGTAAAAACTGCATTAGAATCGAGCGTTCATTTTTCATTTGGGTACCCCAAGCCCAATACTATGAATCCAATTTAGACCCATAATAAAATTAAAAGTCAATAAGTGTGTCCCAAAAGTAAAACTACCCAAATATAATTCGACCCATAATAAGTTGAGTTTGGATAATACCGAAATATCGGATCTTTTTTTTGTCATCCCTCGATCTAAACGTATCAACTTGTGTTTCATTCCCCGTAGGCTAATGCTTTTGTCACTCCGCTGGATGTTTTCTATTTGTTCCTCTTATCTACTTCCATGTTGAGATCGATGTGAATTTTTCTCCGTGTTCCTAACTGGACCTAATGTTGAATCGAAAAAAGTTGGTGATTGATGATTCAACGATTAACTATCATAGAACCTGTCACTATAAATGGGTTTAGTTATGTAAGGAGGAGCGGACTGTTAAACGCGAATCAAGCTGGATTGTGAAGTTCAGATCGGAGGTCTATACTAAACAATGTAAAAGATTAACATGGAAATGTTAGTGTCGTTTTGCTAATTCAGCAGCCGTATTTCTTTGCTTCAAAGAAACCCTAATTATATAAAATACCAATTGTGAACAGTATATTGATGCATCTACAAGTCTGTCTGTTTCTCTTAATTTTGGTGGGTCTCTGCACGATTAAAGTAGAAGGGACGATGATGATTGTGATCATGAATGCTATTGCAGAGTGCCTGTGCCTGCTACTACTACTAACTGCTGGCTGGCTGTTGAGTGCGAAGCTTCTAATTGAGCGAAGCTTTAATGGAGTTGGACGGAGGCTAACGGAGAGTGACTAAATATGACATGTTTAAGTAATTCGAGTGACATTCATAAATAAATAAATAAATAAAAAGTAGTTCGAGTGACCAGAGTTGGACGGAGGCTAACGGGAGAGTGACTAAATGTGACCCGTTTTAGTAATTCGAGTGACCAAAATTGATATTAATTTTTTTATAGTGACTAAACATAACACGATTTAGTAATCCCAATGACCAAATGTGGCATTTACCCTATTTCTCCTCTGTTGACCTTTCTAATATCATATTTTAATTCCAAAGAAATTAAAAGACTATATTTTAAAACTATTTAGACTAAACTGTTCCTTATACCATATTTCTCATTCATTTAGTAATGCTTTCTCTATGTATGCTTGTAAAAGAGTTAAAATATCAATGTACTCTTTTCAAATAACATATAAAATGGATCGATGCTCTCCACCCTGTACCCACCCGAGTATCACCCGACTTGACCCATATTTAATGTGGCACCAACGTGAATATCGAAGTATCTGCCCTATCTCGCCTCATTCCCATCCCTATCCCAACCAGTTGAATATGAAAAATATTTTGTTTGATTTATTTGTAACTATTTGGACCCCTATAGATGGTAGTTGGGAAGCCGGCTGGAATTTGTTATGGTTGTTTAACCGGCCGGTAATTAACCAACCGCACTGCAATGTAATCTCATCATCAATTCAAATCCGACTCTTTTTAATTTACTATTGAGGAGTCATCCATCTTAATCACCAAAATTTAAACAAACCCACTTTGCTCATTTTGAATTTAAATAAAAGCAAATAGTCTCTTAATTGCTTTATCCTTTCTCTAATAAGACCAAAAGCATAGTCTTTTTTTTTCAGAAAAAAAAATCTATTTTAAATGGTTGCTTGCCAAATAAGACATGTTAGATCATCATTCATCATGAGTATACATTACTATAACATGATTAAGTTAATTACCGGCCACCGAAACAACGAAAGGTTGCTCTAACAGAATTAATTCAAACTATAAGGCAGCTGATCTCCAAATCATCGGTGGTCATTGACTACTAACGATCAAAGTTAACGGAAACAAAAGTTTGGAACACGATTGTCAGCCTGAAAACATAGGGATACAATTGATGTAAAAACGTAAAGTACGGACGCTTTATATTGTTATATTAGGCCAAGAATTAATTCAAATTGGTGAGTAGTAAAGATGGGTTGGTCACCTAACTACGCCAAGTGTTTCTCCTCGTCTCTGTAAACTATTATGCATCATTGACAGTGTCCATTAGCTGAAACATGAAAAAAACTATTTAATTTCCCAGAACGAATCCACTTTTTAGGTACTGAAATTTGAACTACCCACTTTGAATTGATACCAATCTGAACAGCCATTCAACTTTTCCCTTCAAATTAACATGCTACATCAAAATGAAGTTCACATAGATTCTTTACCGTTTATGCGGGAGATCAATTTGAATTCGAACTCGTTTACTTGTTTCTATTCCAAATAAAATATTCTTTAATGTCAAACTAATCATTTCCTCCGAGACTCGAAGACTTTAAGGGGTTCAAACTACCTGTTTTGTTATTAATCTTGATAAAGTAATGTGAAAATGCACGACTCAGACAAAAAACTAAGAGAACAATTTTAAGTGTCAATCATGAGTGCATTGAACATCTTAACTTCGTAATCGATTTATTATTGAGCTCAAAGTTAGTGAAGATTTATGTAAAAGTGATGCATACCTCTCGGAAGCCAATTATTGCCACTTTCCATACTTCTATCACAGTCCATAGGACTTAATTGGCACTTCCTGCCATCTGATCTTTTTTCCCCCTTTCCTATGCTATCCTTCTTTCCAGGCAAGGTAATGCGCAGAAATGAATCCCAATTTTCCGTTTTCTCCAAGAAAGCCCAAAGAGCAAACCAGAAAAGTCAAGATAGCTCTGAGTAGAGAGATATGGAAAGTCGGGGCAAACAGAAATGAATCACCAGTTTCAATGGTTGTGACAGATATCTAGTTTGGTTGCTTCTGTGTGGTAACAGAATATAAGGTTGAATGGAATGAAATGGGACAGAGAGAAGAGATGGGATTCTTTTGGTCAAAAGGTGAAGACAGAGTAGTACACTGTTCTATCTTGTCTGTGTAGGGAGCAATGTTGATAATTGATGGAATGCGTGCAGCTGCTGCGGCAATGGCACAATGGATCCATCTCGTTCCATTTCCATTATCTTCAATATGCTTCTCTCTGTTGCTTTTTAGTTACCTGTGAAATATGGACCATAAAGATGAAAGTACTGTATAAGAATTTAAAGGGTTTGGGGTTAGGTTCTCAAGCAACGAACATAAGAGTAGAGGACCAGATATCCCGGTTCTCAGATCGAACTTCAGAAAGATACTCTGAAGATCGAGTCACATAAGCTTGCAGAGGAATCGGGGTAAAGATATCGAGAAAGGAACGAACAGAAGAGTCGTGCACCGGGCATCTAGTTTTCTCTGATCGGAGTTCAGAAGGATGCTCCGATGATCGAGTCCTATCACATATGAAAAATTATAAGAGGTAACATAGAAGAGAGAATTAACAGTTACCATATTACTACCACAACTCTAAACCCAGGAAGAAAGGCACCAAGGGCAGGCAGCAAAATCAGGGACTAGCATTTCTTTCCATGCATTTATCAGGTTCAAAAAGAAGTTGGTCCAATAAGGAGCATTCCCACAATAGAATTAGAGAACCCAAAAAAAAAAAAGTGTTACTATAATGATCCAAGGATCGACACCCATAATAGATTATTGCCAGATTTTCTGCAAGGTGAAGTGTGGAGAAGCGCCAAAAAATTCCACAAAAACTATAAAGAATATGCATATGAAGGGGCCGGAAGGAAAGGGAAAGGTGCAACAGAAGCATAAGCTACTGGTGCGCGGACTCGTGAGCCAAAATCTGAACCATCCAGTTGTTCCTTCTTCTTTGCCTGGTTTCTGCTTCTCAAGCCTTCCCTATCTTCTATTTCCGCAGTCATGGTAGATGGAAGCTCGTCAGTTGACATCTCTGTTTGTCGGTGAAGGAGAATCCCGGCCATGAATATGGGAAGGTATAGAAGGCTGGCATGAAACATCTTCCTTGCCTTCTCTGTTGTTGGTTCCCGGTAGAAAGAAAATGCCGATGCAGCGATTGCTAGGGTCAGAACCGATGATTCCAGACAAAACCAACCAGAAGCCATACCCCCTGCATTCACCATACCCCGAGATTGTATAGTGAGACTGAAATACAGCTCAAGTGAAACACTAAAATTTTATATGAACACTATAAGATCACAGAGGAGAATATCAAAATCGAGCCAGACGCCAGAAAGCTTGAAGTTGGCACAGTACTACCGTTTCAAATTCAAGACTGAACTTGATTTGGATGAATCAACATGGATCATATGTAACGTAAAATATGATATACGCATGAAGCATGCACAGCCATGGAGTAAGAATGAGACACATTCAAGACAGATGTAAGGTTACGATTTTCAGATAGCCACAACTCACATTCATACGCCATAAACCCCAAAGGAACCAGATAAATGCAATTCCTCAAAGCCACCAGGGCAGTTCTTCGGCCAGTGGTGTCGGCAAGGGAGAGCATCTTGTACCTAAAAAAGCAAAATTGAGGGGAACTGGTATTACCCAAAAAAGCAAGAACATTGAATGCTATGAGATCATGCACAAGCACAAAGACCCTGAACATATGATAATACAACTCAATCCACACAAGACATAGCTCATCTCCTCAAGGTAGTAAGCCAACTTTTTGAATGATAGAAGGCAGTGGATCAACAAAATCAGGGAATCTGGCCACCTTGCTTCTTGGAAATGCAACTACCATGTATATTTGCTTGATCTTATTCAATTCAAATTTCTTAACCTAGAAAATGAAATCCATCCATATTAGTTATCAGCTGTGTACCTACCCTCCAGCAGCATAGTCATGCCGACACATATATGCAAGTGCCATGAAATGGGGGATTTGCCAAAAGTAGAGTGCAGCAGGGAGAATCATCGAGTTGAGGGAAATCTGACCACCAGAAGCAGCAGCCCACCTGACATGCAGAGGGAAAATATGACTTTAAATGATGTCTGCATGAAGATTCTAGTCACCATACTAAAACGCCAAATCAAAAAACATAATAGAGAGAGATGCGTTTCCTTGCTAAAGGACAGTGGTATGGCATAAAAAGCACAAGTATTGCATCTGTTACTTCCCATGACGAGCTTGCATCACTCGAGAAGTCTATCCTGTGTTTATCACTAGAGTTTAACTCATGGAAGGTTCAGCTTATTTTGAGATTGGAAGGAAGGAGATTTAATATTCATCCAACAACAATTACCAAATAAAGAGTAGTCAATAACTGCCAAGTAACCATATGGAAGAAGGCTTGAATACTGAGAACAAAGTTTTCTAAATTACCAAGGATGGAATTGACAGGTCAAAGAAATTCTAATTCTGACACCCATTAATAAATCAACACAAAAGGCTCAATAACAAAAACCCAATCAAAATTTATAACAGAACGAGAAACTACCCCAGAAGTGGTGGAATGGCACCAACAACTGCTCCAACCCAGGTGTTGACTGGGTGGATCTGTTTCAATGGGGTGTATACAAATGCATATAAGACCAGGTTGGATGCTGCTAACCCTGCCGCCATCATATTAGTCTGCCACAACCTTGTCATGCAAGTACAACATTAGTCACTCAGGTCCAAAGCAAGTTAAACACTTCCTAGTATCAGAGGAAGGACTGGTATCATAATCTAAGCCTGGACAAAGTTGGTGAAATTGTTCGGCCACCTTGTATGCCAACAAAGCAGTTCCAGCCAAGCCAACTGAAGATGCAAAAGCCACTGCCTGGGGAACAGTCATCCGCCCAGAAGGAAGCGGCCTATTTCTTGTCCTTTTCATTAAGGCATCGTTCTTGACCTCAAAGACCTGCATCATACAATATAGTGTCACTAAAATTACGAAGGCTATGGTGCTGGTGAATAATAAGAACTCCAATGGACAACGGAATAACCAAGGGCGAAAACTGCTGAATAAAAATCCAAACTTTTCAGCTGAATTGTTTCCATTAGGCACATTTTGAGTATTTAGAAGCTCCATCATCAAAGGGATTCTAAAAACTACACCAAGCAAGGAACTTTCAAATGCAACTCCTACTTCAGGCGTTCCATACAAGTTCAGCTGGCGAAGGAGTATGATCACCTAGGCTAATTATGTGATTTGCCACTAAAAGAGGGAACACCGAAACATCTAGTTAGGACAGACCTGATTGAATGACTGTTGAACAAAAATCCTAACTTCGCAGCTTAATTGTTTCCATTAGGCACATTTTTTAGGCATTTAGAAGCTCCATCATCAAAGGGATTCTAAATACCGCACCAAGCGAGTAACTTTCAAATTCATCTCCTACTTCAGGAGTTCCATACAAGTTCAAAACAGGTTTTATGTGATTTCCGTTGTGAAATCAGATAGGCTAATTATGTGATTTCCCACTAAAAGAGGGAGCCACCGAAACATCTAGTTAGGACAGACCTGATTCAATGAGTTGGCAGAAGCTGCAACCATCATTGTACCAGCACAAGTCCAACAAAGTCCCGCGAAATCCACTGCACTCCCGCTCCCTAGAACATACCCCGTTCCTGAAGTTGCAACGACCAGCATACTGCAAAAGCCACAAATTTTCCATAACGATCACAACCAATCCCCTCTTGGGTCCAAACGCCAGTGAATATGGAGACAAATGGGCAGAAGGAAGTGAAAAAAGTAAAACCTGAGGCGAGCTTTGGAGAGCTCCCAGAAGCAGCGGCCGTAGTGACGAGCCAATTGAACTCCATATGTCAACGAAGGGACATCAACAGCGGCAGGGGAGGGAACTGAGGATAGAGCTCGGATCCCATCTGATCTCCCCGGCAGAAACCCTAGTTTTGAAGGATCCGAAGGCGAATGAGACGGGGCAGCGGCGGGAATGGACGATAATGGGAAAACTGAATTCGGAACAGAAGGGGAGCTCCGGAGTGTGGAAAGAGAAGACGGCGATAGTACAGAGCCGTTCCAGAGGAACTTGGAGGAGCAACTTGCAGAGCTTCTCCACATGACGATTTCCCGGCAGGTTTATTCAGGCCGCGCGAAACTCTGGGACTAAACCAGACGGAAGTTTCTCATCCCCGCCAATTCCGATCAAGTCAATCGAACCGGCGATTGTTGAAAGTGCGAGAAGCGAACGGAAGAGGCGAGAACAGGCTGGACAAACACGGCGGCGATCGATTGGGAGATCTGAGAGAGGAAAGGAAGGAGAAAAGGGGATGTTTTGCTGTGGTGTTAGTTAGGTCTCTGTTTGGCTGGCTCGAAATGATGATAACTCCTCGCTTTTCCGCTGACCAATGCTGAGGTTGTTTTCTGCTACTACCCGTACTTTGAGTTATGTTATTTTTAGTGCATAAAGTATGTTTCTTTTATAAAAACATTCGAGACTCCTACTGTTTACTCGATTTTAATCTTCTTATTTATAGATAGATCGAACGTTCTGTAAGCAGATCTGGATTTCCCACGTTCACAAAGAGAAGCTTGAGAACGCAGAAGCTCGACAAAAGAAGACTATCCATTTGAATGAGCACCCGCCACAATCGATACATCACGATCACACAATAAATAATGAGTTCTTATGTTATTTTAGGAGGATAACATTAGACATATGATAGATCATGAAGATAATTGAAAACATTATCACAATCAATATCGGCACAAACAATGAGTTTCATAGATAATTTCACACTATATAACAGAGGATAATACGAAGCAATATACGTAGTCGCGTTGGCATGCATATATTAACAAAGTTTGTTGACAAAGAAAACATTATTAACTCGGGGTTGCTTAAGTTCTGGATTCAACCAACAACTTGTTGATGCAAAGTTTGTCGTTTCAAATAAGAAGATGGATGGTTTTGAGAGTTGGTTAACAAGGTTATTTCAGAGGGCTCAAGTGGAAATGTGTAATAGTTGAGGTACCTAAAGTTGAGACATTCATTCTTTAGGAGTAAAATAGTTTAGGGAAGGGACAGGCGATGCTGCAGGCAAAGCCAGCAAAACGACTCTTCCAAAGCTAAAAAAGAATACACCATCAAACCCCCGCACTCCCTTTTCAAAATCCTCTCTCTCTCTCTCTCTCTCTCTCTCTCTCTCTCCGCCTCTCTCTCTGGGTCCGTCAAAGAACACCGTGTTTGGGGGCGTCTTCCGAAAATCAAAATACCGATATCTCTGCAGCTGCCTGCTGAATGGAAGCCATTAGAAAGCAGGCTACAAGGCTTCGAGAGCAGGTTGCAAAGCAACAACAGGTCTCACATCTCTAGTCTCTACAACCCTAACTCTCTCAGATCCAAACTCCCTTCTCTTCTACTCCCCATAAACTCCTGTGATTGCTTCCTGGTCCGATCCCCTCTTCTGGGTTCCCTTCGATTTGGGAATGAAGTTATGTGCGGGGCAATTGAAATTTGATTGATTCGGTAACATTATGCGGGTCAACATTGCCTGGAGCTTTCAATGAATTGGAATCGCGAAATTTGTGAAAAATGATCTATTGGGTACCAATAATTGTTGCGGTATTCCATGCATGTGATCCGGGACCTTCACATTGATTGAGGAGGAGTTTGATTAGGAGAAAGTTGAGAGCTTTATTGGTTGTGAAACAATCTGGGAGCTTTATTCGTTTGAAATTTGAAGTAATGAAGGGAATTCGGGTTGGTTGTTGTCTTCGTCTCTTAATTAAACAGAATCTGAATTAAAGTTGATTCATTTACATGGTTCAGTAGCAATAGCCATTCAGACATCCTAATTTTCTGTTTCCCGGTTCTGATCCTGCAGTGATTTTCTGTAAGACAGTTGTTTGTGGCCTTTTTATTATGTGGGTCTTTTAGTTAGGATCCATGGTTTATCTCTACTGTAGCAAGCATTCTAACAGGCACTTGATGTGGCCACAGGCTGTTCTGAAGCAGTTTGGTGCGAGTGGATATGGAGGTTCAGACGGTGTTGTTACCGATGAGGCTGAATTTCATCAGCATCAGAGGCTGGAGAAGCTTTACATATCGACCCGTGCTGCCAAGGTTGGTCCACTCTGTTTCGTACCGGCTTTCTTGCATTAGGTTTCTGTGCTTTATTTATGTTTTTATGTAACTGGTAACTGATGAGGCTTCCAATACTATATCTTACAGCACTTCCAAAGGGATGTTGTTCGTGGCGTAGAAGGGTATATTGTTACTGGTTCCAAACAAGTGGAAATAGGTTAATTGGTGAAAGTTTCAATTTTGTTTGTACAATTTTTGTCCATTCTAAATATAATGTAGCATCTCTCCAAGAAGTTTGACATTAATTGTGTTGTATAGGAACAAAGTTATCAGAAGATAGTCGGAAGTATGGCTCTGAAAATACTTGTACTAGTGGGAACACATTATCAAAGGCTGCACTCAATTATGGGCGTGCTCGTGCTCAGATGGAGAAGGAGCGGGGGAATTTGTTGAAAGCTCTCGGTACACAGGTTTTAAGAAGAACCTTTCCTTAGTCATATATACTTCTCTAGATTTAGATTTGCTTACAACTATTGGTCCGGCTACTTTTGTTAGGACTGAAGTGTTCCACTGTTGAGTTACTTTGTCGATCTGTAAATTTACCTTCTTTGCGGATTGGTCCTTTCTCTATTGTTCTTGACCTGAACTTTGCCTTTTATGTGGTCCTCTTTGAGTTTCCGTTTTGTGAGGCAGTGCAGATAAGAATATCGACTTATTTGAGTTTATCTACAACCGTGCTACTGGTTCTTTCTAGTAGTGTATTGTTATGGTTGCTGTCACTCGAAAATTAACGATGTCTGCTGCATAAGCTGTCGTTCTAATATTGACCTTGAGTCACATCTGTTCTGTTTTTATGTTTCAGTACAAGATATATGTTCTAAGTTTTTTTGTATGAATAGGTTGCAGAGCCGCTTAGGGCGATGGTGATGGGAGCTCCGCTGGAAGATGCCCGACATCTTGCTCAACGTTATGATAGAATGAGACAAGAAACAGAAGCTCAGGTATTGCCAACTGTGGACTCCTTATGAAGTTGAAAGTTTTAGGAGTGGACATCATTATCCTCAAGCATGACACTTTTGCTGAATGCTAGACAGGCCATTGAAGTTTCTAAACGCCAGGCAAGAGCAAGGGAAATGCCTGGTCAACCCGAGGTTACAATGAAATGGGAAGCTGCAGAGTCGAAGCTTCAAGATCTGAAGGCTAACATGGATATCCTGGGGAAAGAAGCAACTTCAGCAATGGCAGCTGTTGAAGCTCAACAACAGAGGTTGACTCTCCAGCGACTTATATCTATGGTATGGTAGATTTGTACCACTCTTTAAGGGTATGATTTGTCATAAATTGTAGCTGAAGCGTCATCTTCTGCTCTTCGTGTTACTTTGTGAAGGTTGAATCAGAAAGAACGTACCACCAAAGAGTTCTTCAAATACTCGATCAGCTTGAAACTGAGGTATGTCATACATTTTAAGTACTTAAGCTGGCCTCTGGAAGGGACATTCACTTATCACCTTTCGTTTGTTGGTGATAGATGATATCTGAACGACAACGAATTGAAGCACCTCCACCACCTGTCGAAAACCACATGCCCCCTCCACCCTCATATGAAGAAGTGAATGGCGTTTATGCCTCTCAAACACAAAATGGCTCTACAGATAGTATGGGATATTTCTTAGGAGAGGTTTGTCTAGTTTTCTCTTGCTATATTCAACCTGATGATACTTATACTTGCCAAGAAACGTTAACAATATCAGCCATTGTGCCACAGGTTATGAATCCTTACAATGCCGAAACTGACGTCGAGCTGGCTCTTTCAGTCGGTGACTATGTTGTGGTCAGAAAGGTTCGTCACTTACTGGAATCCAAGTTTTAGCATTAAGCGCATATATTTGGTTGTGAGTAAACAATTGATCCTATATTCTTGGGCTTATGCAGGTGACGAATAATGGATGGGCGGAAGGGGAATGCAAAGGGAGAGCAGGTTGGTTCCCATTTGCATATATTGAAAGAAGGGAGCGTGTACTGGCGAGCAAAATAGCTGAAGTGTTTTAAAGACTCTTGAATATTTTGTTCAGAATGCTTCTCTCTGGGGGCTGTTCGTTTCTCTCCCAGCAGTGTATGAATGTGTGTATTGCTTTTTAGCTCTCATAACTCCAATGAGCCCCCTTTTCTCATTTCCTGTATTTTTGTGCAGTAGGTTTCATCTCATATGCCCTTTTCCCCTTGTGATATAGGTACCAATAACATTCATGATCTCTTGCTGGTATTTTTTTGAAAGGTGAAATCGATGTTATTTTTTTGAAGTACCAGTCTAATTTAGCTATGAAGTACATGTGAGCATATACATTGGAACGAATTTGCTGTGTTGTAATAAATATTCTTGTTTTTTACCTATGAGGTTTTCAATTCGAGGATGAATTTTGAAAGATCGAGATAGTTCTCTTGTAGCAATGTTCTTATTTTGCTGCAAAGATGAGCTAACTGGACAGTTTCTAAGTTATCTACATAACAGAAGTAATAGTATAGATCGAAGGAACTTGTAAATAAGATTGTTAATTCATTCTCCACAACAATCAACACTACAAAGCAATTTGTTCATTCATTCATACATTTAATGGTCAAGCATTGCCATCTGATATGGCTTACAAACACACAGGATAAGCCAGTTAAGCTCCCATGAACAAGGAAATATTGCGGCTAGCCATTCGCAGACCTGATCCATCTGCAGAAGAGAGAAGCACAATAACTTTTCAGTCAAGCAAAAGATGATCCCACTTTCGTCACTGATTTACAAACATTTACATAGCACAAACTTACCCTAGTTGGTTGAATTGGTCGCAGTCAGACGAGCGAAGATGATGGCTAGGACCACGATAAGCACAACAGTCTGTATTTGCAGAAAGAAAGAAAATCAGTTGCCGTTCCATTGAAGAAGTCATGATGGTAGCCAAAATAGTGATGCAAATGATGGTGATTTCGTTAGGAGAGTTGGTATTGGATGAAGCTCTCATAAAATCTCTGAATAATATATCAGGAACTCACCAGGAAAAGATTGTACTGCTTCTTGCTCTCCAGAATGTAAGATTTCCTGACAAAACAAAACAAAAAAGTAAGCCAAATAACTTAACATGGAAAGGGAGAAATATAAGTCGAATTTTAATGCGATGTCTAAACCTTTTGGTGAGAGATCCAGATTCTCGGCAAGTCTTTTGAATAGCTTCCAATCTGCTTAATGTTTTAGTTGCATTTGGATCACTCTTGTCAACCTGCAGACATTGATACAAACAATGCACAATAGTTACGCATGTCTGCTTTGCAAGATATCATTGCATTTGGTACACAAGTTAATTGCATGATAATAAGTCGTGTGAAGTAAACCACAAACTGTACCTTGGACTTCAGCATACAAGAAAGGTCGTAGAAAGCCCCATAAACATCAGCCATGGTTTTTGTTCCATTAATAATTTTAGCAGTAAGACCTAGGGACAAACGAAGTGTAGGCCATCATTTAACTATGTTTGCTACATTCTTTAATTCACATGAAAGAAAAGCACATGAGGTGTAGATAATTCTTACCACGCCTCATCTTCACAACGCCTCTGAAAACTTCAACATTGTTATAGCATAGAGCAAGAGTTCCAATTGCCATTATCTAACAAGTTATGGAAGTCAAATGAGAACCAAGCTCACTAGTGACTGATAAAAACAGAAGTTGAAAATACAACATTTGACAAACTAAAATGACTCAAAGGAATTTTTTTCCTCGCACTAAAATAGGTCAACAGAGGAAAATGATCTTTGTACAAGTGGCGGAAGAAAGAAAAAAACACAACTGAAGTAACAGTACCAGTGAAAAAGAACACCAGAAGTCTGCTTGTTGAAAGAAAACCACAAGAAATGGAACGAGACCAAGTGGAATATTTGATTTACAAATTTGTTTGAGCCACTAGCATAGACAGTCTCATAAAAAAAATTGAGATGAATAGGCAACTGTCACAGGCATGAAAATGCATTCATATTCCTAGAAAACAAATTGTGAATGCCATGTCATCTCTAGAATGTAAGAAGGTTCTTAATTGTCTGCAGCAGATTCTACTACCTGAGGAATGGCACAGAACCGGAATATAGCAGGATCTCTCAGATCAGACATGTACTTCACACAGTCATCCATATGCACCAATGCATTAGTGACCATATCATTCAAACATTGCACTGCCTTCACTGAATTTTCTTCGTACTTCAAGTCCTGAGGTTTGCAATATGAAGAAATGCCAGTCAGACAAGAAGTATTACCCAGACCAGTGAGTTGTGCGCATGCTAATTTTCTACTTACCTCAAGTTTGTCAACATACTTGCTCCAGATTTCACGAGGCCAAAACATGCGCGACTTCGGTATCTCATTTATATCTTCCAAATAATCTCGAATGATGTTTGTTTTCTGTTTTTCCACCATTATCATATAAGAACGAGTAGAAGTACAAGACAATCGAAGCTCGGATGAAAGTTAACCTTTCAAGTAAAAAAACACTTTTAGAAATACACAATAGTAAAACCTGAAGAAATAATCCCATCGAATTAGAGAGGCTGTCTGGTTGTAAAACTTCCTTTCCAGAAGCATGGAAAAGCTTTGACAGGCCTAGTCCCACAAGTCCTGCTACATAGTGGCAATACTCATCGTAGTCATCAACTGTTTCGACCTGAAATATTTGAATGTTGAAGTTCAATAATAGAACGCAGAATCTGAAGCTTTCACTCCCAGTTACCCGTATAGTAATGCATTCTCATATCCAATGAGTATGTTGTATCACTATTAGAAGCACATTATTATATCAGCCTTTCCAATCATCTACCAACTAGGTTAGTATGTTCCTGTCTATAAATTGCCTACTGGCGGTTTCATAAAAAGAAACCAGTATAACCAACCTCTTTGCAGATAAATTTTGCCATTCCAGCACCCATTCTTTGGGTGATATCCTCGATCGCCTCCTGATAGCTGCAAACCAAATTATTTTAATGAGACATTCTCGAGCATTGGGTCATAGACACAAATAGATATAAACTGGTAAATGCTAGTAAAACTGCAAGTGTTGCACAGGTTATCACGATAATTGACTGTGAAGCATTACATTAGAGCAATACATACAAGAACTTCTGCAAGCTACATCTCACAAACTAGCAAATGCTACTCTGCTAGAACATACCGGCCTGACCTCTAAGGCTACAAAATACATTCATCACTAAGTTGCTCCACAGCTCTAGCCGCATAATGGAAAGGTTATTGTCGAGTTGTGCTCAAATCTGATAATATATGTAAATATTGCTGGCCCACATGTAAACTACGATCCTAGAATCAGGTGCTGTAAATGGTCAATAATATGAACGAGAGATTCACAGGCATGGGGGTGAATCTGCAGAATAAGAATTAATGTTACTACGAAAACTAAAGATGCAATGTATGTTCATAGCCGCATCCCCCATTATTTTCACAGGAAGATACATACCCTTTTCCCAGCTCTAGGAAAGCAGTTGAAACATGGTGGAACTCATCCATCAGAACTTTATAGTCCTTCGTACCACCTTAAGAAAATGAAAGAATCAGCCAGAGTGAGCCAAAGGATTCCAATTTAAGGACACTCAAGTTGCACTAGTCTCTAACATCCAGAAAACTGAAATTTGGAGATCAGAAACTCACATGAGAAGTGCCACTCCTTGTCATATATGTGACGGTGAAAAGCATTCAGAATAGGCACCTTTATTTCTGTAGCTATGCTTGTATCATCCTCTGCAAAATAAATAACAGAACCATACATAAAAATCCAGTGACTCGCAGCACCAAGGAGAAAACATTTCTCTTCCTCGATTTTCACTAAGTCCAAATACAGCAGCTGCAACACAGACTGAGGTCTCCTGTGAACAATGAGGCTTTGCGAAGGTGGTGCTTAAACAGAAAGATCAACCCAACATCAAGTTGTCTGAAATTTGGCTTGATTTCATAACAAAGTTTAAACTAACTGATGAAGTCTGAAGCATAAGTCAAGCTAGCAGGCATTACTAGATACAGTATTGTAAGAGTTTAACATGAAGACAATATATCAGAGTCTTAAGGTTCATATAATAGAGACAAACCAACTGTGTCAAGAGCTCGAAGAACCAAGTAGAAGATGCATACCTGCAAAACTCGAGACAAAGAGTGAATCAGCACCTTACTATTTATGCAAGTGTTACCCTCAGCATGGCTGGCAGAAGTGTGTTTATCCAGTTTTGACACACAAGTACAGAAGCATTAGGTATAAAAGCAATCAGATCGTTATGTTATTGATGTACAGAGTTAAAGTCTAGAGAGACCAAAGTTCCATAGCACCATAAGCATTCACTGAAAGAGAGAGAACAGTAGTTTCAGGCCAACAGCCAGTCCAAATTTCTAATTTCATGAATAACTTCTTTAAGACTCAACAACAGTCAAAGGTACAACATTTCTCAACCACAGCCACCCAAATCAAGTAAATGTTTCTACTTTAAGAAAGGAAAAAAGACATTGAATTTGCAGAGGAAACACAAATTTCAAGCCTTTTCGTTCGAATGATCAAAACCCAGAAAAGAAGGAAGGAAGCCAAAGACTGAAGACTCGAGCTGCTTTTAGTGCAAGTCTCTATCGTGAATGAAAAGCAAAAAAGAAAGATGATTTCTTGCTTTCAGAAAATAGATTCAATTGTAAGCTAATTTGTAGTTATTAAATCCTTCACACTTTTCACCTCAAGAATCAGGATTAGAATTTAGATTGCGAAAACTGCACACAGTCTTTTCCCATTTACCCAAACTATGCATGAAACGGAAAAGGAAAGAAAGTAAAGCAGCAGCATGATAACACTTGGTCAAAAAAAGCATGATAACACTTGTCAATCCAAAAGAGATTCATAACTGATCACTGATCAAAGCAATTTGCAAAATCCAATGTAGAAAAGAATCACAGTAGCTCAAAGAAATCATAAATCAGATTCCCAAGGCAAAAAAAGAAAACTTTTACAAACAGAAAGAGCAGAAGAAGCTTACAGCGTCACGGAGCTCGGTTCCCAGCTGCTGAATCACAAGAGCAAAGCTACGGGACACCTTGTGCAGCATTGTGTAACAGAATCCCCAGTGAGGCTGCGGTGGGATCTGCTTCTCGATGCTCCTCGCCGCCAATTTAAGCTTCAAAAGCGGGTAAAGATCATCTGGGTGCTTCAGAATCGCTCTCAAAGTCGCCATTCTAGCTCTCCCCCCTCCTTCCTGAAAACACCCAGATCGCCCCTCCTTCCAGAAAACAATCCGAACCCAAGAGAGCTCAGATGGGTGACAGAAAGATGTAAGGCACGAGGACGAAAGAGAGAAGCAAAAGGGAATTTCGACTTTTGTAGGCAATGAGTGAGAGAGAGATCGAACGGGGGCTTTGGTTCAGGGTTGGAGAGGGTCCCCAACGTGCTTGCGGTTGTTAATGGAAATACCCACCGAGCCCACACGAATGATTCGCACAAACGTTTAGTTCGATTATAAAAAGGGGAATCAAAAAGCTGATCTCAAACTGACTTTGAATTGAATAAGAATTTGTGGCCTCGTTCCGTTCTGGAGGGGAAAAACAGAGGCGTGCAGAAAAAAAGGACTAAGGAGTAATGTTTTCTTACTCTCTTTCTCCTCGGCGGAATTCCAGTTCGGCGATTTAGGGATTTTGCTATCTTTTTTTCTATTTTGTGGCATCAAATTGAGAACAGAAAATGGCGAAACGTGAAGTGGGGAAGGTAGTGGTCCCTGGCCAGCCAAATCAATGAATGTCTTTTCCTAATTCTGTTTGTTCGCAGGGCCGCCGCAGTATGAAACTGAATGGCAGGTCGGCCACCGGAGTTGGGAGATACCAGGGAAAAGAGAAAGATCACGAAAAGCCCAAACTTGAGGAACTTGAGAAGTGTCCTTTGTGCTTTTACTCTCTTTTTTTTTTTTTTTGGTAGAAATGGCAATTTGAATCCGCTTCGCGGGTATTATCCAACCTGACATGTAATGAGGCGGGTATTATCCGATCTACAGTAGTTAGGGGCGGGACATGAGTATCTACTTCAGACCCGACCCGCTATGCTCCGTCCCGACCCGTTCTTAGCTCATTCTATCTCAATTTCTTACAATATCTATATATATTTCTCCTATTTTGATTTTTTTCAACTAGTTAGAGTCATTCTTTCAACTTATTAGATTCAATTAACCATTTTATTATCACTATTTTTCATTCATAAAGTATTTATTTTTCGTTGAATATTCATAAAGTATTTCTCATTCATTTTATGGTAACAAGTAAAATTTGCTTGTATTTTTTCTGGATAACATGTAAGAGTGGGTCGACCCGTCCGGCCTCGTATCCGCGCGGGTTTACACACGCCGACCCGTAGTAGCGTGTGGTGGGGCATGGAAATTGAAGTACCCGCCCCACTCCATTGCCATCACTAATTCTTAGGGGTGACAATCGGTTTCCCGGTTTTCGGTATAACCGGTTACCGAACCGGTAACCGTCGGTAACCGGTTATACCGAAAACCGGAAAACTCGGTTGTCGGAGGGTAGAAACGCAGCGCCGGTATACCGCCTCCCCACCCGGTATAAACCGACGGTTATCCGGTAAACCGGATACCGTTTGGGGAGTGGCAAAACGCAGCGCTGCAGGGGGTCGGGGAAATAGGCAAAACAAAACGATCGAAGAAGGGGAAAAAAAACCCTAAATCGCGCCGCCCACTTCTTTCTTCCCCTGTTCTGCTCCTCTCGGCCGCTGCCGAGATTCTTGGAGAGCCGCAGGCCGCCGCCGCAGCTTCATCGCCCTTCCACAGACCACAGGCCGCCGCTCCCGACGACGCCTCCTTCCACCCTTCCCACTCCCAAAGACCACAGTCCCACTTCCCTCTCCGATTTTCCTCCCTCTCCGACTCTGCCGTTCGCCCTTTCAAGCCCTTGCCAGACGACGTGTTCATCTTCCCCCGTCGTCGGCGACGAAGCTTGCCTTCGTCTTCCCCAGTCGCCGCCGGCCCGCCGTTCTGTAAGTTCCTTCTCTTCCTCTTGCCTTCGTCTTTCTTCTTCTTCCCTGCCCCTCCTGGCCTCCTTGTTTATGTTGTGTTGTTGGTTTGGATGAACAGAGGGCAGAGGGCAGAGGCAGGGCAGAGGCGCAGAGCTGCGAGCTCCTCGACCACGACCAGCCTCCAGAAGTCGCCACTCGCCAGTCGCTAGCAGCCAAAGTGAAACAAATTACCAAGTCCAAATGTACTAAGTCGAGAATTTGATTTTTGAGTTGATAATTAGTTATTTAGTTATGTGAAATTGTCAATGGTGTTTGGAGCTTTGAATTAGACAATTAGAATTAGTGATTGAAAGCTTGGAAATTGGTCTTAATTGGAATAGTCAGTAGACAGTATGGAACTTGGAATTAGTGATTGAAATTTGAAAGCATGGAACTTGAATTGAATTAGACAATTAGTGAACTTGAATTGTGAACTAGACAGTAGTGTTGATTATGTGTCAATTTTGTACTTTTGTTGATTATGGTTTTGTACTTTTGTTGATTATGTGTCAATTTTCTTGTACTTTTGTAGGACGAAAAAAGGGAAGAAAGCTGGTTCGCTACCTCCTCGTCCTCGAAGCTCTTCAAAGAAAGGGAAGGCTTCAACTAGTGCACCTTCCCCTACGGCAAATCCACCTCCTCCATTGGCAGCAAATCCACCACCTCCATCTGCATCAAATCCACCTCCATCTGCAGCAAATCCGGCTACTACTACCGGTGTTGCTGGTGAGGTACCTGGTGTGCAAAAGAAAATAGACAAGGGGAAGAGGAAGAAGACGTCTAAGTGGTGGATCCCTTATGATGAGGTGCTAGTGGATGACTATCCATTTGGAAAATGCAAACGGTGTGGGACGCTGATCAAAGCTCATTCTACCAACAATGGCACTTCTGGTTTGAAAAACCATCATCTGATGTGCGAGAGGAGGTCGAAGGAATCTAGTGGACAGTCGGTATTAAATTATCAAGCTAGTGGGACTGGTGAGGTAGGCTCTCTTACTCCGTGGAAGTTTGATCAGAACAAAGCTAGACATGCATTAGCTATCATGATAATATTGGATGAGCTTCCGTTTCGATTTGTTGAACGGGAAGGATTTGGGAGATTTATGGCAGTATCACAACCTTTGTTTGTGATACCTGGAAGGCAAACAATTAGATCTGATTGTTATGTCATTTTTTGGAGAAGAAAGAGCTGTTGATTGAGTTTTTTAACTCAAAGTGCAAAGAAAGGATTTCTATCACTACAGATACATGGACTAGTGATAATAACCAGAATTATATGTGTGTGACTGCACATTTTATTGGAGCTGATTGGAAACTGCAGAAGAGGATTATTTGTTTTGTTCCCATTACCAGTCATACAGGTAGAGATATTGCAAATACTTTGGGAACATGTCTACAAGAATGGAAAGTGAAGAATCTGTTTTGCATGACAATGGATAATGCCACTTCCAATGATGTGCTTGTTGACTGTATGAGGATAAAACTGAAAGGGTGGGGATCGGATTTGCTAGACGGGAAGTATCTGCAGTATAGATGTGTGGCACATATAATCAATCTGGTCGTCTCTGATGGTTTGAAAGAGGTTGGAGTTGCTGTGGAGAGGGTAAGGGATTGTGTGAAATGGGTGAAGTCATCACCAGCTCGGAGTGCAAAGTTCAAGTCTAGCATCGACTACCTAGAGATGGATGGTAGAAGACTTGTGTCCTTGGATGTTCCGACTAGGTGGAATTCCACCTATCTGATGTTGGAGTCTTCAGAGAGGTTTGAGAAGGTGTTTACTCTGATGTATGATAGTCCTACTGATGCTTCCTTTCGAGACTATGTGGACTCCAAGAAGGGTCTTCCATCTGGAGAAGATTGGAGCAGCATTAGGCGTCTCATGAAGTACCTGAAGTTCTTTTATGATCTTACTCTTCGTGTATCAGGTATGTAAATGAATGAACTATCAAATTTTAAAATTCATTTCTTAAAGTTAAAGTTTATGATTTCTCACTTATATTTTCTTTGTAATTTTTTATTTGTATCAGGGACATCATATGTCACTGCACATACATTCTGCAGAGCCATTGTTAATATTCATGAAGTGATTGCTACTTTGAAGAAGGATGCAGATGAACAGATACAAAGAATGGCAGAAAGAATAGAGGCAAAGGTGAGAAAGTATTGGTTTGAGAATGATGCTGATGATGGGGAGGATAACCTTAGAATAAATAGGATAGTTTACATGGCCTGTGTGCTTGATCCAAGGCGTAAACTATACTATTTGACTATGATGTTGGAAGAGATGTATGGAAAGGAAAAAGGGGAAGAATTGGCAGATCAGGTGAAGAAAGAGATGGCCCTATTGTTCGAGGTATACAAGGCGAAGTATGCATCTTCACATTCTGATTCCGAAGCTACTACTCAGACTACTTCTAATATTGCGACTAGTTCCGAGTCTTCTGTTATGGGAGGTGCCTTTGAAGCTCGGTTCCAGCAGAAGAGAAAGGAGCAACTTGAGAGGGGGGGTAGAGTATCTGGTGAGTTGGAGTCATATTTGAGAGATGTTGGTGATGTTGTTAACGAGGAGCTTGATGATCGGAAGTTTGACATTCTGAAGTGGTGGTCTCGGAACAGTGTTAGATATCCCATTCTTGGAGAGATGGTTAGGGATATATTAGCTGTTCCAGTATCCTCTGTTGCCTCGGAGTCCGCTTCCAGTTGTGGAGGTCGAGTTCTTAGTCCTTTCGGATCATCTTTGAGCCCAAACATTGTAGAGGCCTTGATTTGTGCTGAAGATTGGATAAGGTATGAAAGTGGAAAGACTGTAGATGAGCTGAATGATAAGGAAGAAGATCAGGAGACAATCGACTTTGAGAATGGTAAGAATTCAATTCATTCTTCTTATTTGTATTATTGTATATACTCTTTACTAATATTTGTGTTTTTTGTTTGCACTAGCGGCTAATACTTTCCAAGCTCGAGTGGAAACTGCTACTGAAGTTAGAGCACATAGCTTACCTGATGGGGTTGTTGAGGAGGACAAGGAGGGGGAAGAGGACGAGGAGACTGAGAGTGATGATATGAGTGAGAGTGACGATGACGATGACGATCCCGAAGTTACCCTTCTTAGGAATTTGAAGAAGAAAGGATATGTTAATGTTGGTGGTGGGACAACAAGTTCTATTGGAGAAGGAGGAGCATGAGATGCTAGCTAGTTTATGCGTTTATTTATGTTGTGTTATTTGGGACATTGTGTGAATTTGTGTGAATTTAGAAGTTTGAACTTGTGTGAATTTAGATTTTGGACATTGTCATTAATCATTATGCGCTTTGGTTGATTGACAATTATGTTGATTATCGTCCCTTTCAATTTCAATATTTGATGATACTTAATGAATTTCAGAATTTGAAGTTTGAACTTGTTATAACTTATAAATCAATTATGGTTTGACAAATGACAATTGTAATGTTATAATTATAAATTTATAGTAACTCTTAATATTGTAAATAAGAGTTAAGACTTACATTATTGAGTATATAAAAAAAAACAATGAATTTTTAAAAAAAATTGCCGAGAGCAGTCTGCTGCCTCCCATACCCTTCTGCCCATAATCGGTTACCGGTTACTTACCGGTTAACCGAACCGGAATATGGTTTTCGCTCCCATGGCTCGGTGTTTCGGTATACCGGTTTTAAACCGTTAACCGGTTATTCGGTAACCGGTTTACCGGTTGAAAAACGGTAGCGGCATTCGGGCGTGGCTTCAGGGTATTCGGTATACCGTAACCGGTTTATTCGGTAACTGGTTAACCGTTACCGAACCGGTTACCAGCCCTACTAATTCTCTCCAGCCTCTAGTTCCTCCTCTTAGTCTATTGGGAGACGTTTGAAAATTTCTTGAAGATTAACTCTAATGCAATTGTTCGTTTGACCTAATTGTCTGTGGAACAGACAAGCTTGTTGTGTTCATGATTCTAGGAAGGCTTGTGCTTCGAGATTGTCTTCAACTCATTGTCTCTGTGTCAGTTTGTATAGAATTTGGGGCGGTCCTCAAACCGCAAATGGGACTGCAAGTTGTCTCCTTTTGAGTTAGTTTCCTTAGACTTTGTAGCATGGCTCTACTGACGTGTTGCTTTGGGAGGGTTTATTCTCTTGTTTTCTCTCTTTTTATCTTGTCGTTATTTGGGGAAAAAAACCTAACCCAAGATCAAACCCTTGCAAGCTTTTCATTAGAGTCTAGAGAGCAACCTCGCCAGTTGCCGTTGCTGCCTACGGCCTTTTATGAATCCAAGCTCAAGTTAAAGTGCATTATTATCGACAATAAATGTCATGCTAATATATTTGTAAAAAAAATTCCCGCTAATAGATGAAAAATATTAATAATTTAGTAGCGCACGTTGATGTATCTTCGAATTGTTAACACGTATGGATGAAACGTGAAGAAGGAAGGAATTCATCAATAAATAAAAAAGATAAACTATAAAATCAACGAATTTTTCTATTCAATCATGTTTGCTCGCTATGTAAATGTAATTTTCTCGTGCAATATCTTTGGTTCATTACACAACCGAGTATATCATTATGAGGTGATATCCTTAGTATCTAAACCACCACAACCAAAACCAACGTTGGAGAGACAATATACTTCTCTCAACTTACATTGCATGCCGAGGAGGCCATGCTTCAATGTTTTTTTTTCCCTTTCCATTCCATGCCTATATTATTACTCCGAAACTCTTTCGAGCGTTTTACGACATCTTAATACCGTACACATCGTTCTTGTAGATGTCATATCTACAAAACTCTCCACAATCTGTTCTCCGCGTACTTCCAATGATTGTCTTCATCAATCCGTAGAACAATTTTATCCTCTTATAGTTCACAACACCTCATTTACAAAATAAGTTTATTAATCACAAGTTCATAATGAATCTCGCTTTAAAATTCACTATGATGAGTCGTTACTCTCTACCCACCACGATTGTCATTTAACAAGAAATTGCAATTTGCACATACAATGGATTGGTCGGTATTCTATTCTCCCGCGGCCGCAGCTCGCAATTAGTGGTTGGTGACTTGGACTACAAGTTTTACTATTGACCGACTTTTCAATTTTTTTTTTACCAATAACAAAAACGAGAAAAAAAAAACGGTACGGACAAATTGGATTGGAAGAGAAACACCCGCCATTCAATTCGTCCACTCGTTCTTGATCTTCTCCATTTGCTCCAGTTTCCCCCCTTCCTTTCAGCTTCAGGATGCAACTCACCACTCTACCTCGCCCGCCCGCCATTCCTCTTCCAAACCCTAATTTCCGGCGGTTTTACAGTCCCCAATCATCGGGTTTCTTTCCCAGGCCGCCGCCCACTGTTTGTTGTTTGCTCACGCCCCGCCGCATTTGCGCAGCCGCTCCTTTCTCTTCCGGGAGGAAGAACTTTGGGAATGGGGTTCTGACCAATTGCATTGGGGCGAGCCAGGAGAGCGTGAGTGGTGGAGAGGATGGAGAGTCGTCGGTGGAAATGGCGGCGGGAAGCGTGGAAGGGCTGGAGAATCAGAGTTTTTGGAATCAAATCAAGGAGATTGCCATGTTCACGGGGCCTGCTACTGGGCTTTGGTTGTGTGGGCCGTTGATGAGTCTCATTGACACTGTGGTCATTGGTCAGGGGAGCTCCATTGAGCTTGCAGCTTTAGGTAATTACGTAGTTGGGTTCCTTTTGTTTCTTGATGAATGAACGAAATGGTGCCATTGACGGGCAAAAGAACTGAAAAGGTTGCTTTTTTTCTGTTTCTGTGTTGGATCACAGGACCTGGGACGGTGTTCTGTGATTATATCTGTTACGTGTTCATGTTTCTCTCGGTTGCTACTTCGAATTTGGTTGCGACTTCCCTAGCCAGACAGGTTGGTTTTGATGGGAGCATTGAAAAGTTGCTTGATTTGAATTGCAGTGCTTTTTATGTATGATTAGTTAAAATGAATTTTAATGCTGCTTAATAGGGTGGGTTGGACTACCAAGTTGTTCGCTGGGTGGTTCTGTGATTACTTTTGTTTACACCTCTCATCTCTCAGCCAATTATTGATTCTTGTTACTTGACAAAATTATGCAGGATAAATCGGAAGTGCAGCACCAAATATCGATACTTTTGTTTGTTGGATTGATATGTGGGGTGTTTATGCTTTTCTTCACGAGGTTCTGTGGTTCGTGGGCACTTACTGGTAATGGAGACTGGTAAAGCTTTGAGTCCTACATTAGTCATGACTATTTTTCTTCAGTCTTGGTGTAACTCATATTTTCAATTTCTGGATGGGATTATGTGCCCAAATAATTGATTCGCTTGCCTGATTTCCGTTGTCCCTGGATCCATCAGCTTTTGCAGGACAGAAGAACCTTGATATAATACCCGCAGCAAATACTTATGTCCAGGTACTGTACACAAAGAATTTGTCATTTTTTATTGAGGAACAACGGGTTGGGTTGACTTCTTAATGGCACTCGAGTATTGTGGTCTGTGTTATGCAATAGTCAACACCCTCTCGAAGAATGTAACTCTGCTGATCATATCAGCTTTAAATGTCTGCTACCATATGTTGTATCCGAGCAGTTCTATGTTTTAGCTTGTAAAATGAAGAACTTTGCCGCAATATTTTAGATGATGTTCTTGTATGCTTTTTCTTTTTTATTATTCCCAAAGGCTAAACATGTTCTACTTTCTTTTTTCAGATTCGAGGCTTAGCGTGGCCCGCAGTTCTTGTTGGATGGGTTGCTCAAAGTGCTAGGTAACGTGGCTATGCTTTTAAGTTTTTGTTCTAAAATAATTATGCTTTTAGTTACTGCTGCTCTTGTACTGTGCTATAAACCATTGCCTCTTAAACTTGGTCCTCTTGCAACCTAATTGTTTCTTATTTTACTTAGTGAGCCTTGTGCTCATACTCTTTTTCTATACGTCTCCTTGATGGTTGACCTGGTGTACTTCGACATATGATACCAACTTCTGAGAATTAAGTTGTTGAACACTGAAATATTGGTTGATTACTCATGCTTAAATGCCCTTGTCCTGTTTTGCAGTCTTGGAATGAAAGATTCGTGGGGTCCTTTGAAAGCTTTAGCAGTTTCTACTCTTGTTAATGGTGTTGGTGATATAGTCCTCTGCAGATATTTAGGCTATGGTATAGCTGGGGCAGCATGGGCAACAATGGTGTCCCAAGTATGTGAATGAATCCTAGTAGCTTGATTTCTTTTTTGTTCTTGATATCTTTCCTCTTGAGTATAATCTTATAGAAACTATTCTTAGGTCGTTGCAGCCTTTATGATGATTGACACTCTGAACAAGAAAGGCTACAATGCATTAGCAATATCTGTTCCGACGTTTGATGATCTTCTGCGCATACTTGGGCTTGCTGCTCCAGTGTTTATTACAATGACATCAAAGGTTCATTTTCTATTTTTCTTCACTTACGTTCATTTCATGTTTTATCTCTATGAATCACACATTCACTTTTTCTGTTGTAGGTCGCATTTTATTCCTTCATCATTTACTTCGCCACATCTATGGGCACACATGTGGTGGCAGCTAATCAGGTTGTTGCCTGCTCTTGTTGCAATTTTGCTTTATATTCTCTTGGTTGGTCTCTCTTCCTTATATTGACATCTTATGTTTCACCTTAGGTCATGAGCCAAGTATTTGGCATGTGTGGTGTGTGGGGCGAGCCTATCTCCCAAACTGCTCAATCTTTTATGCCCGAGCTAATATACGGATCCAATAGAAATTTGTCAAAGGTTGGTGATAATGCAGACTTATGTATGCTTGTGGCATATTCACCATTCGTTATATATATTTTCCCTCTTTGTTCTATGCTTCTGTCTACTCGTTGTTCTAATAGTTTCTGACATAAAAACAGGCACGATCGCTGCTGAGATCCCTAGTCATAATTGGAGCAGCTCTTGGATTCACATCAGCAGTCATTGGTGCATCTATTCCTTGGTTTTTCCCAAATCTCTTCACTCCTGATCAAAAAGTAGTAAACCAGGTTAGATTTTGTTGTACTTTCATGTTCTTAAATTATCCTTTTCCTCAAACCTAATATTGGTCTCACAGCACTGTGCAATCATAAGATGATAAAGTGCACGAGAACCTTCAGTGAGCTATAATGCTGTTGTTGTTCTCTTGTTGTTTTCCTTATTGTTAGGTGTCCCTATTGCTGTTAGGCCCTTGGGTCTAATGATAGTATCGCAGTTTAGTTTTCAATGTTTTTATTTTATTTGGGTAGAACAAGAGTGTACCTTATCTCTTTCTGTCTGAGAGTCAACCAATATTCTCTTTTGATGTAAATATCAAACCAGGTTCCTTGACATTTGAGTTTTGTTGGTCCATGCAGATGCACGGAGTGTTGCTTCCATTCTTTATAGCGTTGGCTGTGACTCCAAGCAATCACAGTCTAGAAGGGACATTGATGGTATGTTCTTTCATTGAACTTCAGTTTCTGGATGTTGAGTGAACAATTGCACAAGTCAAGACTGCTGCTGCACATTTCTTTTAGTCAATCGTGTGTGCGCTTTTGTTGTAGGCTGGACGAGATCTCAAGTTCCTTAGCCTGTCAATGAGTGGGTGCTTCACCGTGGGTGCTCTATTAGTGATGGTACATCACATACTTATCAATCAGTTTCCACTCTAACCTTTCTTGTACTCGTCCATCAGTGACTAATACAAGCTACCGACTCTTACCAGGCTGCAGCAAGCAAAGGATTCGGCTTACCAGGCTGCTGGTTTGCCCTCGTAGTATTCCAATGGGTAAGATTATTTGATCAAACCCTATATGCATAGAATCCAATCATTTCATGTATAACTTTTTGACTTCTTCTCTAACACATGAACTCTGTTTCCAGTCTAGATTTGGTCTTGCACTCCAGCGACTAGTATCTCCCACTGGCATATTGTTCTCAGACGACATGAGTCGATATAAGCTCGAGAGATTGAAAGCTGCTACTTAGCTTTTTGACATCATGGTGCAGGAACCCCACATTCATCGTTACAGTTTACAGAATCTTACTGGGAGCACTTCTGGCATTGTTTGATCAGATGACTAAAGAAACACAGCAAAGTGCTCCCTAGAAACACGAACGATACGCGAAAAAACGTTGTGAATCACGTTGATGTTGTAATACTGATAGGTTGATCGTTTAGTGAAATCCCAAATCTGTAAAGGAAGAGAAGGGAATATATCATCGCCACTAGCAGTCACGTTGTAATAGTTGGAGAAAATAAGCTGGAATGGAGCTGCTAGCTTTGCTTCGAAGTTGAGACTTTTTTTTTTGTGTTCAGTTGTACCAGTTTGTTGTAGAATGGCCAAGAAAGAGCAGGAAAACTTGACAGATTGTTTCGCAGGACGACGAGGTGTGGAGAAATGCAGCGGCGGGAAATTGCATCAAGCAAACTTGGTCTTTCACGACCAGGATCGTCGACGGCCAAAAGGAGCCGATTCAACGCAAACCTGTCACTCTGCTCCACCTTTGTTTCCTTCCTCCCTTCCTCCCTGGATCTAAATTTCACGTGACTAGCCCTGTAAAGCAAGGATTGAAATATCGTTTCGTACCGGCGGTTCGACCATAAAATACTGTATCATATTTGTGGTATTTAGCGGCATTAAGTGGTTCAACCACGGTTAAATCATGGTTTTAACATAAAATATCCTATCGCTGACTTTTCCGGTACAACCTCTGGTACGATATTTGATATTTCAATCCTTACCAAAATATCCTTATTATAGTTTCTAGAATGTTGTAAGTACACTATTCCACATACTATACAAGTGGAGCCTTTGACGGGGGGAGGAAAAAAGCATGTGGAAGTGATGCAAATAGAAGTAAAGAAATGGGGTTATATTGTTTATTTCATGGAGAATTTTTGACAAAATGGTTGTTGGAGGGAGATTGACAGAGTCGGTGGGGTGAAATGTAAAATTTTTTCTTTGTGTTAAAAAAATGTCGAGAACACACGATAGCCGCATCGGGCGGCGGTGGCCCGACACACGTGCGAAGCGGATTTTTACCTACTGCGCATGTTGCGTGACGTTTTTTTCCTTGTTGTGAATGAGGCTTCGATTTTTAGGGACATTTTGACACACATTTCTTTCGATGAGAACGATCCTAAGTTTCGATATTGGTTGTCGTACGATATTATGAGAATTTCCCAACCTCATTCATATATCAGTTAAAATGTTAAAGCGTCGTTCCTTCTACTAAAAAAAGAAAGAGCGGACCACGATGAAGTCCAAAAACTTCTAGAACCATATATATGCCAGCCAATTTATGGCCAACAAACGGGAATTTAGAATCTAGTGATGGATCGTACAATTGTTAGGCATCATCATATATTTTTTTTTTTTACTGAGTTAGGCATCATTATTGTCCGACCATCTCAATGATTTTTTTTATAGAAAATAGTAATAATAATAATAATAATAATAATATTTTCTAATTGCTTTCTTACTTCCTTTTCTTGTGGTGGAAAATCAGAGGCCAGTGGCCAGATGCAATTTGAACGTAGTATTATTTTCAAAATCTAACAATTCATTGATCTCTAAAACAATAGTAACAAATTAAATAATACGAGTCAAAAGTTTGATTAATCTTCGCGCTCGTGACAAAGAAATTAGAAAAGTGGCAAGTAAGATCTCCTCTACCTACCACTCCAACAGTCCACACCCGATCCACGTAGCTGGATCTTTCGAAAAGTACCGGCAAGGAGTTGCTGATAATTTGCAGGTATTTGTTAGCGATCACAATTGAATCTGGAATCTGGATTTGCGGGTGCACACATCTCGATCCAATCCGATCAAAGGAGGAAAAATGGTCGTTGACGAATTTTGGGCTGGACACATATTTTATCCGCTCATGAAATTGTCAGATTAATCGGATGCAAAAATCCAATTCGCTTTCCACCCCCCTTCGCATCCCAAAAAAAAAAACAATGTTGTTTTGTATATTACTTTAATAACCAGAGATTATTTTGCTTGTTAGATTTGGATGATGAGTTTGGCATTCACATCCAACTTATCATGGAAATGAAACACATCCAACAAGTACGATCTAGGATCAAGAAGTAAGAATTATTTCGCTTGTTAGATTTGAATGATGAGTTTGACATTGAAATCCAACTAATCATCAGAACGAAACAAATCCAACAACCAAATTACAATCTTTTCCAAATCCACTATACGCCAACAAATCCACTGTACACTTGATTGCTCTTATCAAGTTATAGGAAATCTACAGTCATACACCTCATATCACACACACTCTTTCTCAACCAGCCCCACCGACAACTTACAGTACATGTCATGTCATCCAACTCATGTAGTCATGTTGTCTCTTAATTTGGGCAAGTTTTCAGTTTTCACCTACCTAGTTAGCTTCTTAGGGTAAATGCTGTCACTAAGATTACTAAATTGTGTCACGTTTAGTCACTCGAAAAATTTATTATCAATTTTGGTCACTTGAATTATCGAAACAAGTCACATTTAGGCAGTCTCCCGTCAGTTTCCGTCCAAATTCATTAATGGAGTTGGACGGAAACTAATGGGAGAGTGACTAAATGAGACATGTTTCAGTAATTCGAGTGACTGAAGTTGGACGGAGGCTAACGGAAGAGTGGCTAAATGTGACCTGTTTCGATAATTCGAGTGACCAAATTGATATTAAATTTTTCTAGTGACTAAACATGATATGATTTAGTAATCTCAGTGACCAAATGTGGCATTTACCCTAGCTTCTTATTTACCAACCTTCCCCATCCAATTCAATCCAATATATACATAGATGCTTCTTATCCCTTGTTTTTTTTTTTTTACAAAGGGATTGGTTGTATTGCACTTGGAATGATCGATTACAAGAGAAATCAACAAGAAAATCGGAGAAAGATCTTATTTGTTAGTGCATAAGGTCTTAGCCTAAGTGGTGAATATGTCTGGGTACAACTAATAAATATTTCAATTAAAACATAGCAGTCAAATGAACAAGGATTTAGTTTAGTGGTAACACTATTAGCATTGAACATGAATCCACATCCATCTTTTACATGAGAAGAATGTAATTTGTACGAAACCATTAATATCGAAGTAATAGTTTAAGTTAAGTGAAGTAGTGAAACTAAACTTTGTTTAAAAAAAAAGTTGATCATAATTATTACCGGCTGGACTCTCCAAATGACAAAAATTAGCATAATGATAATAAGTTATAAGCAAGCTGGCTGCTCCCAAAAACCCCTATAACTGGAACACTGACCACTTATCATTCACCCACCTAACCACCTTGTAGGGAAAGGTACATCAACTTGCCATGGAACCCACCTGCCTGAATGACGAAACTAGGCCACAGTCTGCCACCAAGTGACCTCTCTGCAAATTGAGGAATACCATATGCACCAAAACCTACATTATAAGTTGTCATCAATTTACTCAAAAAGAAATAAGAAAAAGAAGCATACACCTCTTCATTTTGTACTGTTGTGTGTTTCTCTGCACACAATAAGAGGAGCTTTCCTTGAGCTTCTGGAAACTTGAGAGAAGAAGAGCAAAAAAACTTAAAGAGAAAATGCAGATCAGAGGCATAGCTCAACAATCTCCCCTGCTTTCCCTTCAAAACCCACGTTCAAATCTTGCCTCTCAACCAAGAATGTGTCGGTTCAATCACAATGACCTGGGTTCACTAGCATTCAGGGTTCAGCAACATGGGTCTGGTTTTTCATCAGGTCAAAGTTTGAGACTTTTCTCCCTAATAAATGAAGGGGAGAAGAGATCTTTAGTGTTGCCTTATTGCATTGGTTCAAGCAACAAGCTTTTTGGAGATCATGAGCAGTCTGAAGGAAGTAGTAGTAGTAGTAGTTTTGTGCCTAAAGTTGCATCTGCAGCAGATTTTAGTGGGGAGGAAAGAGGAGTGGAAGAAGAAGAAGGGTTTGAGAGGCAGAGTTTGTGGAAGCAATTGAAACAGATTGTGGAGTTTTCAGGACCAGCCATGATCATTTGGCTGTCTGCTCCAGCTATGAGCCTTGTTGACACTGCTGTTGTTGGTCGTGCCAGTTCAATTGAGCTTGCTGCATTAGGTAAACACCATTTCTTCTTCTTCTTCTTCTGGAAAATGAGGGTTTGAAACTTTTCTTGGTTTTGGGTTGGATTCATGGGTTTGATGACGGGTTTGATTTGGGGCACAGGACCTGCAACTGTGCTGTGCGACTATGTGAGACTTGTGTTTGTGTTCCTCTCGGTTGTCACCTCAAACATTATTGCCGTTTCACTTGCCAGACAGGTTAGATTTGGAGAAATTCTCTCTTTTTACATTTTTTGTACCATAATCTTTACTTTTGTGATTGAGGGTTGGTGGAACAATGAAAAGTAGAGTAATTTTTGGACGAGGTTGTAAAAGTTGATGAACTACAGTAAGATCTAATATGAATTTGGGGTGGCAGGACAAAGAAGAAGTTCAGCACCAGATATCTATCCTACTCTTTGTTGGGTTGACTTGTGGGCTACTGTTGCTTTCATTCATCAAATTCTATGGTGCATGGGCACTTACTGGTAACTTAACCCAACTTGACTTCCTACTTTTTACTCTGATGAGATGGTATGGTTAAACTTGTGAGTAAAAATTTCTCAGTATTTTTTTTGTTCTCTTTTTTTTTTGGTTTTATCAGCTTTTGCAGGACCCAAGAATTCACATATTGTTGCAGTATCAAATGGATACATTCAGATTCGAGCCTTGGCATGGCCTGCAGTTCTTGTTGGGTTGGTGGCTCAAGGTGCAAGGTGAAACAGATTTTACTCATTCCCTGGAAAACATTTGGCCAAGCTGGAAAAACATTTTAGGAAACTGACAAGCTAAACTTCTGCATCATGTTTCTTGTTGTGTTCCAGTCTTGGGATGAAAGATTCCTTGAGACCCATGAAAGCCTTGGCTATTGGTGGTATCTTAAATGCCATCGGTGATGTGGTCCTATGCAATATGTTAGGGTATGGGATTCGTGGAGCTGCTTTCGCTGCAATTGTCTCACAGGTATGCACACCTGTTTTTTGCTTGTTCTTAAATTTTCCTTTATTCGGAGACTATGTTCGTATTAATCGATTATGGCTGCCAATTTTTTATAGTTCGTTGCAGCTTATGTGATGATTGAAGGCCTGAACCAGAAAGGTTACAATGCATTTGCCATCAAGGTTCCTAAGCTTGACGAACTCGTTACTATACTCAGACTTGGTACACCGGTGTTTGTGACAACAATGTCAAAGGTCTTGTCAAATTCCGGATCTCGATTAGTATTTTCTTTTCCCTCGCACGATCCCCACCCCCACAACTAACTTTGCTTCCAATATGGTTCATTAGATGGCCTTCTACTCTGTGATGATATACTTTGCAACTTCCATGGGGACATATTCTGTTGCAGCTCACCAGGTTCATATCCCTTTTTTCTTTTATACTCCATAGCTACTCTAAATGGAGTTGAATAATGATGATGTGGACTAACAGAGCTTCCAACTTTTATATAGGTCATGGTCCAAATATTCACCATGTGTGGAGTATGCGGCGAGCCTCTCTCGCAGACCTCTCAATCATTCATGCCAGAATTGATATATGGTGTCAACAGAAACTTGGCCAAGGTTAGATGCTGTTGCTATCTCTCTCTAGCAGGTACTCAAGATATGCCCTTTTCTCAAAAGTAGTCTAAAGCTGTTAATCTTGTGGAGACAGGCTAGAAGTCTGCTGAAGTCCATAGTTTCACTAGGGATGATAGTTGGATTGATTCTAGCCGCCATTGGAACTTCGGTGCCATTATTGTTCCCAAACATCTTCACACAGGACCAAATGGTCGTTCGAGAGGTTAGTTACTCTTCCTTCTACCGTATATAATCACAAAAGAGCTTGTCAACTTAAACCAAAATTTAATTTTTCACTTTTGCTATATATGATCCATATATACCAGATGCACAAGATAGTGGTACCTTACTTCATTGCGCTGGCCATCACACCTTTCATTCAGACCCTCGAGGGAACCTTGCTGGTATATTTTCTTTGTCCTCTACAGATGTTTCACAGACATTAGAGAGTATTCATTTGGCGCTGGATTGATTCTCTTTGTGTATGCAGGCAGGGAGGGACCTCAGATTTCTGAGCATGTCAATGACGAGCTGCTTCTCTTTAGGCGCGGTGGTGCTCATGGTAAAAAGATCCAAACTTCGAAGATGGGTTACCTTTCATCATGTTTGTTTTGTTTTTGGCCTAATGACTGGCGCTTTTGGTTTTCACAGCTTGTGAGCAGCAAAGGGTATGGTCTACCAGGCTGCTGGTTTGCCCTTGTTGGATTTCAATGGGTAAGTAATAGAGCCATAGAGTTGGCATTCCAAGTTCTCATTCAAACCACTACCTAGAGCCAATTCTGATCAGTAAGCATATTTCAAATGCTTGCAGGCACGGCTTTTCCTGGCCTTCCGCCGGCTTCTGTCTCCCAATGGAATGCTTTACTCCGATGATCAAAGCAGATACAAGCTAGAGAGCCCGAAAGCTGCTTGAACTTTGAGCTATGACAGCGTTTGGATACAACCTTACTAGAAAAGCTAGACACTTTCTTAGGCATCACATCATCCCAGCAGCCCTTCTTGCCCTGGAAAAGACATGGAAACATGAAGGAGTTGCCCAGACAGCAACCTTTTGAGTCTGGGTTTTTGTTGGTAGCTGTATCTGTATCTATACTGTCTGTAACTGTCCACAATGTAGACTGTATATATATATCATTCTGCACGTCTAATAAGATTGGTGTTTTTGACACAAGGAAATGGAGAAATAAAAGAGAGACTGGAATGGAAGTTTGAAATTTTGGGGAGGAAGAGAATTTGGTTGCCGAAGTATGCCTTTTCTGTACCTTTTGCACCAGTCGATCAAAAAGGAAAGTAACTGGCTTTTAGTGTCCAGGTACGTTTGCTTTGTTCAGCGCAGGCAAATGTTGGGTATTTTAGGCCATAGAAACACCAATAGGGAGGGGATTGAGAACTGGAGGTTGAAAAGGAAGTGAAGTTGCAGACAGTACTTGTAACCAATTGATCCCAGCCGTCGGTTCCTATTGGTGGCTCTAAACAAAAGTTCAAAACTTTGGCTCCAAAATTACGACTTCCCTTCCCGTCACTTTGCCCTTACATTACAACTCTCACCAACCGCTCTCCTTCCTCCAGGCTTCAAGTTCCAACCTTTCCACTAAAAACGGAAGGAAGAAATAAAAGGGTAGCCAAATACCTCTTTGTCTCTTAGGCAGAAAACCCAAAAGCAGGCAGAAGAATGCAAATTCAAACCCTGTTCCATTCTTCCTCCAACACTCGACTCCACTCCCTAAACCCAAAAGCTGCAATCTTTACCAAAAGCCCATATCGGGTTTACTCTCCTAGGATCTTGCAATTGCGGCAGTCGCCTTTGCTTCCTTCATCTTCATGCGTTTTGAGGTCAAGACGTAGACTTTCGACATGCTGCATTAGCCCAGGCCAGGAACTCTTAGTCAATGGCGTGGTTGGAGAGGTTAAGAGTGAAGTTGTTTCAGTTCTTCCATCGTCCGAGGAAGAGGGAGAACCAGTGAGTGGGAAAGGGGTTGGATTGGAGAGCCAGGGCTTGTGGGAGCAAATGAAAGAGATTGCGATGTTCACAGGGCCTGCAGCTGGGTTATGGATTTGTACCCCTTTGATGAGCCTCATTGACACCGCTGTTATTGGACAAGGAAGCTCTGTTGAGCTTGCTGCTTTGGGTACTTCATTTTAACATGAACAATTGGTTTGTTTTATCTCTCTTTTTGAGCAATCATCATGGCCATTAAGCTTAGAATTGATCAAACAGGTCCAGGGACAGTTATGTGTGACAACTTGAGCTATCTGTTTATGTTTCTTGCCATTGCTACTTCAAACATGGTTGCCACTTCTCTTGCCAAAGAGGTCAGTTCTGTATTACTCAATTGTGCAATCGAGATTGTTCCTAGTAGGACAATAGTGAACTCAAAGAATATTGATGGCTCAGGATAAAGAAGAAGTCCAATACCAACTGTCCGTGTTGCTTTTTATTGGCTTGACTTGTGGCGTCATGATGTTTCTCTTTACCAAGTTCTTTGGCCCATCTGTTTTAACAGGTAAAATCCAGAAGAGAATCCCAAACGAGCTTTTTTGGGTTGTTATTTCCACAACCTTGGAGTTTTATCTCTTCTGCTTTTCCCTTGTTGTTTCTCAGCTTTTGCCGGTTCAAACAATTCCCACATTGTACCTGTAGCAAATACTTATGTCCAGGTTGGTCCTTCGCTTCCTTTGATCTTTCCTACCTGCTTTCAGTCAGTCTAGCAGCAAGTAATCCTAGAATCTTATTGGTAGATCCGAGGCTTGGCATGGCCGGCGATTCTTATTGGATGGGTTGCTCAAAGTGCAAGGTAAGAAAACTCATACAACATTACTTTAGACTTATAAGAGAATCTTACTTGGAATCTTTGTCCATGTCAGTCTCGGGATGAAGGATTCTTTAGGGCCATTGAAGGCACTGCTGGCTGCTACTGCTGTAAATGTAATCGGTGATATAGTTCTCTGCTCATTTCTTGGATATGGCATAGCTGGGGCAGCATGGGCAACAATGGCTTCACAAGTAAATATCTAAAAGTTGACAGAAATTCTGTTTTGAACTGATCCTTAAAACTTTTATGCTTATGCCTCCCTTATGTTGATTTGTTTTACCCAGATCGTTGCAGCTTATATGATGATGGATTCACTCAAGAAAAAGGGGTATAATCCATACTCCATCAGTCTTCCATCGATCGATGACCTCATGAAGATATTCGTGCTGGCTGGTCCAGTATTTGTTATGATGATGTCCAAGGTAAACAAGTAGTAATGTTACTTTGTGAACAGAGAGCTTTGATCTCTATCCTCCTTCTGATATAATGGTTGATGTATGGATCTGGTTTCAGGAAAATAATCTTCTTAATGTTATGTTTCTCTTTCGTTTCTAGGTGGCTTTCTTCTCACTCCTTGTGTACTTCACTACATCTATGAGTACACTCACCTTGGCAGCTCATCAGGTCCTTTTTTATTCTACCCGTTTCTTACTTCACTCGATTACCTCTTCTCGGCTCTTCAATATTCACCATCTTTTCAAGCTCTCTCCCTCCAGGTTGCGATTCAAGCTTTCATGATGGGTACAGTCTGGGGAGAGCCGCTTTGTCAAACTGCACAGTCCTTTATGCCTGAACTGCTCTTCGGAGTGAACCAAAGTTTTTCAAGGGTAATCTTGAACTAACCTCTAAAAGTTATTCAATGACATCTTTTTGGTATATGTATTGTCATGTTCTTTCGATTACTTGGGGAACAGGCTAGGATGCTGCTGAAATCACTGATGATCACTGGAACAATCCTTGGAGTATCATTGGGAGCTCTCGGAACTTGTCTTCTTTGGTTCTTCCCCAATATCTTCACCCCTGATTTGGAGGTCATAAGAGTGGTCAGTCCCATGTACACCTTCATTCAAGCCATAATTTGGTGCTGAGGAATTTGTTCAGATTCAGAAAGTCTAATCACTCTAATCCATTTCCATCTACAATGTTTACTTCTCCCATGCAGATGCACAAAGTTTTGATTCCATATTTTCTTGGACTTTCTATAACACCTTGCATTCTCAGCCTTGAAGGCACATTGTTGGTATGGCTCCAAAATTTCGCACTACTGGATTGAATGTTAACAGTATGGCATCATTTGATGTTCCCTTCAACTTGTGCAGGCTGGAAGGGATCAGAGATATCTTGGCCTGACAATGAGCGGATGCTGTACTCTGGCTACATTAGGATTGATGGTAAAAAATACCTTCTCTCCACTGGATTCTCATTGACAACACTCTAATTTACTAAACAGACCAGTTTGGTTTCTCTCTATTTCCAACCAGTTCGTTAGCAGCAGAGGCTATGGCTTACTGGGCATCTGGTTCACAGTAGTTGGTTTCCAATGGGTATGGCTCTCTCATAAAAAGACATCCAAACAAGGACAACCTTCTCTGCAATATGATTTCTGCAACTCATTTTCTGGGTTCTTTTCCTTCTGTTTGAAACTTTTTGCAGGCTCGATTCTTCCTAGCACTGCAACGCCTTCTTTCACCAAGCGGCATGCTTTTCTCTCAGCAGCAGTTGAGTCGTTATGAAATGAAGGAGTTGAAAGCAGCTTAGCTTCATATTATTATCAAGAGTTTTGGTCGTGGACTTAGCATACATGTCAATCTGTAAATATACTGTTGATGAAAAGTTCTTTTACCTTGTTCAGAAACACAGCTAGTCAGCTACGGCTCCCATGATGGAGGGAAAATGAATTCTTACAAAATGAAACAAACGCAACGACAAAGATTTAAGAAGAGTACATTTTTGCATTTCATTCATTTGGCTCAAGTACATAGTATAGTATGAGCGTAAGGCGAATTCCTGAATCCCCTGTTTCTCTCGTATACAGAATCAGTAGTCCAAAAACCATCCACATGGTATCAGAAAGCTTTATCTAAGCATAGATGCAAAAAATGATGAATGCGGTGATTTGAAACATCAAACCAGCCTACTTCATCCCATCCATCCCAGCTTTCTTTACTGAAAGATGCATCTCAGCTAAAGAATTTGGACCGTCACCTTCTCGATTTCTACCATTAAAGTATCGATTCTTCAGTGGACAAATCTCCAGCAGTAATGTCACAGGAATCGACTGTTCCCTCGACGTCCACGCCCGTTCGTTTTCGGTTCATAGGAATCATGCTCAACCTTAAACGGTGGCCTGAATGTTGGTTTGTTCGATGCCCTCCTTACATACATTTTCCGATCCTGCCGCCTCTTCTCTTCTGCCTTCATTTTGGAAATGCTCGGCCGATATATGATCACCGTTCGACCAATTTGACTGACCACAATGGAACCAGTTAGTTTCACCAGATGCTGCACCACGTCCTCCATCTCGCCTGGACATGTTCTGTGTATCTTAATCTGTTCATGTAGAGCAGATCAACCAAACTGATCAGTAAAATACTAAAATGTCATAACATGAAGTAACTCAGAGCTACAAGCTAGAACAACAAGAAGCTAATGGGATGCCAATATAACTCATTCATAGAACAAGCTTTGAGTGTCGACCTATCTCCAAGTGACCAAACAGATTCAGCAATCTTTCAAAGAGCTTACTCGAGAAAACCCCATTCAAAGAGCTTATATGAATTCGAAAACAGCTTCCCCCTTCTATGAATGCCTACTCTGAAGAGATAACTTCAAACAAATGGAATCCACATCATCCTGATACCATTATCCAGAAGCTAATACAAAGAATCTGGGTACCAACTCCACATACAGAACGGCTGTCCACTGGTTTTCCTGAGAAATCAACAAAAGCAATTCTCCCCCCAAAGTTTTCCAAGCCGCCAATCATACCAGTGGAACAGATTCATAAACAGATAACACTACTATGCTATTTCACAAAGCAAGTAGTGGCATAAACCCAGAGCCCAGAAGTAAATCAACGATTGTAAATGAGCAAAGACGAGTTCTTTTTCAGATTACCTTGAGGAGTTCGTTGGCTTCAAGGGTCTCGATGAAAGAGGTGGCGACATTATCTGTGACACCAGACTTGCCTACTAATTGGGACTTGAGCTTATCCCCCAATCCATGGGCGTAGGAAGCCAACTCTTTCTTCTCCTTCACACTCAATTTGGGCAGGCTGGCTTGTTCAATTCCCTTCGACCCACCGCCGCCGCCATTGTTCACTTCCAGCTCTGCACTCAATCCCTCGCCATCCCCTTCTTCCTCTTCGTCGGAATCAAGCTCAATGTCATCACTAAAACCCTCGTGGGCGTCGCCTTCCTCTACCTCGTATTCACCATCATCTTCTTCGTATTCCTCTTCTTCTTCAAACGTCAGAGCCGGCGAGACGGCGGATTGAGGAGGGGAACAGAAGGAATGAGTGGATAAGAAGAGAGCGGAATGGGACGGGAGAGGAGAAGCGGCTGCGGCAGAGAAGAGGGTGATGGGTGTTTTCCGGCAACGGCGGTCAGAGGGACTAGGTTTTGAGCTCGCGGCGGCGGAGCGAATTGATCGGAAGAAGAAGCAAGGGGGGAACGGCGGCTGCCGTGGTGCTGGGTGGAGGAGTCGCTGAAGGATGTGGGTAGTAGTAGTGGTGGAGGAGGTCATCGCCGCCGCCATTACAGTTTCGCTATCGGCTTATCCTATTCCCAGCTTCAGCTCTTCCTTCTTCACAACATTCCGAAAAACAGAGTGTGATTTTCTTCTTCTCCCAGAAAGTGAAAATCAGCTTTCATCACCGTTTTTATCCTTGAGATGTTCATTTTTTACATTTTAACGCATACAACTTTTTTGTGGTAACATGCATTAGCTCAGTCACTAAACTAGCCAACACACTACTACTATTTCAACTATAATTTTCAAATGGCTTAAACTTATAGGCTGGTTTTTTACTCATTTGGTTGAGGAATTTTTTTTGTAGAAATATGAAGACAGAAGGTTGTAAGATTATTGATTGATAGTAAAACCTAAATCTGAGTCGAGATGCTATGGTAGTATATCATATTCAAAGTGTTCTAATCGATTTTTTTTATATCAATGCATACATCACCATAGTTTTGCATTGGTATATGATTGGTATCCGGTGATACATTGACTTGATGTACATTACAATGTTATAGTTGTAAGAAATTAATTAGTTTTAATAATTGGAAAAAGTTCAATTTTTTTTTTCAAAAGAAAGAAGTGCAATGATTAATCTTATATCATTTATCAATATCGGTTTAAGAGCGATCTAGTATTGCAGTTCTTGGTCTTGGTGTACCATTGTTGATCGATGGCATCCTCGTCAGCATCTTACTAATGTAATTGAAGGAATATCTAACAACAATAATTTTTTTTAATAAAAGTGGTTAAATTTGTCAAACATGTTTCTAAAATCTGAACATTTTGTGTATCTCTAAGAAATTGACTATTATTATCACAAAGTTGATAATTATAACTATACAAGTGAATTTTGCATCAAACAAACAAACAACAAACTTTTAAAATCCACAACCGAACAAATCCATCATAAATTCTTAATTTTTCAAAACCTTCATTTTAACCAAATCCCTCACTTTTCAAACCATACTCACACCCATTCTTAGGGAATAGCCCTAATGCTTGGTCCGGTTTTGCTGTTGAGGGTAACGAAAAGCCAGCTCGGACGGAATGCTTTCGGATGAAATTGCAGTTAACTCCTCTCCCCTTTCCCCGTTGGTCGAGCTCTAACCTCTCCTTTCAGTCGAGCATATTGCTCTCCCCTCTCCCTATCGGTCCGGCGGAAAATACTTTCTGAATGGAGTAAAAGAACTTGGGATCGTCGATCTCTTCCTATCCAAGACCTCTTGGAGTAGGATTTTTACTGTTGACAGAATGCTCAACTAACATTATAACTGTAATGTGGTAAACTGATGAAGAGGTCACTTTGTTTTCACACTACTTTTTGACTTGAACTTATGTGAATGAACATAAGATAGAAAAAGGCAGAGGAGAAGAAGAAAAGGAAGGAAGAAATAATTGCAGAAGCAGAATCATTATGCATACCATCAGAATGCATCATTAGCCAAGATCATGCGTACAAATTGCTACATTACTGCCTAAGGAAACACTTTGGACCAAATTTCTTCTCCTATCTACTTCCCTACACCCTCCATGCTCAATCATTAACCACACCAGAGTAGGCCACAGCCTCTGTTCCAACTTCCATCTAACCCACTTGTCTTCTTAAGCAGCAACAATAACCATTAGGACAAGGACAAGAACAAGAAAAAAACATTCATATCCCAAGAGATCATGGCACTTCAACAACACATTGCAGCTTTTTACCTGACCTTGTGGCTGCTTCTTCACTTGTCTCAGTCTTCTGCTCACATTGAAAGAGCAAGCCAACCTTACATGACTTCAGATGCAACTGAGATAGCAGGAAAGTCCTACGACTACATCGTGGTAGGCGGAGGCACTGCAGGCTGCCCCCTGGCTGCAACCCTCTCCGAGAAGTACTCAGTGCTCGTCGTGGAACGTGGTGGCTCGCCATATGGCAACCCGTGGATAACCGAGAAGCTCTTCTACGGCTTCTCGCTGCTCCAAACCGATGAGCTCACATCAGTTGCTCAGGCATTCGTGACCGAAGATGGAGTTCAATGCCACAGGGGAAGGGTGCTGGGAGGTTCGACGGCTATCAATGGAGGGTTCTACAGTAGGGCCAGTGGTGATTTCGTGAGAAGAGTGGGTTGGGATGAAGAGATGGTGAAGGAAGCTTATGAATGGGTGGAATCTGAAGTTGTTTCGAAACCGGAGCTGACCATGTGGCAGGCTGTTGTCGAGTTCGGACTGCTTGAAGCTGGGATTCTTCCTTACAATGGGTTCACCTGGGAGCACGTTGAAGGAACGAAGATCAGCGGGTCCACGTTCGATGCTTGGGGGAAAAGGCATACCTCTGCAGATCTTCTGCAGATGGGGAACCCAGAAAACATCACGGTTCTGTTGAATGCAACTGTAAAGAGCATCATATTCAACAGCAGTGGTAAGAAGAAGAGTTCCTCATCTAGCCTCTTTGTTCTATTTAAGCTTTTTGTCTATATTCAGTCTGCTCCCTTTGAATGATGCAGGAGATGGAAACAAGACAATTGCTCGCGGTATTACATTCATAAGTAGCAGTGGCGACGGGAACCAAACTTATGATTATGAAGCTTATCTCAACCACCATGGCGGCGATGTGATATTGTCAGCTGGAGCTTTAGGCAGCCCACAGATCCTTCTGCTGAGCGGCATTGGACCCGAAACCCATCTCAGCCAACTCGGCATCCCAGTCGTGTTGAACTCGAGCCAGGTTGGCCACGGAATGAAAGACAACCCTGGAATCGCACTCCTGGTCGACTCCAAACCAGAAAGCCGATTCCCCGACGCACCACAAGTTGCTGGTATAACAAAAGGATTCGAATTCATAGTCGAAGGCGGGATCTTGCCAGTGAGCTTCAACACAACAAGGATCCCCGTAGCAGTGAAGCTAGCATTCCCAGAATCCAAAGGCAAGCTGGAACTGAACACCACAGACCCGAGAAGAAACCCTGTGGTGTCATTCAATTACCTGAAGAAGGACAGAGACATGGATCAATGTGTGAAGATGGCTCAGTTGCTGAAAAGGGTTGCTGGGTCGCCTTCTGTGGAGATTTTCCTTGGCTACGTACCTCAGAACAAGAACTTCTTCTTGTCGAGTTCTGATGAGGAGATGAGAGAGTTCTGCAGGAAGAATGTGAGGACCTTTTACCATTACCATGGCGGGTGTGGTGTTGGATCGGTTGTTGATGAGGATTACAGAGTGTATGGAGTTGATGGGTTGAGAGTCGTAGATGGATCGACATTTCTGGAGTCGCCTGGGACTAATCCCATGGCTACTCTCTTGATGCTTGGTAGATATCAGGGGGTCAAGATTCTCAGAGAAAGGGGAGAGTTAGCCTACTGAAATTCTAATATGATCAATGTGTGTTTCAGCTCAATTTCATAAATAACCCAACTATCCATCCAGTATATATATATTCATAGAAAGAGAAAAGAATTAAGAAGAAAGAAGAAACAAAAGAAGCCTGAAAACAGAATTTGTTTGTAAATTAGCTGCAAACCATTCCAAGTATTCTTTAGTATCAAGCGAAAACCTGTTGGTGTCCATTGCTTTACTCGGCGTTCTGGTAACCCTTCAAGGCCAACAATGCAGCTCCATAAGCAGCTTCAGTCTGCACCGCCCGGCTGACAGGGACGCCGATTACCCTCTCCCTGATCTGCATCCACTTCTCATTCTTCGCTCCGCCTCCTGCTGTGAACACTTGTTCAACTCCACTTGCTCCCATGTCTCTCAACAAGTTGTATGCTTTTGCCTGTTAAAAAACAAACAAATGATGATGTCACACAACACAGATATACGGTCAGGCAGCAAATATGGAAGATATTGGTCGAAGAAATCTTTATACCTCGATTCGTGCGATGGATTCTAGAATGCCATGCAAATACTCAACATCACTTTCTGGTCTCGGATGCAGCCTGCATAGATATGCCCCTTAGATTGGATAGACTTGAAAGATCACTTAAAAGTTAAAACTGTTAGAATGTGTGTACTTCACTCAGAGAACACATCATCTGAAATCACAGGTTCCATAAGTTCTATCTGATGTGTAAACAAGAAATCTGCAAAAGGCTGCATCTATTGTTACCTCGGAGCCATGCCAGGATCAGCCACGGGAAACCTTTCACCAACAGCTTTGAGTGGGTAGTAATCGAGAGAAGAAGCTTCTGCAGGATTTATCTGTTCGCTCAATTCCTCTAGCTGCCCATCAGTGAACAGTTGTCTGAGAACAGCCCCACCGGTATTTGATGCACCTCCAACGAGCCATTTGTCATCCAGGCGATGGCTGTACACACCGAACCGTGCATCCTCGATCCTCGTATTGCTCAGTAACTTAATAGCCATAGTTGAACCCAGAGAAGTAACCTGAAGATGGAAAGACTATACCTTCAAAGAAGGAGCCAATGGTTATTATGTAAAAGAGAGGGTCCATAGTCCTCAAACTTACAGCTTTCCCTGGTTCCGTTGCCCGTGCTGCAAGAAAAGCAGCTATACTATCTGTTGTGCCGGCACATACAACACAATCCCCTGGAAATCCTGTCACGACCAAATGGATTTCACCGTGGCAGCCATAATTGCAGAACCAGAAGAATGCCATATAAGCAAGAGGAAATATTTACAAGTCAGAATACTAGGAAATGGGTCTGTTCTGAGGTTGAAGCCTAAAGTAGTTTATAACTCAACTACACTGCAGTAACCTCCTCTGAAAGTAAGCATACTGGCTGAACCACAGAATCTCATTCTTAACCTACGTCTTTCCAGAGTCGATTCATTCAGGATCCTATTCTATAGTTTTGCAACAAGGAATAGGGCACTAAAGGAATGACCAACGGAAATCCGTATACTGCAGCTGTTCTTCCTCTTTCACAATTCGAAGTCTACCATTGTCAAGAAAACTAGGTAATAGACCAAGTAACCAGCTGCTGTCAGAAGATAATAGCTAATAACACATACCAAATTGAGTTCTGATATCATCCTTCAAGTGGCCAATGGAAGCTCCAGGAGCTGAAACAGAAGGCAACAGTTTCGCATACGGCTGACTGAGAAGCCATGGAGGATAGGATTCCGACTCAGGATCATAGCCAACCTGTGCAACACAGCAAATCAATAATCCAAACCATCATCTACCAAGGAAAGAAGCTTTTCCACATGGATCATAAAATGTTCCACCAGCAGAAACCCAAAACCTTCAGAGCATTGTTGTAATCTGTGACTCCAATCTTCCCATGAAGAAGCCACAACAGCCAATCTGCTTGGTGGAGCAACAACGCAGATTCCTTCCTCGGACCATCGATATTCCACCATGAGACAAGCTTGCACAAGGTCGACGATCCAGAGCAGACTGTATGAGTTGGAGGAGCAATGGATTTCACAATCGGCAAAGCATCAGGACAGCTCTCATTGTAAAGGAACGGTCTCCATATCGGCTCTCCAGTGTTGCTGTGATATTTCAGACCGTTATCTACTAAGGAGCACAAGAACCACGAAGAAACATACAACATAGCAAGTCTTGAGGCATCTTTTTCACCTGTCCACAATGATCGTAGTTGCTGAAGTGCCATCGATGGAAATAGAAGCAACGAGCGACCTGAGATGACTTGGAACATCTTCTAGGAGCGAGAAGAGTGTCGTTCTCCATGAAAGCACCCAATCCATTGTTTCTTCTTCATTCTTCCTAGACAACCCACAAACAAGATGCAAACTTCATAACTAAAAACCGACTGGGTCCTCTACATTTCATTATTAAGTTCCCTACCCAGCTATTGCCAAGTCAAAAAGTTGAAGCCTCAGAAATAACAGCACAGCAGAAACAGTTTACCTTGTAAATTGGGTATTCCCTTTTCCCTTCAGAATGAAGCGTCCCTTGTTTGTCTACAACAGCATATCTCGCACCAGAAGTTCCAAAATCCATACCCAGGTAGAGCCTTTCTTTACTGCCATGGTTCAAGGAAGCCATCTCCACCCGCACTGTTCGTCGTCTATTTACACTTCTGTTCCAACTGCAACTCCGAGCTGCTGCTGAAACATGGGTCAATGTTGTTATAAACTAAGGTGGACAAGTTTCAAGCTCCTTGGAGCTGGGAAAAACAGAGAGGAAGAAGAAGGTTACCACGTACTGAAGATGGCCCGCCGTGGGAAAACGTGAAGGTCAATGTTGCTGCCGGAGGAGCGATTGTGGCTGTGGAACCGATGGCCATGATGCTGTATCTCTTTCGCTTCTATCCAAACGTGAAACAGAAAGTGGATATATGTGGCTAACGTTGTTAAAGATAACAGCTTTTCATAGTTAGTTATCCATTGTCCCGTAGGCCGTAGCTTCTGCTTACGTCATCAAGGCATCTTCTATTCTTCTCTGCATTTTTCTTAAAATTTAATAAATTTCAATACTTTTTTGACGAATTTTTTCATGTAACCATTTAGATAATTCACACAAACAATAACGAATATGCAGTTCCGTCAACACGAACATTCAACATATGACAATAGCACATTGATAGAGAATGAGGGAATATCCAACCAGACTAATTCAATGAGGAATCGAACTAGTCGCGGAGGTAGTCATATACAGTGAAGTCATCGTACAAGAGAGTCCAATCCTCAGAGTAATGAAGAAGGAAATAACAATTCTCGCAGAAGTAGCAGGGATTATAACTCGCCAATTTGTCATTCACCGTCACCTTTTTAGCTCTAAATATGTTGCAGACGTTGCATTTCTGCAGGCGTGATTTCAGTCGAAAGCTCTCGATTGGATAAGCAGATCGATTCTGGGTGTCATCAGGATGAATCAACCTCATGTCTCTTATCACGACTGTATGCTTGCATTCTCCCTGCCACAAAAGAACAAAAATACACTTACCACGACTAAAAGAGATGGCAGCGTGAAGGAAGGTTGATAATTAATCACTTCAGGTACAGGCGAAGCTTATACCTGATGACAGTATAGGTACGGAGCACCTAGCCGAAACCTTAAATCACAAAAACGGAGGGATTGCATCTCGGTGCGTCGGAATCCAGGTACTTTTGAAGGTGGCATCTTATCCAAAAGAGCTTTTTGCTTGCGTTTCATGTCTCCTCTTATAATGTACTCCCATTTTTTATTTACCTCTTCTTTCGAGTTCCTAAGCCAGTCGAATATAGGCTCACTGTAATCTATTGAAATGGCTTCCCTCAGATCATTGCAGAACAAATCCTATAGAAAGAGCACAGCAGCATTCATCAGCAATATTCTTACAACCAGTTCAATTTTCCTAATGATTATATGAATCTGGAGCAAGTGGAATACAACTTACCTCTATAAGGAAATATCCTGAAGGATCATAATGCTCCGTCCTTCTCATCATCTCGTCATTCCTGCAAACGATCTTGTCCTTTAGTTCTGTCAAACATTGTCGTCCAAGCACCAAAAACTCTTGCGTCTGCGAAAAATAAAATAATTAATAGTAAACCCACTGACAGAAGTGTAACATAAAGTTAAACGTTATAGAACATATCACTAGAGAAGCAGGGAAGGCTACCTTTTGCGATTCATTAACATTGTGGTACACCTCCACAACAAGGATTACCTCAGGCAGCTGCACAGGTACTTCTGGTTGAATATCTGAGGTCCTCATGAGCTGTGCAATTTGAACAGGAGAGAAAAGAGTAAATGAGAAACATCATAATTCAAAAGAATGGAGGAGCAAGTTTTTCAGTGACCACCAGAAGAAAGATAAATGTTAGCAACATGATAAATAAAAATACATCAAGATAGAACATTCTAGAGAGATGAGACTACCTTCATATCTGAGTTGACAGATCTCAGAGATTTCATTCTTGTGACACTCTCCATCAATGCATTAGAACTCTGGTTGGACTTGCGACCAGCACTAGATTAAAACAATGAGGCACAGTAAATATAATACCAGAGGATGATGCATTTATTGGAGATTTGGAGTAAAAAAAATCCACAAACCTAAGGGAATGCAATTTAGCGGTTGCTTTTTCTTCATCCTGCTTCTGTTTTATTTTCAGTAGCTCATCAACTTTAGCAGGGTAACTCTCCTGGACAAGCAAGATCGCATATTCAGTAACTTGGATGAAAGCATATAATAGAAATGCTAAGTTCAAATTGGGAGCTTGGGGCGGTCACCTAGCAAAAAAGAAACGGTAAGTCCCATTGGAGCACTTCTTTATCTAACTTTAGTGAAGAATATAGAGGAGGAGGAGAAGTAGCCAATCCTTTTAAGTGGTCTTGAATATGGCAGAAAAAATCTAAACACCACGAAACTAAATTGGTTAAATATCCTATGATTTACCATGTGATAACCATCAGTTATAGATAAGCAAACCATCCTTCTCTATCCAAAACTTCCAAACTTCAAGTTAGTGTTGTCTCGATAAAATATTCACATGCTTGAAGAACTTACTTCTGCACAACGAGACTTCACCGTGTCTTTCTTTCTCTTCCTGGACTTCTTGTCACCTTCCCTAGTGTCGCTACTGTCAACATTGGATACTAAAGAAGCTGAAGTACCACCTCCTCTCTGGGAGCTTCTTGACCGAGTTTGCACCCCACTCGACACTCTAAGATCACTTTCCGCTCTGAAAGACAACCATAGCAATTAACTTAGGAAATGGATGACATGAAACAAAGGTACTATACCCGCATAGTAATACAGCATATATGCAATTATATCTGAAGATTCACTAACATAAGATGCATGGATACCGATACCCAATGTGCACAAGCTTTAAATTAGTCATTTCAAAGCAGCCATTGGAGAACCATAGATTTTATTGAAGATATGAAATTCCCACTCCGTACTCAAGGTTTCTGATAATAATCATTCAACTACACAAGTAGGGGGATCGTAGCTAGTGAAAGCAAAGATGGGTTCACCTTTCATTCGGCTGTGGTTCAGACCGTTGCGACGAACTTACGCTCTCCCCTTCATCCTCCTGTGAGAAATAACCAGAAGAGCAATGGTGAGAAAGATAGGGGTGGAAAAAGAGAAACATAGCACCAGAAGATGCTAAAGGAACATACTTTAAAAACTTCCCCGAATGCCATCTCCACCAACTCCTCAGTGCTTAGAATTTTAATGTCATCAACCCTGCAAATTATCCAAAATTACTGTTCGTGTGAATTCACAGTTAACAATAAAAAAACAAACTTTCCAACCAGAGGAAGAAAGAAAAAACATCAATCAAGAAAGAAGGCGGGAAAAGTACGTGATATCATCGTCATGGAAAGCCTCGGAAGAATCAAAATCTAACTCGTTCTTCAACCGCTGCGCCAAATCAAATCAGATAATCAGCTTCCCTACGCAATTCACAAGTTCAACCAGCCCAATAAGAACAAAACGCGAGAGAGATAGGGAAGAAGCGGACCTGGAGCTCGCTGATAATGGCATCTTCGAATTCGGGGACTCGAGTGAGGGGACCGACCAAATTCGGCGTAAACAAAGGTCCGCCGCGAGCAATTAACAGAGGCGGCGGCGGCCCGCTAGTCTGTTCCCAGTCTTCCTCCTCCTCCGCCACTTCGTCGCCGTGTTCTCTAAACTCCACTGCAGACTCGGCGTCCATAGTTTGCTCAAACAGTTCGCTGAAAGCGAATCAAGCCAAGGATTCCAAAAGCACTGGACGAGCGTTCGGCGGCAATGTCTCCGTTTTGGAATCGGCGTGTCCCAAAGAACTCGACGAACTGCTTCCAGTTAGAATTTAGAAAACGAGGGGGGAATTAATCTGATCGGGTTCCCAATTGGGCTGAGGCCCAAAAGAATGACGAACCGGAAAAGAATAAATTTTTACGGGAAACACAAATCTGACAACCCAAGCCCAGTCGAGCCCAGCCCAATGGGCAATATATTTCCCGTAAGTCAGTGTCAGTGGCATCGTCTCCATTCTTAAACCCTAGCAAGAGCTCCCGCTACCCTGAACTCTCCAGCGGCTAACGCAGTTTTTTGCCAAATTACAACTCTGCTTCTGCTAGCTTCGCTCTTCTCTCTGTCTGTTCTTCGCGTTCGTCTCGTGTCTCTTCCTAAGGTTCGTCGGTCAACCCCTCGGAAACCTGCCAGCTCTTTGATTTTGCTTTTATTCGTTTGGTTTCCAGAAAATGCATGTACAGAGAGTCATCGCAGCTTTGCAATTGTTTAAACGGCTGATGAACCTCCCGCTAGAGCTTCCTAGCCATATCCTTTCCGTTTCTTCGTTTTGAGTGTTTACAGCGAATTCCGCTTCATATTTCGCATGAAAGCTGGATGAATTAGGTTACTTTACGTCTCTGTTTTCTGTAGCAGTAATTAGGTTAATTTGTCATCGTCTAATTGAAGAGAATCCCTGATATTGTCTGTGTAATTTCAGTTTCAGTCAGAGGCAGACAGCACCCTTTTCATTGCATAGGTTATATCTGGAGGGTATAGATTATAATTATGGAACTTGTCTTTGTTGTTTTTAATGGAACCTGTAGTTTTTGAGGCTACGCAATTGAAGCTTTACATTTGGGAAATGCATATGGTGCTCGGTTGCTGGATCACTTTTGTGATAGATTGAAATTTTACGCTTATAGGGCTTCAGCTTGTATGATGATCTACTGATATGCTTGAGATAAATGGCAAGTAATAGAGTTATTGCTTGTATAACTGTTAACTGTAGTGATATTACATTTTTTTATATTTTTTCGCTTTTGATCTATCAATGCAGTGCTGCTAATATGTATACCGCCAAGCAGAAGATTCACAAAGACAAGGATGTGGAACCTTCCGAGTTTGAGGAGACTGTTGCTCAGGTATTGAAGAAGAAATAAGCTTTTTTTTACAAGACCCATTAACCTGAGATACATTGATTCGTAGTAAGTTGTTTTGTGTTTCATCCATGCAGGCTTTCTTCGATTTGGAGAATACCAACCAGGAATTGAAAAGTGAGATGAAGGATCTGTACATCAACTCTGCAACGTGAGCATCCATTGTCTCTGTGTGGAAAAGATTAATATTTTATTGCTTTGCTTGCTGATGATAATCAATGGTGGTTTGTGGTCCTGCAGCCAAATCGATGTTTCTGGGAGCAGGAAGGCTGTTGTCATTCATGTTCCATACAGACTTAGGAAGGCATTTCGAAAGGTTCACCTTCGACTCGTGAGAGAGCTTGAGAAGAAGCTCAGTGGAAAGGTAACTGAACTTGGCATTTCCGTGGCAGTATTTGTTGCATTTACACTTTGAAAATCTTTTTTTTTTTTTTTTGGGTAGAATCAGTTCTTTCCCATAGGACTGTTCCATAGAAGATTAATTTGGCATTATGTTCCAGGATGTCATCCTGATTGCGACCAGGAGAATAGTGAGGCCACCCAAGAAGGGTTCAGCTGCTCAAAGACCACGCAGCCGCACGCTCACTGCTGTGCATGAAGCTATGCTGGAGGACATTGTGATGCCTGCTGAGATCATTGGGAAGCGCACCAGATACCGCCTTGATGGAACCAAGATCATGAAGGTAATTTAGACTTTTTGTTGATTGACTAAATCAAACAAACAAAACGAGAGCGTTCCCTGAACTCATTGTTGTCATCTCTTTTCCGGTCAGGTATACCTGGACCCAAAGGAAAAGAACAGCACCGAACTCAAGCTAGAGGCCTTTTCCAAGGTTTACCGAAAGCTTACCGGCAAGGATGTCGTCTTTGAGTACCCTGTTACTGCTGAGGCATGAGGAGGCTATAGCTAGCTAGCTAAGATCTTTTGTTCGTTCCGGGAGTTGCCATCTTATGTTAAGACCTCCCTCTTTGGAGGATATGGAACTTCAGTTTTTCTGCTATTTATCGCCGATTCTCTCTGTTCATGTTTACATCGTTCATGAGACTATCTTTCTATGATGCTTGTTGAAAGAATGTTCTGTGTTTTAAGTTCCTGTCGAACGATAGAGCACCTTTTGACAGCGCTGCCATGTTAATTGTTGGATTACACTTTTGGACTCGACTCCCTGAAACCAAATGGGCGAAGTATAGATGGTGGACCTAAAGAGTCTTGTAGCCAGAAAAGTTGGGAGGAAATGTGAGCAGAAGTGCACGTGAGCCACTTGTAAATTGCACTTGACAGATCAGAAAAAGGTGGAGGTGGCGTCGTGTGGTGAGGGGGAGGATGCTTTGCTCTTCAGCTATAAGCTCCATTTCCTCTTTGATTGATCCCTCTGCTAGGGCCAAAAGGTGCCAATGCCCAATACAGCTCATAATACCACCATAGCTACGGGAGGAGAGAGTCAATTCTTTTTTATTTATTTATTTTATCGTTTAGTACGAGAGAAATCTCGTCGGAAGTTAGAGTCTCGTCAGAACCCTGCAATTTCCGTAATTGGAGGTTTCGATAGCCGATATTCCGGTAGCCTCAAGTCATTGTATCTTCTCCCCTAATTTCTCTCTGAAAACGGTCTTTCTAACTGACGATTTCGATTGTCGATGTTCTCACAACCTCGCATCATCGAACCTTCGCCCCCTAATCTCCATTCGGCAACAGGATGACGGCGGTTGTAGGGGGTCGTTGTAGATTCCGGTTGAAAAGGTTCACGGTAATCTAATTACTAAGAAAAGAGTTTCGACGAATGCTTAAACCATGGCGCGTGAAGTATTTGTGCTGTTTGGAGATCAAACAAGGAATCGACGGTTGGATTGGAATTCGGACGAGGTGGAAATGGACCACCATATCAAGAAGTGAAGGTCTAACGTGCCAATCAACACCACCCTACTACTACAAAGGTCTAACTCAAAAAAAACAGAATTGCTGTATAGTGGTGGGATGATTTACCAACTCACTAATCCATCTCTCTAGCTAAGTGTGGCCAAAAAAAAAGAAAAAAAAGTTTTTTTTTTACTTGGGTTGCACTCCACCATTGAAGTCCAATCTCACATGCTTATAGGAACCAAGAGAATAATTGGACGTACGAATGGATCGTGTCTCGGCGCCCTTTCCAATGATTCACTTGACAAACTACTTCATTTTCATGTGCTCTATCTACCACAAGTCGAGTTTTGTTTTGTTCCCCCGCAGATTGCTAAGGACCGTTTTACGACGGCTATGTGGCTGTAAGCTAATCGGTGTTATGCACTGATCCGGTTACGGTGTTAATCGTATTGGGTTTAGAATGTTCTAATGTGCTCGGAATCGTTGGATCGCGCATTTGCAATCTACATCTATTGAATTATTGTTGGGACGTTTCTAATCTCAATACTGGTTAAAACTGCAGTTTGAATTCGCTGTGTGCCGCGTGTGGCTATAATTAGAGGACGGCAAAATGAATTGGATTGGTGGAATTATGGATCCAGTTGACATCTAACCAGTGTACCATTATGAAATTTTTTTTTTAAATAAAAGTACTGAATATCATCATAAAATGATTTACGTGCCGAAACATCGTTTTCTAATGATATTTTTTTCAGTAGAATTTAAAATTTAGGGCGAGTCTGTTTGTTGGATTTGAAAAATGAGGGTTTTTGGGTTTTAAAAACCTTTGGATTTATGATGGATTTGTTGCGTTTATGGATTTGGAAAACTACATTGTTTGTTTAGTTCATTTTTATCATGAATTTATGATTGATTTGTCTCACGACTTCGCCTTCCATTATCAAATCCCAAATGAAATGTGAGATTTTTAGTGGGTTCACAGATTTGGATCTAAAAAAATGTCCAAATTCGTGGCCCCATGAATTAGCCAACTTATTTGAATTAAATGAGTTGTGTTAATTAAATTTTTTAGGGGATGATTGAATTTGATTATTGGATTCGCCACCTCTAGCTAGGGGTAGGTAGACCGTAGACGGGAGTCGTTCATCACTCCAGCTGCCGAGCAGATGCCCTCGCCGCGCCGGCCTCCTGTTTCCGCTTAGAGCTTTGAAGCCACGCCTCGTGATTACCAATAATGCCCTCACGGAGACGGCAGGGTTTTTATTGGCTTGCGCGGGATGCACGCAATTGATTACCAATTATGCCCTTGTGAGTAGTTTTTCGTTTGTAACACACCCGATCATATACTATTCATTCCGATCATATATCATTCACTAACAATTGCGGCATAATTGATTTCTATTTGTTCTAGAAATGATCGAATTTTGTTGAATTTCCCCATTTTGTCTGACTTCTGGGATATAATTGAGTGCTTTTTTTTTGTTGTTGTTGTCTCTAACTGTTTTGGAAGAGAAAGAGAACAATGCAATATGCATAGATATGGTATAATACAAGTAGATTTCTCACTTCTAAATGATTGAATTATTTGGTTCTTTGAATTTGCAAAGCATATTCAACGCATGTGTATTCCCCTAAAGTGATGTCCAACTTATTAGTTTACCACAACGTTATTAAGCTCAAATCACAAATTTTGGGCTTAATAATTTTGACATGCTATGGAAAGGAGAAGTCCATCATCTAATATTTGAATTTTGAATATTCCCCCCCTGATAATTGAATAAATATATGTCGAATACGTTTCTTTTCCTCCTCTACAAAGCTCTTCGATCAAGCTCCCCAACAAATTTAATTACAGACATGTTTGGGACAAGTTACATCGTCATTGCTAAACAAGCAGTATCTCGACGTTGGTATCTAAATTTATTGGATTCGGAAAATATTGCGTAAAAAAGCGTATTGATCAGGGGTTCTTATATTACACAGAGTGACAACTCATTTTTGCATAGGCTTGCGTCATTTATATCGGTCGAATAAAATTGAACCATTGTCCACTACTACTTGAAACACAAGAATACTAGTAGATCTCGATAAATAAATCATTCGGGTTTTGATCATGCATGTGAATTCGCCACAATGCTTACCTAGCAACCATTTTCACGATAACTACTCATTTGGCTCTGAAGAACTTTTTTTGTATATATACTGCTCTGAAGAACTATTGAATTGTATGTAAAATTAACGGAACTTGTATTTTTATTTGACTATTGATCTAATTAGTCCGGTAAATTGTGAGTTTAAGAAGAAGATAAAAAGAGAGAACTGCACACGTGTCACCACCGCAACTTACTCTCACCAAGCTAACGGCCACCACCGGTTTTGTCCCACGTGCCAGTCCCCACACTACGCTCCACCGGTCCTGTCACAGCCTTACTCTCGGTCGTGCGACCTTAGCTCTCAAATCTGTTAGAGAACTAAGCAGCTATGTTATCACCTTGTTGGCGCCAAATCATCTGCCACATGTACAGTTCGCGGCCGCAAACCCGGAAGGGTATTCTAGTAACTTGGTAAATGAAAACAGTAATAAACTAATGTTTTCATATTTTACGCTTCTTGGGGTGGGTTATTCCCGCTCATTTTATTTTCTCGCCTAATTTCAAAATCAACCTCGGGCCTCGGCCTCGGCCTCCACTTAAGCGGGGCGGGCCCACCATCCTCTGTTTTGATTTTTAAACTCCTCTATCCACCTCACGCCACACCTTGCACAGTAACCGATCCCCAAATCTTCTGATTAAAGGGTGAAGAAAAGGGGGTTAATTCCATGAATATTGTTTTTTTTTTTTAATTTACCAGGAATATAGTGGTTTTAAAACTATTTACAAGAATATTGTGTTTTTAGGAAGAAAGTCGGCGACGGCGCCCGAGACTTAGAAATTCAAGTTTTAAACGCTGTTGATAGCGACGGCGCCCCAGTCCCGAGCTTTGGCGCCTTCTGAAATTTCAAAAATTTTAAGAGGCGCCAAAGCCCGAGACCGAGGCGCTGTCGCTGTCAAGTTTAATTTTTTTTTACCCCCTTCCTCCCCCCTCCCCCTCTCGCACCACACCAGACCAGACCCATCCCACCTCCCCTCTCCACCACTCCTCTCTCCATCCCAGCGCCAAGAACAAGCGGCGACGCCGAGAAAAAGGCAGCAGCGCCACAGTCCAAGGCGGCGGCGCGCGGCACAAGGCGAAGTCGCCACCTCTCTAGCGGCGGCGCAATGTCGGACGACGAGCAGGCCCCCGGCGGCGGCAGAGGAAGAGGCCGAGGCCGGCGAGGTCGGCGTGGCGGCGGTGGCGGTGATGGCGGCGGCGGCGGCGGCGGCGAACGTTACCGGAGTGAGTATTGCCGGCGGCGGCCGGCTTCTCGCCGGCGGCGACTTTTTCCGGCGACTTTTTTTTTTTTTTTTTGTCTAACATTTTTTTTCTTCAGTTCCTAGGCTTATCGATCCTTGTTCGATGAGACCACCACCTACGACAATCGATACTGCTCCGAATGATCCGGAACTTCTTTGGGGGCATGGTCACCATCGGATTGACGCAGTTTGGGCAAATGAGGTAAGTTTTTTAAATTAAATTATTTCTATAGTTTTTTTTATTAGCGGTATAATAGAAATAGAATAGAATAGAATTAAATTAAATTAAGAATAGAATTAGATTAAATTAAGAATATTATATTAGAATAAGTTTAGTTTAGATATATAAAAATTAAGAATAGAATTAGATTAAATTAAGAATATTATATTGAAGGAATTGAATTAATATAGTTTTGTGCATTAATTAATTATAGGCTGGTGATCGACCATACCACATTCGTCATACGGGCAATTTAGTTCGATACAATCCACTGTACCTGCCGTATCTCGTCGATGCCGGCTTGTCTAGTGTTCTGCCACTAGCCCCTCTTACCGGTGATCCGGGTTTGATTACTGCGCTCGTAGAGCGTTGGAGACCCGAGACATCGACATTTCACATGCCGTTCGGTGAGGTGACGATCACTCTAGAGGACGTTGCGACACTCACTGGATTAGCGATCGACGGTGATGCCGTCATAGTAGACATACCAGACGAGGACTGGTCGGCTATGTGTCTTCGACTGTTAGGACAGGCTCCTACTGATCTTGGTGGCGGCGTCATCCGGATTACTTGGCTCAGGGATACTTTCGATGAGCTACCGCTCTCTGCATCACCAGAGACGACAGAGCAGTATGCTAGAGCGTATGCGCTGTCTCTGATGGGAGGTGTCTTGTTCTCCGATCGGTCTGGAGGTTCAGTTCACCTGCAGTATCTACTTTTGGTAGAGGATTGGCGCAGAGCGGGGAGGTTTGCTTGGGGAGCAGCTGTGCTATCCTACTTGTACCGTGAGATGGGTAGATCGGCGCTGCAGATGACGGCATCTTCTTCAC